CTTTTCTTTATTTTCATTTTATAAATTCAACAATTTAAATTTTGTTTCTTAATTTTCCATTGTTAACATTAGTTTTCCCACTCCCACAACTATAGTTGTAAATTTCTTGATTGTTACTCTTAACCAATCTAATTAATTAGTATCCCTGATTAACTGATTGAGTTGATTAATTTATATTCCTAACTAATTGTCCAATGGAAATTAATCTAAATTCAAATCTATATCTAAAGATATAGTTAATGTTAATTCAGTTAATTACAATTAACTAATTTTCTTAATTGTATCTACCCAAATCTCTACATCTTTTAAGTTGACCAAAATTAAACAAAAGTAAGAGACCTGATTTTCTCTTTCTCTCCCTCTTTCTTTTTTCTTTCTTTTATTTTTAGCCTTTACCATTGTTAAGTCTAAAGACTTATCTTGGTTAATTTTTATCTTTTTTATCTTCTCTACATGTTAACCATATTGTTCATAATGTCGAGACATAGAGACTAAAAGAGTTACTTTGTAACAATAGTTTCACCTCATCACTAATATGATTAACTTGGTTAATTTGATTAATTTGTTTTCCCCTTGTTTTAATTGTAACCCCTTTTCATCATTAATTGATATCCCCTTAATTGTCACCCCTTTTTTTTTTATTCTAAAAGAATAATTTTCCTCTATAATCTTCAGTCAATGTTTAACATTAAAATAGTTAACTTGCTCATCTTTAATCTCTCAATTTTAATTAAGGTGATTCTGCACTTCTAAGTGTTACAATCCATCCATCTCTCAAGTTCCTAAAATTCAACCTTCTTTAATTAGACATTTTATGTTTAATTGTCCAAATCTGAATTCTTTAGAATTATCAGTGAAAGTGAAAACACAAGCGTAAGTACAATAGAGAAACTCAGTGATCCTAAAAGAATCGTGTATTCGGTATTTTGTGGGACCGAAAATCTTCTGAACTCTTGTCTTCAAGCCTACAGACTTTTCCGAGTTTTATCTCAATCACATCCATCGATCTCAAATTGATCATCTAACCTCCTCATCTCAAATTTTCCCCACAAAGTTCAACCCCTTTGCTTTTTTTTACAATTATTCTGTCTTACAATTGTGAAGACCGATAATTGAATGAAAACATGATAACTTCAAGTGCTTAAAAAAAGCAATGAAACAAAAAAGTTTCATTATATTGATCGCTGTAAAGATTAACAAGTTAACTGATTATCAAATGAAATTATCAGTTTTATTGGTGCTTTTTTTTTCATTGATTGTTGTTGCTGCTTTTATTTATTATCATCATAAACTGTACAAGTTTATTTTTCTTGCTCACTAATCGAGTTAAGATTGATTTGATTTTCTTGTTAAGACAATGACAGTTGACTTTCTTATTGTTTTTTTTTTGGTGTTTTTTGTTTCTGGTTCTTGTTGACAATCACTTATGATACAGAGAAAGACAAGCAAAGTATAATGTCAACTTGTGATGACCTAATATCCATCACCTAATACTCATGTTGTTTACTCCATTGACATTCACATTAACACCCATACCCGATTCTTGTATCAATTTACTACATAAACTGTGATAACGATCATTAGATATAATTATTAGGTCATTAAAATTTGAAGAGTTTTTTTTTGCTCAATCATTCTGAAAACTCTGAGTCGCTAATCTCAATGATGAAATTCAAATTTGAGTTTCACTCTTAATCCCTGGAAATGATTGGATAAGTTGGTAAAATTTGCATTTAAATTTACATGCAAATTTAACTGGAAACAAATTGTTAATTCTCACATTCAATTATCAATTTCAATTGAAAATTATTACTTATTTACTATGGAAACGAATTCAACTTTTCATCAAGTTTCAAGTTTCACAGAAATAAATAGCTAAGATTATTCTTAAGTTTGAATTAGAGTAAAGATTAAGAGGCTTAGAAATCAAAACAATACAACTAATTACTCTTTCTTCTGGTAACTTTGTTATTTCTTCACAAAATTACATCTCTCTATTTCTTTATGTGATAGGATCGCTGTTTCTAAATAATTGAGTTTACATGAAGATGAAATTGAGCTAAAATAATTTTGTTCTCGATACACTCTCTCTTCAAGAGATATTTTTATCATAGATTCTCATTAGCATCATATTAATCGTTCCGTTCTGTGATTCAATTTTTTCTCGATCATTTACCAATATCGATACGTCATTTAATCAGACCGAGAATAAACCAAGCATAAAAACAGATAATAGTGGTTTCATTCTGGGTGAATGTGAAAATTGTTCAATGATTCTCAGATATTCATGTTGATTGTTGATGATTTCATCTTCTACTTTGTCGTAAATATCAAGATGATTAGTGGGTTAAACTTTAAATTCATTATTTTAACTACAATTTCGTAGATTTGTAATTTACCCTGAATAAATTGACGGAGAGGAAAAATTTTCAACCTCAATTGTAGGTAAACTTGCATATCATTTGTTTCCTCTCGGATCATTTAATTTAGTTTAAATCAGGACAATTACTATTGATTTAACAATTGAATGGCAATAAAAGTCAAGGGTAATTCATTTCATCATATTGACACAATAAAAGTCACCATTAAACTAACCCAAAATCTGAATTCCCTATTATTATTCAGATTATATTCATAATCAGCATCTTTATCGATCTGAAATGTTGACATTCCCTTTGAAAGAAAACCAATGTTTACATAATTTTCATTTTAATCAATTTAATAACTTACTAACTAATTCCAATGACAAGTAAATTAAATGCTGACTCTTGATGTAACTTGAAACCCATTTGATGATTGTTGAAAGTAATTACATTCAACGGAAAATAAAACAATCAACATTAAATCAAAATACTAATAAGTTATTCTGATGGATCAAGTTCTTCAATCATGGAAACAAAACTTAATATAATCTATTAAACTTGATATAATATGAGTCTGAAGATGAGTAAGAAAAGGAAAGGAAAAAAATTAAGAATCATTATCAACAGTGTTAGAACTTTTCTTTTGCATAACTTGAAGTGAATTTATCATTCGTAATGATAATAGTTTGTTTCAATTCTCAGTTACTATTCATATTATTATTTACGTTGATTTTACTTTTGACCGGTTTTCCGATTGTTTAACTGAATTCAAGTTACATCATTAATCCCATGGTTTTGCTTTTAACTTTTACCATGAATTTCAACACTCTAATCATCATCATCATCATCATCATCATCACTAGCATTGTATTTACGAGAAACTTGAGAATCATGAGCCAGAGGTAAACAAATGGATAGGAAATGATTATAAGTTGGAAATGAGAGAGGGAATTAAATTATTCTGGGTCAGAATGAATATTCTGATGCCAGAATAAATGAAAATAAATCAAGGTTTTCCATTTCACTCTTAATTATAATCTTCATGATGGATGAGATGATTTAATTAGATTTATACACAGAGATTCACAAGTGAACATTACTTGTCGTAATATTTATATGTGAAACTAAAATTCTGAGCTTTCGAAAATGGTAAATTCTGAGAAATAGCCAAGCTAAATGTTAACAGAATTTAAAGAGTAGAAAAAATTGTCTCTCTTTTCATGAGAAACTTTTCACTTCCACCAGTTGTTTTGTTATTACAATTAAATTTAAACTTCTCGATTAATTAACTTCTTATTAAATGAATTAACTTTCAGCTCAAATATATTAGCCGATTGAATTGATTATATGAAATTACATCTATTCACATGATAAGCGATTTACATTATTCATGAAAATCGAAAACTTGAACAATATTTCAAGTTTTTTCCTTCTTCTTTTTGACAATGAATAAGATCATATATGTAACTTAGATTTAAGATAAAGTGTATATCAACATCAGAATAAATAATCTTCATTTTTCCAAGTTATCTTTTGACACGAAGTAATCAGAGTATAAGATACTGTAGATAAAGAATCACATTTACATTGGAACATTTTTTTTTCTTCCCAAAATCAACAAGTAAAACCTCCTTATCAGAATGAATCATAATTCGGGATTCAAATGACATTCATCTGAGAGAAAATGATGTGAATGAAAAGAAGAAGAGAGAGAGAGAGAAAAAAAGTTCTACTCAAGGAGAAAAGTAAAAACATACATACATAGTATTAGAAAATAAATCCTCTTATCTGATATGTAATATCAAAACTTATATTCTTTGTCTTCTATCTCGTATCTTCATCTTCATCATTAGCTATTCATGTTTTATACATGTTATACCTTGGAATCAATCGAAGAATATATCTTCTTTTCTCTGTATATGTGTACAGAAAAACTCTTGCGGTAACAAGGAAACCCTAAGAAACTGATTTCATTCAGTCTTAAGTCTCCAGAATTGATACTGTAAGAAACCATTGCTTCTGACATTCATGGCTCAAGAGGATTAGATTAAATTATCTTGAGATAATATCAAGTGAAAAAAATGTAACAAGCTTTTCAACCATGTTAATCCCTTTCGTTTTTTTCCTCCAAGTTAAACTCTTATGGTCTCATCTTATGTGTATTACTTAATCATGATATTGCTTCCAGTAAGAGATGAATTCATGCTGATTGAACTCTAAAGGTTAGTTTACCTCGATTTTAGAGTAACGAAAGAATCTGAGTAATCGTTGGAATAGATCATTTTATGGAAAAGTTTACCGACAAAAAGTGGAAATCTCTGTAATCTAATAAGCCTGCAATCTATTATTTGTCCATGGTGAAGCTCATTGACGAGTCGAAGATTTTAATGAAGCTGCAGAGCGAAATCACTAAGGAAATTCTTGTGAATAACAAGTGCGATTTTGTGATTAGCGTTGAAATAATAATAGTTTAAGAAAATTTCGCTCTTCGAAAAGAGAAAACTAAATACAGATTGAGTAACATGATCAGAAGAATCTTGATATCAGACTTGCGCGATCTTTAAATTACGGGCTCTCCTTGTATTAGAACTTTTTTCTTTCCAGTTCTCTTCTCATTCATTTTGATAATATTCTTGCTCATGGTTATGATATTTGTGATTTCTTTTGATTTATCCAATTTCTCTTCTCTTCAGGATACATGAGAAATCCTTGTTTCAAGTTCATCCCTCAGACTGTAAACATAAACTTATTTTGATTGTTTATATAATCATCACCTAATCATCTTATTCTTGTCACCATCATACAATTGTAACTTAGTGCCATCAACCGGATTACAGTGTTGTGTGATCGACTACCAATCGGATTATATATTGGAAAAAGTGATCGAGAAAAGTTCAACTTTAAGATGAAATAAAATGTTCACTTTTCTGTTAATAGTTTTCGATAATATTTTTCTTCCTTTGTGAATTCATTGTTGAACAATATTTCACATCAAAAGGTAAGGTTTTAAGTCTTGATGTTATCAGATAGGTGACAAAGAAGATGAAAAGTTCAAGAACAAAAAGAAAGGAAATCATCATTCCCTGAGTAAATCTCATTTTCACTTCATCTTCACTCAAAGTTCAATCTTGAATTAACTTTTTCTTCAGCTATTCCAAAGGCAATCGTTGATTACATATCAGCAGAACTTGGAGTTTAATAAACGGCTTACGATTCTGGAGTAAACAATTCAATCAACTACATGAGATTAAGAGGTTAAAATCAATTACTTATTCCAAACGATGAAACTTTCGTCTTAATCATGAACAATATACTAAAACTGTAATGATAATGTTAATTGTATTGTCTTATAATAGTAATAAAAGATTTACTATCATCATGATAATGAGAGAGAGAGAGAGAGAGAGAGAGAGAGAGAGAGAGTTATAATCATTCTCATCATCATCATGTTTAGTAAATTGGTGATCAGTTAATTGAAACAGCATGATAATAATCATATTGCAATTGGAATGAAATAAATTGCTCAGAAGGAAAACAGAATTCATTTACAATGAGAAAAGAGGTGAAACATTGTGAAAATAAGCAGAAGATAAAGTTAAGATACTAAAACGATTGTAATATTAATTAGAGAAAGAGACAGACAGACAGGGAATCCATTATATTGTATATCATGAATCCGATTCTTAATCATGATCATCAGAATCTTCAATCCAAAGTAAACAAAGTGTTGAATACTTTTGGTCACAGACAATATTGTTTTAGTGATCATTGCAATTGTTTATTCTGGATAACATATAATAATCAAGGATAATAATGGTTAACTTTATTACCTCTAAACTAATAAAATTGATTTTGTGGATGAATCTGGTTTTCATTGCAATTCCCTTAACTATTATAACTCCAACGTGTATTGTAATTAACTTTGACAAGCTTCCTGAAAAACCCACAACACTCTGATAATGATGCATTCCCACCATGAGGTTGGTGGAGAAAAAAAAAGTAAAAATAATAATAATAATATGTTAACAGGGGTAGAAAATGATGTATTCTTATAATGATATTAGCACATTGGCTCACAATATATATAAGATTATTATCAATCTGACAAATTGAGAACTGAATTCATGAGTAATATATATTATGTTGTTCTTGATGGGAATCAAATTGTTTCAGGTGAAATCATTAGAATGGAAAATTTTCGCTAACTTAATAGTTTCATGATGATAATCTTTTGTTCATCATTGATTAAATTCAATGCATGGTAAATTTTTTTTTTCACCAAGAGTAAGATAATGATTATCACTACTTTCAATCTAACAAGTGAATAACTTTACCTTTACAATTTCAATTTGAGATAATTATGATAACTAGTTTACTTTTGTTTTTTTCTTCTCCTTCATTATCACTCTCAGTTCATCTCATCATCATCATCATCATCATCTCAATGTTGATGCATGAGTTGAAAAATAAATGTCTACTGAATCTGTTTTCAGGCTTCTGGGTGAAAATCTGAGTTTATCATCATCGATAATGATGTTCAGTTGAGTTTTTTTCTGCAATTCTCTGCCTCAGCCACTCATTCTCTCTCATTCTATCTCTCTCTCTCTCTCTCTCTCTGCCTTAAATTATCATGAGAATTGCAAACCTAACCTTTTTAACTTTTCACCAGCCAATTCACTCTCACCTTTACTCATTCTCTCCCTGTTTTGCATGGAATAAAAAAGAATCGTAGACTTTTACATAATCAATTTTATCCAAAGCTGAGAAAGAGAGCGATAGTAAATTCTGCATAGTTAACCGTCTACTGAACTACTCTTAGGAGTTTATCGAGACTCTCACCTTTTAATATATCGAAATGGATAAAACTTTTTGTTCTATCTAAATGAGATCAAATTTCGGTGGATAAAATACAAACTTTCTCTTTCCTTTTCTGCTTCTCTTCGATAACACCAGTCAATTAGACATCATCATCATCATCTTTTCATCTTCAATTTAACTTATATTCAATCTTTCTGTCTTTCTCATTACGATTTCTTTTTTTACAATAGATTTCACTTCATCTTTACAGAAGCACAAGAGAAGATAGAAATCAAAAATCATACTGATCCTTTTTCAGTATAATACCACTCGAATGAGCCCAAGATAAGGGTGAACATCTAAATCCAACAAGGAAACTGAGGAAGTCAAACAGTCAAAAAGGAGGAGCAGAAGGTGGAAAAATAGTTGTTCGTAGGATAAAATAAAAAGAGAATCGAAAGTGGAGGAGAAAAAGAGTTGAAATAGCGATTGGGGTCGAACAATGATTCTTCGATTTCTTTCCATGATATTCTGTTATGATATATCTTATAAGATTGGTGAGTATCATCTAACCTTTTCTCTCTCTCTCTCTCTCTCTCCCATCTTCATCTTTTAGTCTTCATCAGATGAAGTTGTTTTTTCCTTTTGCTTGTTCCTTGGAAAACCAATTCTTTTCCAATTTTCTCCACAGTATGTAAACCCAAGTTCTGTTCATTTCTCACTCCACTTCTCATTCCAAGTTTTTTCTACTTTCTCACTCCCAATCTTGCTCTCTCTCTCTCTCTCTCTCTCTCTCTTCCACACTCAGTCAATGTACTTTTTGTTACTATCATCAAATAACTTGAACAGTATCTTTTGTTAGTTTTTTTCTACATCACAATCCTCAAGATACCCACAATATTATCATTATTGTTATCATCATCATCATTATTATCTTGAGCTTTTGAATTGTTATGAAATGTCTGAGCCTTATAGTTGGTGAATACATTGTGCAAGGAGCAAAAAAATACATGTGATGATGATATACGGTGAGTATAACATCAGTGAAAGAGGAGGGAAAAAAACTATCTACTCAAAGTGGTTTTTCATATATGACATAAGCAATTGCATGTGTTCTGGTTCAGTTCAAAGATGATGAGCAAAATGATAATATGATATGAAAAAAACAAGGCAAAAGAAAAAAACTAACATTAGAAGCTCAGTTAAGCTCAAAATATTGCATATTTTCAACACCAATGTGTTCATGTAAATAGCTTAGTGTTCAATTAGCTTTTGCATAGTGTGAAGGCGATCATCGGATTGTGATTAATTTGCTAATCAATTGATTACTATCTCCATGATAATATATTTTTTTTCCTTCTCTTTTCCTCTTTAGCTTTATCTCAATATGTTGCTACCCTCGGTGGTATCGTTGCCTTTTCATGTAACGTCTCTGATTGGGGTGATGATACTGTCAGTTTAATGTTATTTTACAAAGATGGACTCAAAGTGCCTTTTTACAGTCTCGATGCTCGAGAAGTGCCTTTCCCTCAAGCTAAACGATTTGGTAACGATGATCGTATGTACGTCAATGAGACAACCTCACCTCCATCGCTTGTAATTAAATCAGTTAAACTTGAAGATGAAGGTGATTATCGGTGTAGAGTTGATTTCAGAGATGATAAAACAAGGAATTCATTATTTTCGTTAAAAGTTGTTCGTAAGTATTATAATAGTTTTTTCCTTCTTTCAGCATATATATTATGTAATATACAAAGTTACAACTGTAATAACACGTTCAATCAATGAAAGGGTATATAAAAAATAACTAAAGTTAATGATAACATTTTGTTCAAAAAGTGAAAACTTTGTTTCACTTTCATGATAACCCTTTCCACCTACTCAGTTGATATTTTCAACTCTCCTGTTTTCCATTGAGTTCAATCATTGACCTTATATTGATTTTAAAGTGATATAAAATTATCGATATATCTAAATGGTGTATATATAACATATAATTTCTGACTCCCAGCTGAGGGTGGATTTGTGGATGATGATGATGGTTAGTTGTAAGAATATACAATAAATAATAATATGTAAACAATGGAAATGTTATAAAGATAAACAGAAAAGTTCATTGGATAAAGTTTTAAGGTAAAAATGGGAGAAAGAAAGACAATTTATTTTTTCTTTTTAACTTTCTATTGAACCGGAAGAAAGAAGAAAAAAAAAGTTCAATATATTATATAATATGAAGAAATTTATATTTTCATATATTATCTTGATATTGACATTCAAGTGCTTTTTATAGCCACTTTAAAGCCATCACCATTATCGTCAACATGATGAAATTGTTATCATGGTTATCATGAGGGAAAAAGATGATTCTGAAAGTCTATCATTATCTTGAAACAAGTAAAGCAAATTTGACTCATTCAACTGTGAAAAAATTGTCTTGCTTTATTTTTTTCATGATGTTCAATGATTATTATCATTTTTAACAATCTAAGTTCTAATAGAATCTGAATAAATCTTCTTTATATCCATTCACCATGTAAATGAATCATTTTCTTCATGGAGAAAGTTTCTAGAGTTCAATTAATATTACGAGAATGAAAAACTAGACTCTAGTATATGATAATATTATCTAGACAGTGTTGATTTTATCATATGATATTATCCACAGACGAAAGAGATACAGAACAAAAAGTTGAGATTAAACTAGAATCCTAATTTTAATTGAATATATAAGATAAATGTTCATCTTTTTCATGGGTCTCTCTCTCTTTCTCTCATCATTATGATGAATAAATATTATTATTCAGACTATGGTGAAATTGATCAATCTATTATCATGATGGTATTACTCTCTGCATGAATTTTCTTGATGATTAAAGGCATGAACAAAAGAGGCTTAACCAATTTGAGATGAGAATATTATTATTATTATATTTTTTTATACACCATCATGGAACCTGAAACAATAAACAACAACAGAAAAAGCCAGAATGAACTTATAACTTATTAATGAGCTCGAATTATTTTTATATATAGTTGTTAACCTTTCACAACTTTCACCAGTTTAACCTCAGAACATGATGTAAATGAGTTATCTTCCCTTCCCAAGGAACATCACCAATCCCTTTGGTAACTGTGATGATTAAATATCAAGAATCAATTAAGAAACAGATCCTGACAGTATTAATTAAGCTAAGATGTATAACTAAAAATAATTAACATCTAAATGATGAGACCAAGAGGAAGAAGAGGAAAAAAACAATATTCAAATACTATTAATAATATTGCCTGAATTCAGTCAAGTTGAATCAATATGATTTCATGGTGAGAAAAATGAGATTATCAAGTTTCAAAAGTGATCCTTTAATTATCATGATTGTCTGTTGATTGATTGATTAATTCATTATTGATATTGGCTATTAAATATGTTTTAAGTTGAAACCTTTAATTCAATTAATCGGATAATTTAATCACAGCTTAATTTGAATCAATGTGCTGTTGAAATGGGATAAGCAAAAAAAAAACCGTTATCTCAATAGGGAAAAAGCATAAAATTAGATTAACATGATTAACAGCCTAAGTATTTATCACAGGAAAGTATTTATCATTAATTAATTGTAACAACTTTTGGGTAACAACAATTAAATTGTTAATGGTAAGACATTTAAACCCCAAGACTTGTTAATAAATTACAATTAATGAGACAATTATTGATGATGATCATCATCAATGATAAATGATTTGTATTTTTACCCTTAAATTGTGATCCGTTTTAATTACATTTTAATTAGTCTAATGAATTTATATATATGTATTATTTATATTGATTGATGACGATCATTAAATTGATTGAAGTGTTTGAAACAATTAATTTTCTAATCGATTTTACTAATTGTTATTAAAACAGATAAACCTAAAGTAACCGTTAACCTTGGTGCCAATTTAAATCCAAACAATATCAAGGAGGGAATCGATGTGATCCTTGAATGTAACATAATCGCTAATCCAAATATTTTTGAAATCGGTTGGACTTTCAATGATAATCCGGTAATTTCCAATCTATCGGATGGATTAATTGTTTCAAATAATTTTCTGGTTCTACAAAAAGTGAAAAAATCCCACCGGGGAAATTATCAGTGTATAGCAATTAACTCGGTTGGCGAGGGTCGTAGTAATCATTTTTTCCTGAGAGTTCAATGTAAGTATAATTTATGATAGATTCAATTTCAATCCAATTAATAATGAGCAACTTATTTAATAAGATTAGTATGATAATCCGAAGCCATTTATTGTACTTAGATATAAAAAGACAACGTTATTAATTATCGTTAATAACTGTTATTAATGAGGATAATCAACTATTTATTACCAATGTGATTGTTATGTTTCAATGAAAAGATTTATCTTTTCACCCTGAAAAAGATTCTGAGTCTTACTCAGCAATTGGGAGAAAATTTTTCTTCAAATTTTATTGTCAAAGTTTCTTCTTCTTCTTCTTCTTCTTCTTGATTCTCTCATCTTCTAACTTGGTTATTATTTATCATCTTTTGGTCAAGATGATGATGAGACAAAATTGTTTGATTATTAAGATTGTGATTGTGGTCAATGGTTATGATAATGATTTGGATGATGGTCAATCATGTTGATGAATAAAAATTGAATCCGGAAATTTGAAATGATTAGTTTTGTCAAATGAAAAGTATCACTGGTTATGGTCATTAATGTCGATGACCATTACAATACAACAACTGAAAAATGATCAGGAAATGGTCAAGGAAGAGTAAGAGGAGAATGATGATGATCAGAATTATGATGTTGATTAGGAGAGAGAGAGAGAGAGAGATGGAGATAAATGAATAAGATAGAAAATTGTGTCATTAGAACTTTGAGTTTGATGTATGTGAATGAAGGAAGTGATGATAATTGTGAATTCTGTAAGTGGATAAGAAATGATAATAATGAAATGTGATTACGATAAATGGTCACTACCTATAGTTTACTGGTCAACTGAATTGTGGACAGTATCGTATTTATTATCATCATTATTGTTACATGTTGTCAGAAAATAATCTTCACTTTTTTTTATCGATAACATAATTCTGACTGGTTGTTTCGAGATAATTTCTGCTCATTTCATGCATTGTGTCCATTCATCAGAATTTTCTAAAATCAGATTAATAGTCAATTTTCCAGGGAGATTGGATCATCTCAATTCAATTGATGAACCTTATCTTCTTGATAATGAGACTAATTAACTTACATGGACTTGGATCATTATGTTCAATAGACAATTTCTTTAGATCTAATCATCAACTGATTTTAGGTCAACTAATCTGATAAAATTTTACAACTATTATTATAACTCGATAAGATTATCTGACCATGACAATAGATATAATCATTTGAGAATCAATTTGATAATGAATTTGTCTCAGATAAGAAATTGAGTAAAAGTGTCAATAGAGAGTATCAACTATTAATAATTAGTACAATTAGTTTTCTCGTAAGAATTAAAATTAACTTTTTTCTCTTTGAGAAGATTAGATTAGATTAGACTGATGATAATTCATAATTGATATTCATCTGATTGGATATTTCATTTGATTGAAAAAGAAATAGTAAAGTCAATTATCGTCATTGGACATTGGAATCATGATTATTTTGGACTTCGAACTTGGTTTCGAGTTTAGTGAAACGAAGTCAAGTTTAAATTTCTCTTTCCTTTCAATCAAGTTTACGAATTCAATTTGTCTAATATAACTTAAGAAATTGAATTGTATATGAATACAACTGAATTTTTCAATTCCAATTCATTTCGAATACAATCAGACAAGTTACTCTCTTTTTTTTCCTCATGAAACTTTTCTAGAATCAAATGAATAATAATAAGCAATAATAATAGAAGAAAATTTTACTTCTTCATTGAGAAAGAATGAAACTGTTATCTCGATATGAAGATATTACTTTTTCTTTCCTTCTTCAAGTTTCCTCATTCCAAAATTTTGATTCAATCTCCATGATCATGAGACTAGAGTTCCATGTTTATATGTTAATGGAATTGAGAAGTAAAAAAAAAGTAGAGACTATGAGCTCAATAATGATAACTAAACAAAATGAAAAGGAGATGGTTTTTTTACTGTCAAGTGATGAAGAAAGGGAACGAAAAGTTCAGCTCCAATTCAGAGTTATCAAGGTTATTCAAAATCCTTCACTTTCTATGTTATCATGGAAAAAGATAATTTGAAAAACAAAGGAAAGGCTTAGAGCCGAGGAAGAGTTTGGCTGAGTTATTTTCACTATCTCGGTGATGACCTTTCATGATACAAGAATTTTCCCTTCTCATAATTATCGCTCTCAGATGACATGGGGATGATGATGATGAAGAAAAGATTTACATTCATTCGTTTTTCAAATGTCAGAACTTTTATCATCTTATGAGTGATTTCTTTTCTTTCGAGATTCTCTTCTTTTCTCTCTCTCTCTCTCTCTCTCTCTCTCTTTGCCTTTCTTTCATTTTACTGAGAGAAAAATTCACCCTCATGGACCATGAAAATCTCTTGACTCTATCCGTCAATTCCATGAGGCTCATCTTCATCTAATCCTGCAATCTTTTTCTTCATCTTCTCACACTTATCACCATGTTCATATTTATCTCTTGTCTTCTCAAATCGATATCGTTTGATCCAAAGATTCATTAGAACCCTGAAGATTGATAGCTCAATATAAATTTCCCAGATAAAGATGGTGAAAGAATCTGTTGAGAATAAATTGGTTCTAATGAAGATTCTGAGTTCTCATGGTAGAAATACTTTTATCCTCTTTATGTATTGAAATACATTCACATTCCCAGGGGAAGATGGAAAACTTATCATCAAAGGTTAAACTTAAATATTAATATTTTAATGAGGATAATCCAAGGGAAGAGAAAAATGTTTACTCACAATCCAAGAACTTTCCATGAACAGCTCATTTACTTTACCAGAGTCCAGAATTCTAGTTCTGTTTACTATTGAATTTTATCATCTTACTTTTTATTCATTAAAATTTAACATTTTACTTTCTAATATAAGAAAATCATGAGATAACATATGATCCTTTCGATAACCATGATGATATTGAATAAGGAAAATTATGTTTTCCATTTTGAGTGAAGGAAAGAAATTTGAGATAAATCAATAGAGAGAATTGATAAACAAACAATATCGAGAAATATTAATCATTGCTAATTCTTATTATCGTCATGATTTCTCCGGAAAGATTACTCATATTTGTTTGGTGATTTTGGATTCGAGATTATTTCCCAATCTTATTTAGTTACAATTCTGAGGAAAATGTTGCAATTTCTCTTGTTTTTGGTTCTATTTTCTTTTTTTACATAACATTAGATTGTTTTTCTTTTACCTTCTCAATTTAGAACTAAAATTAGCTATGGTTGGACCTCAATTTCTGGACAACTTTACAAACTCGATAGTCGAGGAAAAAAATTCAGTTAACGAGATTTTCTCTTTCATTTTAGAACTTTTTAGAACTTTTTCATTTTCTTTCTTTCTCTTCTTCTCTCTTCCATTATCTTCACCACATTTCAAAGTCTTCCTTTTTGTACTATGAAAAAGAAATAGTGAAAATATAGTGAAAGATAAATAGGAGAAAAGTTTCTAAACTTGAACTTATTTGATTCTCAACAAATTTTAAACTTTTGGAAATTTTAAAATGTTGTGAACTTTTTTTGAGAAGTTTCTTATTTATATATAATACATGTATATATATATATCGAGAACTGGATAGAATCACATTCATGGGAATAAAGAGAGAAAGAGAAATAAACTGGAGATTTATGGTCTGAGAAATCATGTTCCTGATGAATTTGAATGACCCGATGAAGGATGATTAAAGTAAAATAACTTTCATGCTTGTGCGAACTTTGATTCGAATCGAAAATTGAACCTATTCCATAGTGACCTTACATTAAACTTTTTACATTCTTTGGGTAATAATTTTCTTATATTTCGATTCAATGTTCCAACCATTATCCTTGTGCATTACAAGTAATCATCTTTTTAAACATTCGATGGCAAAGGTCACGTAAGATTTGGAAAGTTAACCTTCAAAAGGAAAGAGGATCGAGCGAGAAAAAATCATTTCCATGCAAATAAAATTCAGTTATTCAATAGTAACATCAATTTCACTTAGAATTAAATTCTGTTATATTTCCAACTCCCTGTTATCCTCATTTCTATCCACTTTCAATGTATCCTGTTTATATCTTTGATTTTTTATTCTCATTCTTGGTACTTATCATTACTGTTATTATTATTTTATCATATTCAACATTCTGATCACATCAAAATCAACTGAGTGTGTTGATTTTTCATCATCTTATTCATTGTTAATCCTTTTTCAATCTTATTAATTTTTCATGTTAAGCTGAAAAGGAATGAGAATCAAGTCATTCAATCGTGTTAATTACCATGATAATGATTGAGATAAAAAAACGTTCATTTGATGAATTAGATTTTTTTTCTTCTCGAAACTTTGAGTTTACTCAACCAATTGGTTACTTGTGAAAAGAATCAACCTAAATATGGATAATTTGTGCTCGAAAATTTAATTAGTTCAGCAACATTGAATTCCCTGTAAATTGATAGCTGGCCTTTTGTTACGTAACGAAAATCAATTATAATAGATGATATCAATGATAGATTATCTTATTATCTATCGTGATCATAATGAGAAATTAGTTATTTGATTTACCGTTATCTTTGGAATTGATTATTGGACAATCATCGTATCATCTCATTCATCAACTTATCTTAGCAAATGTTAACATCATTTAACACCAATTAAGAATCAAAGTGATTTAATCAGATTAATCAATTGATAGAAAATAAACTTATCGATTCTGAGTCTTTTATCATTGAAAGTTTATGATAATTTGTTGATGGTTTTCAATTAGCTTTTCAGGAAAATTGACTTGGATTTTATCAAAATTTTCAACATGAAATTCAAAGTGAGTCAAGAATTTTTCAACTCAGAATTGAATTGGAATAAAATTTCAAACAACTCGATTCTGGTTCATTAATATAAAATCTCCATGGTATCAATATTAGAATGCTATGAAATTATTTTCATCTAATAACATAAATGAGACAGAGTAAATATTTAAGAATACAAAAAGCAACTGATTAGATTGAATTATAATTGATTGATAAAAAAGTTCTGTAATTAGTAATGCTACAGAATATATATATAAAGTTAAATGATAACTTTACTATTTCCCTTGTGAATTTATCATCAATCAATCGTTTATTAAATGAAATTACAAGTTCAATTTGAAGGTTCATTTTGCTTCATATTTCATGATAAACTGAGAATTAATCTTGAACCTCTATCTGAGTTAGATGAAAATGTCATGTTAATATTACATTTAAGATTAATAATTGATTCTCAAAGGACTTGAAATGATGCTGATGAATAAATTATTATTATTATTAACATTATCATTGGAAAGTCAATCGTTTTAATAATAACAAATAACCAATGACAACAAAAACCAACATTGCCTACGGAATGATTATCTTTCTCAAGTTGGATGATGATAATAATGATGATGATGATGATGATTATCATCTGAATGTTAACTTAGCTGTATAAATAAAAACTGTTCTGGACGATAAAAGATAGATACATATTCATGGGGATTCAATTCTCTCTCTCTTGAGATGATAATAGTGTATTACCGGCAAAGAGAACGGAAGAGGAAGAGAGAGAGAGAGAGAGAGAGAGAGAGTTGGAAGATGAGAGATGGTGATGGAAGAGAACAAGGTAACAATATCAAATATTTTCTATCAGTTAATTGACTTTCTTTTGGGTTTAACGTTATCAGGCTTAAATATCCTTCTCTCTATTATCATAATCATCCTCATCTTAATCATCATCATCAACAACGTACTAAGTATTATCTTCATTACTTTATGTCTCCAATGTGATTTGTGGAATGAGTTTTTTTGATAGTAACTTTAATCTTAAAAGTCACGTAAAGATAATTTGATTCAAGAGATTCAGTAAATTGTTGTTTGGGTTTTTTTTTCAAGTCTCCTTAGTTTTATTTTGTTTCATGAGAAAATTGTTCCATCATTTCTTATGGTCAGTCTAAGAAAAATGTTGCTCAAATCAAAGATAATACAAAGAACCAAATTCAAATGAATCATTCAGTTGGGCTGGTCAATTTACTCATGATGAACAAACATTAAGAGTCCCTGAGATTTTCAGTCTAAATTACGAACTTTTTTTTTCATTATTCTTTTCTCTCTATTCGAAACTCCAATTCAATGGATCAACTTTTACTATTTCCTCTCACTCCCAGTTATCTACTCTATCTCTCTCCCTGTATGTGTATATATGTGTGGTTTACTCTACCTCATCCTCTCTTCCTTAACATAATCATCATGTTTTATTATCATCAATGATTCTTTATATTCAGATAAGAATCTATATTCACTTTTGTTCATCAACAAGATCATTTATCATCAATCAAAGTTGTTAGTTAAACAATCGAACACAACATTTTACTTAGATTATCCTTGATTTTTAGTATATATTTTTTCAGCTGCTTCATCATCATCATCATCATCATCATTCTCATCCTAATACTTTACCTTTATCTTTATTCCTGGAAACCATTTCATTGACCAATTCATCAATGATATAATATTTACTTTCCTATTTTGATCAGAGCAAAAAGAGATAATAAAATAGCCGCAAGCATATAATTATATTGTAACTGAGGTGAAGTTACCTCATCATTATCAAAAACTGTGAGTGAGATTGTTCAGTTTGATGGAGGAAAAAATTAACTTCATGATCATCATGTTTCATCTTTTAATCTCATACTTCCTTTACATTATCCCAAGGAAGAAAGTGATCTAAAAGTTGCCAAGAAAATAGAAAGAAAAAACAACAACTGAAAAAAAAGAAGAAGAAGAAGAAGAAGAAAATTCTGATAACTCTGAATAATAGAAGGCGAAAAAAAGTAAAGTTTCAACTGGAGAAAACTAGAGATTCTCATTATCATGTAATAGGGAATCATTATCAACGAAATAGTATTTATATATGAGTTACAATCGTTACAATGAAGAGGAGAGGAAAAATTTTCTCTACCAACGAAAATAGTTTTATCACAGATGATAACTATTATCATCCTCATCCTCATCATCGTTATTAACAACTATTATCATAATGATTATTATTATCATCATTTTATCCCAATGAGTTCAACTAATGACAATGTCACCCAAACTAATGAAAATATTATCATTTTTTTTTTTGGCTTTTCACTTTTTCTTGCTGATTATGTTTCTTGTCTCATTAACAGTCGCTCCAATTTGTAAGCCAGATCAACAATTAGTTTATCCTATTGGTGCAAGTGAGGAAACTTTAATCAGCTGTTCTGTTGATGCTGATCCAGATCAGATATCATTTAAATGGTATTTAAATAGCTCATCAACTAATTATGGGATAAACAATTATACCGTTAATGAGACTACAAGTTATTTACTTTATTCACCAAAAAATCGTTACGGTTATGGTTCAATCTATTGTACATCTTCAAATTCAATCGGCCATCAAAAGGATCCTTGCTCATTTAATATTATCCCTCCAGGTAAAGTATATTAATACTTGTAAACATCAACATTAATTACATCTAATTACTTAGAGACTTTTCCATTTGGATATTAATATTGATGATGGTCAATGAATCAGTTTCAAGTTAAACATTGTTATTGATAATGAATTTATTCCTGATCAATTGAGATTCTCTATTTTCTCTCATGTTATTAATATTTGATGGCAAACATTTCACTTGATACTCTTGGATTCTCAATGTATTTTCATTGTTATTTTTACTCGCTTCGTATATTAGTGTTGGTGTTTGTTTTGTAATCAATGAACAAAATGATTGATTGATTGTATCATTTATCATTATTACCATGTGATGTACCAGTGAGAGTGTAACAATTAATTAAGATTGATTGAGAATTAAACATACATAAGGCCTAAAGAACCTCTACCAGCAACAAACAGGAAGGATGAATGGAGAGGTTGTTATTTTTTTTTCTGTCGACTCAATTGGAATTAACGGTAAAATCGATTATCGTCTTCTACTATCGAGTTTTCATTTCGTTGGTTATCAAGAATGTTAGTATTCCAAAGAAATCATGTGATCTATTTTCTTTCTCCATCATCATCTTCATCTTCATCTTCATCATCAACTGACAATAGGAATTAACAATTCTTATGAATTAGCAGTTTTTTTCTGTTTCATCTTTGATTTTTTTTCTTCCTTCTCTTCCTAAACATCAATAAAGTGTATCAACGAACCAGTAATCATGACAAGTTACACCAATTGACAGGGAATCATTTCAACTTTTCAATATTATCACATTTGGGTGATAATATAATCAATTGCGAAATTGTTTACACTTTAAACACCATTAGATGATAATGTACATTATCAAATGATAGTAAATGTTTCTAACTGTTAATTCATCTTCATTTGGAAACTATCAGTTATCTATTCTGTCATTAGATTATCAGAAAGTATCAGAACTTTTTTTTTCTCATCACATCTTTATTCAGGAATCTTTTTCTCTACTTTTTTTTCCCTGTTTATTTTTATCGTTGTTTGAACTCTTTTTTTTTTAAAGTTTAATTTAATTTTCAAAATGGTTAACTTATTGGATTCTCTATTTGTGATTGGTCAACAATTGGATGAACCGTTTTAATCAATTGAATGATTTTCTAGAAAATCATTGGTTACATTGGGAGATGATGAAGATGAGGATGAGTAAAATTTTCTGCTTACTTTTACTGATATTTATTCATTTAGATGAGTTGTAATATTTGAAGATAAAACTGAATTTGGAATGAACTTTTTCATTTTCATTCTCATTCAGTGTTATCTTTCAGCTCATCTTTTACTCAGGTTGAAAGTTCATCACCATAGGAATTTATTTGCAAATATTTTTAGCATGGTAATTTACTCGATTCAGTAATTATCTTTATTGAAAGTTAATTGTCAATATGAATAATGATTATAAACAAAAGTCTTGAAAGAATGAAATTTTATTTTCTTCTCATGTGTATATTATATATTTAGGATTCATTTCAAGTGCATAAGATAATCTTAGAATGAGATTTCAAGATGAATGAGCTTTCAACATGAATCCATCATGGTAGTTACATTTTCAGGGGTTGATAAATTTACATTGTAAGAATGGGAAATATTTTCAAGACATTAATGACTCTGGATGGAAATGAGGAAACATGATGAATTTGTGAAACTCGTATCATGAAGTGAACACTTTTCCTATTAATAGTTTACTCGTTACTTTTCATGATGGTGAAAGATATTGTTACTTTTATTTGCATACAAAATTCAGAGTAAATAGTGATGAAAACCATGATTAATGAATAATATTCATAAAGTTTCAACGATTTTTTCATCTTCCTCTTGTGTTTCGATGAACCAGTGAAACGTTTTTTTTTTGTTCAAAAATTGTTGACAAGAAGAGATGAAAATTCTGGGACATGGGAAAAAATTTTAACATGAAATGGACAAGGAATTGATAATCTATATATTGGACTGAGAGTTTCCATTATTCTTAAATGAGAACTATTTTATATCAAGAAAAACTGAGTCGATAACAAAACATCCAACCAATAAGTTATTTCCATGATAAAACCATAAATTTCATCTTCATTTTAGAGAGAGAGAGAGAGAGAGATATTTATTCTTGAAACTCTGAAATATAACAAGAATTTTTTATCATCATGTAAGTTATTTACTATCATGATGATGGAAAATGACAGTTCTTGGAAATAAGTTTTTCTAATGTAAATCCAGTCAAGGTAAATGTTGATTGGTTGATCGAAATATTCAGTTCAATCTAATGAGAATTGGATCAATTCGAGAAAACTTTTTTTCCCCTCTTGAATTGTGTATACATGATAAGATTTTTATCTAACTACTTTCATCAGAATTTGATGATAATTAGAGTTATCAAGATGATTGTTATTACTCTCATTTCAATCTAATTCATGTTAAATATAAAAGGAAACAGTTTCATGTTCCAATCAAAATCAGTTGATTTATCTCTTGAAAGTGGTTCCAATAATTTACTTTGTATCTTAAATCTTTGCTCACTTAATGATAACCTGGAGCAATAATAATAACCTAATCAAGTTGAAATTTATTATACTCATTTTGATCAGGAAAATGATTCCATGATAATTATTTCTCCATGAGATTAATATTCTGATTGTGAATAAAACTTAATCAAGGGAGAAAAAGGGAAAAGATAATAACTAATACACATATTACCTGATAACATGTATCATTATCAGGAGTCATTGAAGTTGATGATGATAATAAACAATCATTAATATCTCATTGACTGACTTAACCAACTGTCAACCATTTGATAGTAAACAGTTAATTGCTGATTGTTGATAGTTAATCGTTGACATAAACACACATACATCGTAACAATTACTAAAATGAACAACATTATATTGAACGAGAAAATGATTCCTAATTTCATGGGAAAGTTATGGATAAATAAAGAGTGAGAAAAAAAGTTCTAACATTATTATTATTCCAATATTCTGATAGATATTATCATGATTGGAAGAGAGAGAGAAATACAATATCATTAAGCAATTTTTTTCACTTCTTCCAAAGAATTAACTTAATCAATATTAGATTGTGTTCCAAGTGTTGATGAATCTAAACAACGTTGATAATATGAATTGCTAACAAACCATCAAGTTCATGAACTGAAACACCAAGCATAAGATAATTGAATTATCGTTGATTTGAACAATTATTTTTCGTTTGTCTTGATCATGATCAAAGGTATTCCAGTGAAGGTGGAAAATTGTACCATGAAGAATCAATCGTTAACTGGATTATTAGTTGATTGTTCGACTACCCCACTTACTGGACCTTCGCCCATTTACATTATCGATGTTTATAAAGCCAAAACCCGTGAGAAGATAAAAAGCCTTACCAATAGAGATCGTCCAACGTTTTTACTTCAAGATTTATCGCCTCAGGGTTATTATGAATTATATGTTTACTCTAAGACCACTGGAGGTCAAAGTGACCCTGTCTCCCTGAAAGCATCTTTATCCTCGACAACAATGACACATAATCAAATGAAACAAGGTAAGTTTCCGTTTCAATGGATAACAGTATTAAAGATTGTTTATCTTTGTTCATTCTGAGGAGCACAATTTACCGTTATTTTTTTCCATCCATTATTTGTTTGTATTTGAAAAATTTTAATTCGATTACAAATGAAATCCATCCAATCAGCAAGACTCATCATCAAAGTTCAGATGAACATCAATTTAATAAGTCGAGTTGAGTTACTGTTTTACTTTAGTTGTTTCAAGTTTGGGAAACGGAAATGGTTTTATTTTTTTTTTGCAAGAATCGGAAATTGAGATATTACACTTACAGTTAAAGAAATGATGTTGAACATGGTGGTGAAAATTGATTCATTTCTCATGGTTGAAATGTAAATTGAACGGAAATCTGATAAAACTCTGAGAGATACTTGATTTGATTATAATAATTTAATAGTTGAGATAATTTTTCAATAATAATGAAAGAATTATTAATTCAAGAAAAGAAGAAGAAAAAAGTTGTGATGAATGAATGGATAAAATTTATGAATGAATATTAATTTGGTGATAATTTAACATTCTCCTTAACAAGATCAATAGCTGAAGTTGTATTAACAGTTGAATAACTGTCAAAATGAGAGAGAATGGTTAAGACAATGATGATTATGAGCGAGATATTGAATCAATATAATGAAAAGTTGTTGATGGTTCGAATCCATTTTCGGATAAACATTTCACAAGGTTGACAATGAGTTCGACGTAACCTTTTGTCTTTATTTCCCTTTTTTTCCTTGCTCGCTTTCTCTTATTTTCTTTTCTCATCATTATCATCTTTATCTTCATCTTCTCTTTCATCATCTTCTTTTTTCTTTCTCTTCCTCCTCTTTCTTTTCATCATCATTAAAGATATTACCAGGGAAGATACTTACAGTCCTTTGTTGGTTATATTAATGGCCATTGTTGGAACTATTCTCATCATTATCATCATGATTATATTGGCTATAAGAATCAAATCACATCGTGTTGAGGTTACTGACAGAAGACAGGGTAAGTTCACAATCTGTTTTCATCTTCATCTCTTCTCATCATTATATTAATAACTTATCCTGATGATGATTGGAATTATAATAATAATCATCGTCAGGATAATAATAATAACCTTTCAATCAGTCAAATCTTATCAGTTTATCTAATCATCTCCTTTAGATTTTATTGTATTGAACACCCTGAACATAGAGAGAGTGAAAGAGAGAGTGCAAGCGAGAGAGCGAGAGAGAGAGAGAAATTCTTAGACTAAGAATAAAATAGAGACTGGATTTTCCTCCGAGATAAATTATCATGATTCTGTATTAGGATTAATACTAACATTTAGTTTACTCTTAATCCTAACAATTAGCTCATATCAATGTTAGATAATGAGTTTTTTGATTATTGTTTAATCGCCATGTGTAATCATCTTTATAATTATCTATTGTACATTATTGTTATCATGTTTTAATAAATTCATGATAATCATTAGTTTATTAGGCAACATTATATTTGATTGATTCACAATCATAAAATAATCATCATCATATTGTTAGGGTATTGATTAACTTGACGTTTATCATAAATGTTTATCTTTCACCAAATAAATCAATTTGAATGATAAGATTAATCTTTGATTTTATTATTATCATTATGATAATCATATGATGATATGATTATTAATTTTTGACTAAAATAATTATTGATATTTTTTATCCCAATCATTTAGTTGGACCTTCAACCGCTTATTACGATGAATCAAAGTAAGAATTTCATTTCCAAACAAAACCTCAAATTCTCAATTCTTAATACTGAATTTTTCTTCTGCCCTATTTCCCCTCAGGTCATATCCCAGAATAACACAGAAAGAGAAAAGCCTTTGTGATCTAGTTAATATCGATAAAAGCCTTCCAAACGGAGACATCTCATGTTTCCAGAATCCTTATGGTGAGTAATCAGTTATGGTTCATTTGAATTCCTAAATAATGATTGGATCATTTTTCTGTCTCAACTTTAGATTATCACAACATTAAACAAACCATTGAAATGACATTAAAACAAAATAAACTTCCGATTCCAATGAGGTCAACAATGATTCCTGAAAGTCCAACAGTCAAATCATATCAGTTATCCTCATCTTCAGTAAAGGTTAGTTCCAATGATCAGTTATTTATTTTTTCTCTTCCGATGAATCTCATGGAAAATTCTGTGACATTTTCCTTAGCATTTATATTTTATATTGGTGGAGACGATTTTTCCATTTTCGAGTCTTAATACGTTTCCAAGTTAATTTCAAATGACCAAAATTTCCAATTTATTCTTTGTATTGAATCATATTTGGAAAGATATCATTAGTATAATATGAAGAATATATTTACTGAGTTTTATGATACCTCTCTCTCCCAGAATTGTCTACCTCACCCTAATCTTATGGACAGAAATGTCAAACGTTGAAAAGTGAGAAGGAAAAAAATGTATTCCAAGTTATCTGGTATTCATATTCATGAATACCCATGTACTCAGATGTATTGGTCTCAGGTGAATTTGAAATTTGAGATGGAATCAGAAATGGAATCGTAATAACAAGATGAACATTTTCCTTATCCATTTTTCAGAATGATAATATTACTATTACATTTTATGTACTTTGTTTTGTTATCTTTTTATCATCATCATGACAAAATTTACTCGAATAAGGAACTGGAACAACAATTTTCAGATTCAGTAGAGAAGTAAAAAAGTTCAGTAATATTTTCAAATTTTTTATTCTCATCCTTTCAGGGGAGATGGAAAAGAAAAAGTTCTAAAGACAAAATGTTTAATAATAATACCTACAAGTCGATTCAAATTGTAGTAGGAGAAAAATATTCTACTCGAATCTGAAGAGAATTTATTATTTTCTATTTCTGATAATGAGAATAAAAAACATTATTCCAATGATTAGAACTTTTATTTTTTCTCTCTTCTATCCAAATCAAATTAGATTCTAAAACTGTAACTGAATAGTTTTCGGAAACTTTATCATGTTGTTTCAATTCTGTCGACTTAGAAAATTTTCTCAAAAAGATCGTAACATGATAATGAGAAGAATAGAAGGAAAAAAATTGAACTGTTCAGATAAAAAGTGTTCGTTAGTCTATAAAATTGTTTTTTCCTAAATCGGAAATTTAAACCTATTTTGATTATTAATAGAATTTCCAAGAAAATTTCATTTCTTAAGTCTGAACAATGTCTCGGAACTCATGAACTATCTGTTAATATATTATTATCTTTGTCTCTCTCTCTGATTGTCGATTTGAGTGTGAAAACTTTGCCCTAGAGGAAACTTAGTCCATGGACTTTCAGTTCATTCCTAATGTATCATGATAACAATCCATCATTGAGTCTCTCAGAATTTCATCATGCTGATAATAGCCCACCAGCTATTTATTTATCTTATCCATTAGAAGAATAGAATGAGAAAAAAGTGCCAACAAAAGTAAAATTAGAAACTTTCAACAGAATGAGAAAACCAAGATTCGGACACCCTGATATTATATCTTTGACATTGATATGATTAGCTGATAGCATTTCTTTTAACAGAAAATGCTATCATGTTACATGATGAAAAATCTTGTTTTTTTTCATATCACATTTTTTTTCGTTCGTTATTTTCAATCTGAAAAATCAGATTCTGTTGGAATGATAATTTCCAAATCACAGTTAGATAAATGGTTAAATTGAAATGCTGATGATATTTTATCAGGAAAAGTGAAATTGATGAGGATTGTGTTGAATTGTTTGTGACAATCAATAGTATTCAGTGTAAAGGGATAAAATGAGAATATATTTTAGGCTTTTTCCTTAACTTTTTCCTAGAATTTTATCAGGACACAGAATCCATTCAGATTTATTCATATGTAGGTTTCCACATCCTCCATGATAGTTATAAATCCATTTATTATTTTATTTCCCATTGAGATGAATATCACTTTTGAATACACTTTTCAACACAAGGGAATGCAAAATTTTTCTCTCCTTTTGTAAAAATTGATGGTTATGATAAAGAATCAACATTTTCCTCAGTCACTTGTTACCATTCAAATGTTTATCTTTTTTTTTTCATCTTCTTTTCTGGAGTCATCTTTTTGTTACCATTTTCCTTTTTATCATGATCAATGGTCAATGATAAATGTTGATATACATTCAACCTGAAAATTTTCAGAACCATCATGAATATCAAGAGAGAGAGAGAGAGAAAGAGAGACCAACATTTTCTTTAGAAGAAGGAAAAAAAAGTTCTATCCTTCAGTTCATAAGTTAAGGTTGATTATATTCTTTGGAATAGTAAAACTAATGAGTAAGTAGTTGATTGTAGATCTCATCAGTATATTAAGATTCTTATCCGGGTTTGATACGTTTTCTCAGGGGAAAAATGTCCAGGAAGTGAATGAGTTTCAAATGATAATCTTATTATTATTATGGAAAGTTAATCTTACTTGCTAATTAACCAAGTTAATCACAATTGACAATCCAAAGGAATTATCCTCAGCTTGGGTGGATCTTTTTATCTTCAAATTAAACTGTTCTAACAAGATAAACATGATTAACTTTTATCGATAGTTTTTAATGAACAAAAATTTTCGCCAAACAATTAATCTGATAATTAACTGAATTTAGTATTAGTATTTGTGTATATGATTATGGAGATTATTGAATTTTTGTTCACCAGAAAAACTGATTAATTATTGATTATCTCATTAAACCAACCTGACCAGAGGTGAAACTCATTAGCATTTATGACAATTAGTGTTATAATTATTTAATCACTGAAAGTAAATTATTAAGATTTTCATCCCATCCAAATTCAAAGTACAGGGAAAAGTTTAGCTGAACTTTTTTTTTTAAATTCTGATAAAACCCATGTTAATCTGGAACTTTTTTTGAAACTTTTTCCTCATCATGCTCCTTATGGTATCTTAATCACATGGGATGAGTTTACATTCAGTTTACACATAGAATTCAGTAAACATGGTTGTATTAATATTTACCTAGATGAGAAAAAATAATAAGAGAATTGTGAGTCTTTGGATTCTGTATGAAATTCAAGATGGAAATGAAAACATAAAGATCTGGAAAAAAAACTGAATTCACCATGGAATTGAATCTCGATCTAATTGTTGTTCACTATTTTGAGGTTTCACTCAATCTTCAGAATGATTAATGGTCAGAATTTTGTTCATTATTCAACTCGGTTCAATATTAACCCTTTTTCTTTTCTCCCAATTCTGAGTAAAATTATATAATATATAAGATGAAATAAGAGTAATGATAAAAAGTGAGTACATATCCGAAAATGAATCAATCAAAGTTTAACACTAATCTTGGTAAATCTTTTAATGTTTTATCAATGATTATCCTCTTGTCACGTTATCCTTTTACTATTATTTTCCGAAATCAGATTGGATTTCATGTTATCCAGACATTTTGTACTATTAAAAAATTGATAACATTCACAGTAGAGTAAAATATTAAATCTTATCATGAAATGAATATTCTGATTCCCTAGTTACTCATGGATTATCTCATGTGCCTTTTAAATGTTTCATTTTATATTTCTCTCTCTCTCTCTCTCTCTCTCTCTCTCTCTCTCTCTCTCTCTCTCTCTTCCTCATCTTAATCTATCCTAGGAACTTTGGTTGAGGAACATGTTCGTCTGAGAAATTTATCTTCTCTTGAGGATCCAGGAAAGATTCCAAGATATCGTTAATCAGTGAAACATGCAATCAACTTCTAATAGATTCTGGCTCTATGGTGAACGATGAATGTTCAGATAATGATCTTATCCCTTCAGATGCAAGTTTAATGAAAAATATCAGAATCTCATGTGATGGAAGTGAAGTTACTGTAAGTAATATAATTAACTAATTGTTATCTTACTAGAAAGTTAAAATACACAATGTATCCAATGGTCTTGTGTAACATTTAGTTCAGTTAACAGGCAAGGATTTAAAATGAATACCTGATTAGTGAAACATACCATGAATTTGGTTTTTTTTGTTCATTCTCCATCACCAAAGTTTATTCATCTGAGTTTGATGTTTCTTTTTTTATATCATCATCATGTTGTGTTAATTGTGCAACAATTTACTCATCTTTTGGGTTCAGATATCATTTCAACTTCCGCGGGAACAAATAAGTCCAATGACAATTGTTGATAATAAGACTACCCTGGTTTAAGTTCAATCGACCGGATGAGTTCTGATCAATTGGAACTATGTGATTAAATAGAAATAGAGAGAAAAAAAATCGTCGAAATGTACAAATGTTTGAATGTTTGGACACAGAATCCAAGGTAAATATTATCATGATGAAATTTTCTTTCACCAATCATATGTTTCACATACTAATTGAATTTCTTGTTTTCTTTTTTTTTGCCAATCAAATTAAACACTTCGTATGATTACTAATAGTTACAAGTAATTCAATTTATTCGCTGATTTATCAACAGTTTCTCTAAATTCATGATATTGAATGTCCTCGTCATGATAATTTGGATTGTCCATACAATGAGAAAATCCTTGTGGACAGCTAATAAAAAAAGTGGTTCGAGTTTTTGATTCACAAGAGGCTCTGGAAAAAAAATTTCGATCAACGAAATGTTATCAAGCTGATATTTTGATCTTATATCGTATGGATTTTGTTTTCTCGTCAACTCAATTGTCAATGAAGGATAAAGAAAATGTCCCAATCATGTCAATCAACCAAAGTCATCATGACAAAAATGACCACGCAATTGACCAGAAGGAACCTTGGCTTATACATAATCGCTGTGATTCAAACGAAAGTAACACTGTGATAGCTCATAAATGAAGCTCTTTTTTTCAGCTCAACTTGGAAATTTGAAAACTTTCATCGCCATGAAACTGAACCGGACTAACGAATGAAATTAATACATTGTAACCAAAACTAATAAGTCCAAGGTGAAACTTTTCAATGTCAAAATTTACTAAAAAAAGATAATAAAATAGCTAATAAATATTAGATCAACATTGAACTATTATTTTTTTTAATCAATTTTAGCTCACATGGTGAGTGTGCTGCTTGGAATCATGATGAATGTTGTATTGATATCAATAGATTTCAAATCAATGTTGATGCAATATTTATCCAACTAATGGATTTCATGAAGATAACTCAGCATTTCCAGATGAAAATATTATCATGGTAGAAATCAGAATTCTGTGTAAGGTGAATTGTGGGCTCAATCAATGAGATCAAGTTAACGTATAACTTTATTATCTTCACTCTTGAACTCGGGTGTGTGTACCCATGATGGAAACTTTGATGAAATCATCAGAAAAATGAACTATTATAAAGAAATAAGTTTTCATGAGTGAGTAAAAATGTTGGAACTTTTTTCTCACTTTTTTTCACTCTATTCTTTACCTTTTTTTTTACTGGTAAAAGTTATTCTCAGTAAATCATCATGAGTCAATCAGGGAGAAGAGTAGAAACTGAAATGAAATCAATTCCATGTTATTATATAACAATTGTAAACTCTCAGAACTTTATCAATTATCATCTATCCTTAACTCTCTCTCTCTCTCTCTCTTTTAATTGAAATGTTTTCTTGAAAATGAATCAAATCATTTCTCATCTTTTCCCTTGACTCATTTCATGATAACCTTATCCATCCAAGATGATATTTCATCCAGGGATAAATAATGAGATAAGGTATTAATACAAAGTGAAAACTATAATATTACTTGATGATTATGAGTGTAAAGGTTGAACATGTTTCAGAATTATGAATTTATCTGAACATGATTCTTGAACAGCATCATGATGCAATTATGCAATAAAATCAAGTAAATTACTCTACATGAAATTGAGTAAATATTGAAACAAAAAGCTCACTTGCTCACTCATTCACCTTTTCTCTCTCACAAATCATTCTCTCTCATTCTCTCCCGTTGCTTTATTAAATTGTGATAATGTTTCATCACCAATCAGACTAAGTGAAAGTTCATTGAGTAAATTCAATTCATCACTAAGAGATTACTATTAATACAATCAGTTCTAATCGAGTGAAAACAAAAAAATTACTACAGTTTTTTTTGTATCAATGAAAAGTTCAACTTTTTCTGAGAGATAATTTTGTCTAAGCAACTTTGTTGATTCGATATTGGCACTGAAAATTTACCTGCCAATTACCCTGAAGACATTGAAATCGAGGTAAACATAAGGTATACTTACTATTTATTGGTGAACTTTGACTTACAATGAGTCGAGAATGAAAAAAAAGTCACCAAATTAATTCAATAACTGATGATAACAATCAAGAATTTTCAGTAATCATGGTAAGTTTGATTTCCCTCGATGAGATTCAAAATCGAGTTAAAATTGTTCTCTTCGAATTTTTGTCAATTCTCTATAAATATAGGTAATTTTTTATTGCCATTTTTTTCCTCATCACTCTTATCATGCTTATTATCATGAAAAGAACAGAAAGAATATATTATTATTACATCAGAATTCCATATTTCTGAACAATATACTCATGCATCAATGAACTTCTGTTGCTTGATAATAACATTTTTCTATCACAAATTTCAACTGTTCATTGATTGATCGATCAAACTGAAAATTGAGTTCCCATATTATCATTATCAGAATAATATCAATATAAACTGAATAATAACAGAATAAAACTCGCTGAGGCCGATAAGTAAGGTGGAATGAAAAGAAGAAGAGGAAAAAAAAAGTTCTAATACAAAATTATTACCTCAACCGTTTAATTTGCCACCTCTTAGCTTGTTATCATTCTGATCATGATGTTAATCATCTTTAATTAACTCACTGAGAGTATCAAATCTATTATGAATAACAATGAATTTCAATGTAAATAAATGTTGAGAATTTTGGAGAAAAAAAAGTTTTTTTCCTCTCCCTGTATTCATTTTCCATGAGGTTTATTTGTTTATCTTACATATTCTCAATATTATGTAATATTAACGATCAATAAAATATTATCAATAAGTCTCTCGAGTTCTGGATGGGTGAAACTCTGAATAAATACCTGAGGGTGTTATTCTTGTGGTGGTGGTGGTGATGGTGGAAATTACCATGAGTAGCCTCAGGTTATCATCTGAAGTAAAAGCGATTGGATAAAATTGGATATTATCGGCAATGTTATTCACCATCAGTGGAGATTAGTTTTTTTGTAAATATACTTTTACTCCAGTTTTTGGGATGTTTTTTACTCTGTTACTATTTGCATACGAATATTATATTTAAATACTATCATGTTTATAGTGAAATATTGTTACAATTTCGAGTTGGATGAGTTATCATGAGCTATTCTGCTTGTTTATTCTGATTCTAGAATGTGTCTTAGTGATTGATTGAGAATACGAAATCATTGTGACTTGAAATCGATTATGTTTTTTTATATATATCATTCTCTCGGTGGAATCATTTGAAACATTCATCAAAAGTGAATAAACTTTTTGCTCGTTTCTCGATTTGAACTTTTTTTTTCGTCTCTCAAATGATTGACAGCAAGATTTTTATCTGATTGATAATTTAATTGTTTTCATTGGAAATGGTCTGATTACAGTTTATAGCAGTTATATTTTTGATTAGAGATTAATTTGGATTCTGTGATTTCTGGATGTCCATTGTATTAACTTTTTGTATCATTTGTCCATTTGTTTTCCGAGTCATTGGTTGGAGATTATCATTTGTTTCCTCTGCTCTCTCTATCGTTTTCTAACCGAGAAGACCTCCAAGGAGACCTCCGCTTGATGATCCGCTTGCACTGACCGAGGACGAACTTGAGCCTGAACTTGATCCACCGAGACCAAGAAGTCCACCGCCTGAGGATCCACTAGATGATCCACCACCTAATAGACTTCCAAGAAGACCTCCAGATGATGATGATGATCCTGAGCTTGATCCTGATCCTGATCCTGATGATTGAGATGACATGGAACTAGAAGATGAACCTGATCCAGAACTTGATCCACCGCCAAGGAGACCAGTTGCAGTGTTCAATACACCTCCAATTAGTCCACCGTTAGATGATCCTGAACTACCACCAGCTCCTAAGAGGTTTGTAGCCGTGTTTAAAACACCACCGATGAGTCCACCTCCTGAACTTGATGAGACACTTGAAGTGGTAGATGAACCAAGTCCATTATTGGCTGAGCTTGAGCTCATCTGATTAAATGAACCAGAATTAGTTGATGAACCATAGGTTGATTTAGCTGATGATGATTGACTAGAATCATAGATTGACTTTTGATTGTTGGAGGATAAAAAGGCTGAATTAGAATTTCGCAAATCTGATGCTGATTGTGAAGTTGAAGACAATCGATTAATATTACTTGAAGAGTAATCAGAGTTGGCTGAATTTTGTAAATTAGTTGATTGTTGTTGACTGTTGAAAGACTTTGATGAGTTAATTAGATTGTTGTTACTGGTTGAGGAAGAAGATACCTGATTGTTTACTGAACTTCTAATATCATTTGATGATCGATTGAGAACATTTTTTGAACTGTAAGCATTGTTAACAGAATTTGAATTAACATTTGATGATCTTATTGAATTTGAATTGTAATCGGAATTAGCTACATTGTTTACTGATGATAATGATGAAACATCGGTTGATGATCGGACGGCATTGGCTGAATTGTAAGCATTCATTGAGTTTACGTTTGATTGTCGGTTCAAACTATTGACTGAGTTAACTGAACTTTGTTGAGTGTTGGAATTGATATTAGCTGATTGACTGATTGAGTTTGAATTATAATCAGAATTGGCGATATTATTGACTGATGATCGGGATGAGACATCGTTTGATGATCGGGCGATGTTGGAGTTGAAACTATTCAATGCACTGGTACTTGATTGTCGGTTTAAATTGTTAACTGAACTTTGTTGGATATTTGAGTTGATATCGGCTGATCGACTAACTGAGTTGGAGTTATAATCGGAATTGGCTACGTTGTTTACTGAGGATAAGGATGAAACATCGGTTGATGATCGGACGGCATTGGCTGAATTGTAAGCATTCATTGAGTTTAGGTTTGATTGTCGGTTCAAATTGTTGACTGAATTAAGGGAAGTTTGCTGAGAGTTTGAATTGATATTAGCTGATCGACTGATTGAATTTGAATTGTAATCGGAATTAGCTACGTTATTTACTGAGGATAAGGATGAAACATCGGTTGATGATCGGGCGACATTGGCTGAATTGTAAGCATTCAATGAGCTGGTGCTTGATTGTCGGTTCAAGTTGTTAACTGAGTTAATTGAATTCTGTTGGGTATTTTGGTCAACCGATAATCGGTTAATGTTTGATTCATTGTTGATTAATGAATTTGATTGAGAGTTTCGAGAATCATAAACGGCATTATTGTTACTGTTAACAGTTGATGATCGACTAACTTGTGAGTTGATTAAGTTTTGATTGTTAACTGAATTACTGGAAATTGCTGCGGTTGAAGTTGATCGATTCACATCAAATTGATTAGTATTTTTCAAAGAAGTTTGCGAATTGATTAAAGCTGATTGTTGATTATTTATGTTTACATTATTGTTTACTGATCTATGATCTTGATTGTAGGTTGAATCAAGGGAATTAACTGATTGTTGGACGTTTGATGATCGACTGACACTGTTATTGTTAATCGCTGAATTGGCAACGTTGGTTGATGAAGTTTGTTGAACATTTCGAGAGACTGAATTATCGTAAGAATTGTTAATATTATTCAAAGAGTTAGAATTTGATTGAATATTAGTTGATCGATGATCCAATTGATTGTTGATATAATTGTTGTTAGTGTTGGCTGTTGATCGATGGTTAAACTGATTGTTGGCTGATTGTTGAATATTTGATGATCGGGAGGTTTCATATTGATTGGCAATGTTGTTACTGTTAATTTGATTGTTATTAAGTGTTGATGATCGAGTATCATATTGATTGTTAACTGAATTAATATTGTTTGATGTTTGATAATTAGTTGATGATCGAGACTTATTAATATCAACTTGATTGTTCATTGAATTAACATTTCGATGGATTTGATGATTACTTGTGGCTGATTGTCTTCTTACATTGTTGTATCTTTGCTCATCATTAACCATATTGTTAATTGAATTAACATCATTAACATCATACTGTTCATTAACTGAGTTGATATTGTTCACTCGGTTGATACGATTGACTCGATTGATTCGGTTGATTCGGTTGATTCGATTAACTCGATTAATTTGATTCACTGAATTGAGATCGGAAACATCTGATGAATAATTAACATTTGACTCGAGGTTTGAATTTTGATTGTTTACATTGCTACTTCGAGAGACCCGTCGATTGTTTTGATAATTAGCTTCATTGTTTACATTTACTCGTTTGTTTACCTCGATTGTTGCTGATTTATCAAATTGTTGATTACTTTCATTGGTATCGTAGAGGTTTGATCGGGAAAATGTTGACGATTTATGGTTGTTTCGGTAATCTTCATTTCGAACGGTTAAATCGTCAGAACGTTGATTGACAGAATTCTTGTCAGTCATTAGAGAAATTGATTTATCAATTGATCCTCGACGGTGAACTCTTAATCCGGTTCGAATGTCTCTTCTTTCCATTCGATCTCTTTGGTCTCGATTGTTATAATCGTAACTATCATTATCGTCGTTATCGTTGAATTCATCATTAACATCATCATCATCATAATCGTCGCTCATGGAACCAGTTGAACCGAATCGTCTTCGGTGTCTAATAGAAGTAGTAGCAGCTCGAGCAAATGATCGGCGGCCAATTCGTCCCCATCTACTTTCGGGTTTGATATAGATGATAACACCTTCATTGTCTTCACATCGAGATCCAAAAGGTCCTCGGGGTCTGTAGATTGTTGATGATGAGCCTCGGAATCGATTATCACTATTAACATCATCATCGTCGTCAATATTATCATCGACATTACCAGTTAATGAATCAGAGATGACCATTGATGAAGTACCGGAGGTTGGGAGTGATGGTGATGAAGAAGATGCTATTGTTGTTGTAGTTGAAGTTAAACCACCCATTGGACTGGAATCAGGTACAGATACTGAAGATGAGGTTGATCTTACACCGGAAGTAAGTCCTGAATCTAAACCTGATTGATAGGAAGTATATGAGGCTTGGTTGTTAAGACCATTTGGAATCATTGAAGGTCCCGAAACACTCGAGTATGAAAGTGAACTCGAGGCTGGAACGCTCATTGAAGATGAGACCGTTTGAGATGCTGATCCACCTAAACCACCGACCGATGAAGTTGATTGAGAAAGTTGACCCATTCCACCCGACGAAGATGATACCGATTGTGAGGAAACAACTTTTTCGCCGCTCGATCCGATGTCCATTGAGTTCGATTGATACTGTTTACTTGATTGTCCGCCAATACCCATCGATGATTGTCCATAACTATTAGTAAATTGTTGCTGTTGAGTACTTGCTCCTAACCCGATGGGTACATTGTAACCATGGGCTATGCAATTGAAACAACCGATTAAAACAAATGATATAATTAAATTGTTCATCTTTGATTAACTTTAAACACTAGTATTAAATTATAATGAAATGAACATTACAATTTGATTGAACTACCAGTTGATTGTGATTCAATTTGATCGTCGATTCCTCTTTATATACTCATCTCTCTCTCTGGTTGTAATTAATTAATCATCTAACTGCTGTTGATCAATTTATTTTGGTTTTTAACTAATTTTTTACTTCACTTTTAATTGTTAACAATTAATTGTCTAAATTAAATAGAAAATAATAAATCATTTAATTGATAAACTATTACATCTGCTTACATTATTTTTCACTCAATACAATTAAGTAATTAATCAGTTATTAATTGAATGTGTCTGTTGATTATGTGATATCATTTAAATTTGATCACGATTGTTTTAATTATGATTTATTGGAAATTGTTGTTTTTAAGATAATTAATTAATTTACATTGAACTTTTTGCCGAGCAATTAATTAATTGTCTTTATATAATGATTCGTTTCAATTGGTGATAATAGTTGAAAATAAATTATTTAATTTTATTGAATTTTGTACATTTAAGGTAATTTGGTGAAAATTATTGGACAATTAACTTTTTCAATTAAATTTCTTTACAGATTTTATTGATTTCGTTTTGTAGTTGAGTGAAATTAGGACGTTCTGATGAGCTGATTTTCCAACAATTAACCATAATTGTCCAGAATTTATCGGTTTTAGGAATTCCTTTGTCAGGTTTGCTTAGAGTTCCTCCTCCTTCTAGAAATTTAATTAAATCAACAATTGAATTCTTATTAGTAACTGGATAATCTGGAATAGCACCAAGACTAAAAAGTTCCCATAAAGTGACACCAAAGCTCCAGACATCAGATTTATGAGTAAAAATGGGATCATTTCTGATCGATTCGGGTGCGTACCTATTAGGATGAAATATATTTCGGTTAAATTTTTAATCAATCTAAATTGTAAATCAAACTAACCATTTAAATGGCAAATAACGAGGGTTCTGACAAAATAAACATCCTCTCCTGGTCCAAGTGATTGAGCTAAACCAAAATCTGATATCTTTACAGTGTCAGTCGAGGACATGAGTATATTTCGAGCGGCAAGATCTCTATGTACGATTCTCATTTTTTCAAGATATTCCATTCCAGAGACAATGTCATGAGCATATTTTTGAAATGGTATCGATTTCAATTCATTAGGTTCCAGTTTACGAAGAAATTTGGCCAAAGATCCAAGTTCCATGAATTCCATGACTAACATTATCTCAGGATCTGAAGGAAAGAAATAAAAGAAAGTAAGTTGAATGAATAAAATCTTGTACATGTTACGATCACCGAACTTGCCTTTAACTATTCCAATAATGCTGACGATGTTTGGATGAAATACTTTGGTCATTATTTGGAATTCACGTTCAACATCAGTGATGATTCTTTGACCATTACGTTCCTTTGCTCGTCGGTTAATTCGCTTAACGGCCACAAAATTATCCGAATCAGCAGGATACCGAGCTTTCAAGACTTCACCATAAGCCCCTGTTCCCAAAATGGCTTCTCGACCATTACAAGTCGCTATTTGAAGATGATTAACCGGAATGACCCAAGGCAAATCAGTGTCATACTCGTAATCAACACTACATTCATCATCTTCCTCCAATCGGTAATCATATTCTGATGATACTCGGTAATTGGTGGTCAACTTATTAAGAAATTTAGATAAACTCGACCTCTTTTTGTGCTCACTTTCTTCAATATAAGCGTAATGTGAAGGCGAACCTGAGCCTCTGAGTTGATATTCACGGAGGAAAAGTTCACGAATATCTCGGTGCATTTCCATTGGGTGTTTCCTCTGTTCGGGATCGGGTTGCCAGCAATTGTGAATCAATTGCCAAATAGGTGATGGACAAGACAGTGGACGAGGTAAATTATAAACATCGGTGCCTGGAGGCCTTTGACCAAGACTGAATATCTCCCATAAGGTTGTGGCACATGCGAAAATATCAACAGATAATGGAAGCGATTCTGAACTAGATGAATATTCCTTGGGTATCCAAAGTCTATCTCCATTTTCATCAAGGTGAATAAAAGGATCACCGAGTCTCACTTGGAATCTTCTGTTTGACCTTTCGACGACCAATAAAGCTCGACATCTAATCATCCCATGAGTTAATCCAATCTCGTGGAGATAACATAAAGCTCGAGTTAAATACATGGCACATTCAATTAACTCATAGGTTTTTATTTCTGAATGATTTCGACGGAGAAACTCATCCAAAGGTCCTGATGGAAAATAATCACGAACGAAAGCAGGAGGACGAATTGAGATGAATCGAGTTCGTGTAATTAAATCGGAAGTTAAACTACTCCAATAATCTAATTGCTCGAGAAAATGAGTTACTCGTTGGTCTATCGTAGGCACTTTACAAAGTAACTTGTCGTCGCCATCGTTAATCAAATAGTAACGAAACGATTTATCTTTGATTGTTTCCAATCGATTATCTTTGGTTAAGTAATTGTTGAAATTTAGTTTAACGATAATACTTTCGGGTGTTTCAAGTTTCTCCTGTTTAACTGCATCACAGCATAAAATACACCATTTGAATATGTTAGATCCTAAGGGTGGAATACAAGTTTTCAATTCGATGCAACCATTGGTGTCGAAGGAAATTTTGAGCTCTTTTTTGAGCGAATCAAATGTAGAAAAGGTCGCTAAATGTTCATCTTGATCTAATACTATTAGTTTGTCCATTTTCTTGACGATTTGAAACTTTTAATTCCTGGCCCAACCCAAACGTCAACCACATATTCGTAACGTTTCTCATCGTGACGAATTAAAAAATTACCAATATTACATTGACTTTTGTCAAGAAAAATGGCCAGTGAGTCGTTTAAACTGATCGGACCATGACAACGAATCTCTTTAAATTGTAAAATCGACGGAGGCATAACATATTCACAGATACATATTGAATCTCCGGTGATTAGTCTATGATAACCTTCCAAAAGGGATAATAATGATTTAAGAATCATTTTATCGGAAATGGCAAAGAAAACGGGTGTTCCATTTTTCCGTGATATCTCAACCCCATGATCTTGAACAATAATGAAACAAATATCGGCAATTGTACAGAAAAAATTCCAATCCGGTTGATTAGCTTTTTGAGCGGTGAAAATGTCTACCGATTGAAATGGCCTGATCTGAAGGAGAAATTCATTGGTTCCTGGCATCCCGTTTGCTTTTTCAAATCGACTGAAAAACAATAAGAAAATAATAAAAAAATTATATTAATAAATTTGATCCTCATTGAAAAGTTGATCAAAATCTTTTCGATCTTCACCTTGCTTTGTAAATTGTGAAATTCTCGTATCCAAGATCTTTGATTATCGTTTTATCGTAATTAACAATCTCATAGATAAATTCTTTCTTAACGAATTGACTTTTACCGAGTCCATCGTTGTTGGACGCTGCGTGACTCGCCATTGCGAGCGTATGTAAAATCTGAGCTCCTTTCAATTCCTTCAAGAATTTTGATTCAGCTTTATAAGGTGTTGGAACAAAATCTCTCAATGATTTAATGTGATTAAGAGCATTTTCCACAGGTATCTTTCTCTCCAGCAGGTAAATCAATAAATCGGTGATAATTAAACCAAACAATTGACCAGTATCTTCAATCTTTGAATTTCTGAAAACATCTCTCACTTGACAATAGTAATAATTGAAGGCATTTTCATCAAGAATCTATGAAGGTATTGAAAAAGGAAAAAGTAAATCAATTAATCAGATAGATGAGGAAAAAAAAATAATAAACTTACAATTAGTTTCCTGAGATCGTAAGGTTTATACCTTATTCTTAATTGTAAAAATTTACAGTTATAATCAAGTTCTGTCAGTTTTTGATTCATCGCTAACCAAAGGTTCATTTTTGGACAGTAAAGTGAAAAGAGATGACGGGCAATTGGACCAATATTACGTTCTCGGCAAATTTCAACAATCAAATCTTCAGTAAATTCAAGTGATGGTCCAATCAATTTATCAATTGTTCTATCAATAATTTCTCCATTTTCATAAATGAAAACCGAAATTTTCACCGTTGTCATTTTGTGATTTTTTTTCTTCTTCTATTCAATCAAAATCAAAAGAAATCAAACCAACTTGACATTTGAATATTTCTAACCCCAACCCTTGGGTTTCCGTTTATACAATCAAAATCACAACCATGATTACACAGAAATCTAATGAAATAAAAAAAAAGACAATTAAAATAAAGAACAAATTAAAATTAAATTCACACAAACAAGTAAATCAAAACAACAACAACAACAACAAACACACCGAGAGTAATTATTACAATGGAGGAAAAACCTCACGAGGAAATGAATGAAACTTACCAGAAACGCTAATTTACATGTTGATTGTTTTAATTGGCTCTCTTTTAAGGAAATTAAAACTTGTAATCACAATTAGTTGATTTGTTTTCTTTCAATTTGTAACTTGATTTGAACAAAGACAAAAAGTAAACAAGACTGAAAGAGAGTCCGTTGCCTAGCAACTAACCAGTTACCAGAAGATTGAAATTTGTTTTCATCTCTATATTTTCACTTAATCATTTAATCACCATCATGATTAACTCATCATTACTCAATTGTATTCTTGGTCCGAGACTTTACCGTGTCCATGGAACTGCTGAGCTTACGGTGAGAAATTTAAATTTCATCTAATTAACGAGTAACAATCAATTTTTTATTCTAACCAAAGGTTTTTAGATTCACTGTTTTTGCTTTTCTCAATATTGTTGTTTACTTGTTCTTGTCTTAATGTGATTGTTTTTTTTTTCCTTGTTCAAGAGAATTAGTTGATTTTTGGTGATTGAAATTAATTCTCTGTGTTGTAATTAATGTTAATCATTGATTGGTTATTGTGTCTATTTGGTTAGTCAATCAGCTTTTTTTGTCATTTTCTTTTTTGATTGAAAATTGTGTTCATCTATAAGAAGATACTAAATATGAGGAAATGATTGAGAAAATTTGGTTGATACTTGAAAACCTTAGAATACAATTTATTGAATTACTTTCCCATTAACGAATAATAAATTTGTTCTTTTCTTTTTTTTTCTTCCTTCTATTTTGATTAGGGTCGTGATTACCAGGCCAAAGCAATCGAATCGATTAGTGATCGGATCATTCGTTTTATGGTCTTCACTTGTTCCCTTGGTGTCTATTCATCACCAATTTTACTCTTTTTCCTCCATCGCCGTGGATTCATTACCTTGAGTCCAAGTGTCTCAGTTTCTCATGAATATGTTTCCACCGTTGTTCGTCTTGGTGGAATCTTATCAATCGCTGCATTTGCTGCACTTATAACTCGAGGAGTCTCACGACTACGAAACAGTGAATATGTAAATTTCATCTCTGTTCTTAATCGTGTCAAGAAAATGTCACCAGAGGAGATGAAAAATTCAACCTTCTTGTTAAACAGATATGATTTTGAATTTACTGATTGGCCTGTTGATTTTAAATGGAATGAATCAAGTCTTGCAGAAATTGGTAAACCTCCTGTTCCATTGGCAAGACGATCTCACAATAACACTCTGGTAGATAAGATTCTATCTATTCCATGTAACGTGTTATCTTTTCTTGCTGTTCATACATTTGGCCGTCGAATGATTTATCCTGGTTCTGTTTCACTTCTTCAAACTCTTGTCCATCCAACTCTTGTTGATGGAAGAAAACGACTCGTTGAACGTCATAAGGGAAGAAGATACAAATTACTTGCACATGATGGAAATGAAATTGACGCCATGTTTGTTGATCGAAGATCAGTTGGAACAGTTGGACAAACTTTGGTTATTTGTTGTGAAGGAAACGCTGGATTTTATGAAACAGGAATAACAGTTACCCCTCTTCACACAGGTAGTACAAATTGTTGCAAGGTTAACTTTAAGTTAATTGTTGTTAATTGTTGTTTCTCAATTTCCCTTAGATTTTTCAGTTCTTGGCTGGAATCACCCTGGTTTCGGTGGAAGTACCGGAATACCTTTCCCTGAGAATGAAGTTTCTGCAGTTGATGTTGTTGTCAAGTTTGCTATTGATAAACTTGGTTTTAATGAGAAATCAATATTAATCATGGGCTGGTCAATCGGTGGATTTTCATCTTCATGGGCTGCAATGACTTATCCCAACATTAAAGGCCTCATTTTAGACGCTTGTTTTGACGATCTTTGTCCTCTGGCCATTGCTAAAATGCCTTCAACATGGAAACCGCTGGTTGTCAATATGGTGAAAAACTATTTCAATCTTAACGTTTCCGCTCATTTGGAAAGATATCCTGGTCCAATTCTTATTATCCGTCGCACACAAGATGAAATAATCAATATTCGAGAAGATGAACCAATCAAAACTAATCGAGCCAATGATATTCTCAATAAATTATTCAAATCTCGATTTCCAATTCTCATGAGAGATGATAAAGTTTGTGAAATATTAGATAAATGGTTATCTGGTGGCCTTGAAAATCAAAGTGAGTCAATATCAATATCACGATAAGAATATTATCTTATCGATTAGAAAAAGAAAACAATTATTTTTCCTTACTTTAACTGCCAATAATATTTCCTCATTTTTTTGTTCATCCATCTTCAGGATCAGTGAGTCGTAGTAAAAATGTCGATCCATCTCTTTGTATGTCGATGCTTAAATCATACATCAAAGAGGACGAAGAAAACAGGTCTCAATATCCATTAATGATCGGCGACGAGTTGGACTCAATCCAGAGAAGCCAATTAATCTTATTCCTTGTAAGTTAATTTCCAATCAGAATTACATTCAAATTCTAACTCTTCCTAATTGTCAATCTCTGTCAGGCATCTAAACATTTCGTCGATTTCAATGAACAACATTGTGCACCATTACCAACCCAAATATTTACCGAACCCTGGAATCTATTCAATGCTGTTAAGAACACAAGTTCATTGTGATTAAGTAAAATCAATTAAAGTAAAAATGGAACCAAAGATTACTGATTAACGCTCATTGCTTTTTTTTGGTGATCACAATCGTCATTAATTACTACAGTATTTTACTCTTATATAATGTAAATGTTAATCTGATTTCTTGATAACAATCAACCTACCAGATGATTTAGCTTATATTGGTTTAATTTGTTTTTCTTTCTACTTTGTAAATTGTTTTTCCAATATTATTCAAACAAAGACTAATTTTTGTCAATGAGCAAACTTAATGATCTTTGTTTTGATTGGTAAAAAAAAATGCTCGTAAATCTATTTACTACATAATAGTAAACTCTTTTCGATAATTTTCTCAATGAGAAAACTCAATTGATTGTCATCTTTATCTTCCTAACTGTTGATTGTCCAGAGGAAACTTTTTTCTTTGGAGTTTCAATTGTTTCCTCATTTCATTTCATCGTACAGATTACATGGGAATTTCAATCTCACTGATTTATCTCAAATCCTCTTTCATTGAACCGAATCAACAACTAATTAATTAAACGAAACAGTATTCATTCAACAACAATTATTTAAGAATTACAATCAGTAATCATCATGATGGATCAATTTTTGTAATGGTCAAACTATTTTACTAAATTAGATTCTCGATTCAAATAAATTGCATCAGTTCAACTTGAAGGATAATCTAAATTGTCTCTACATGTTAAACAAATTAACCATTGAGTTTATTATCCTCATCTAATCAATTGTTTTAAGTTGATTCTCCTTTCATTGTTTACAGTTTACTCATCTTTAACTTATGTAATAACAATAACAATCAATTGTCTCAATTATAATTACTTAAATTACTCCGATTCAATAAAGATAAATAAACAAAGGTAACAATTATATTGTTTTGCCTCAACTCGGGGAATTAACTGATTGTCGTTGCAACGATAATTACAAAGGTCTTGATCATCTAGTTGATTGTAAGTTTCATCGATGAAAATTTTTCTCGTGATTGGATATCCCAATAATCACTGATTATTAATAGTGATTCAAATTGATCCATTTCTCATAATGATTGTTTATTGGATGAAGATGATTAGTTTAATTGAGCAAAGCTTTAGGGTTGGTCCGGTAACTAGTTCAATTTAGATTAATCTGAATTAATCTCGATGGATTGTAAATCGTTAAATTTCTGTAGTGACATCTAATGACTGATCAAATTGATTTTAAATTTGAATCAGTTATTATCTGTGTTAAGTTAGTCACCAATTGAGGTTCTATTTAGATTAATCAAGATTTTCAAGATCTAAATAAGTTCTAATTATTCGAGTCATTTGAACAATTAATGAATTATACGTTGCTATTCAAGTGAATAGTAACGAAGATGAGCATGATCAATTAAATTTACATTAATATTCAAAATGAATACCAATGTTATGAACATAGATTAAATTAGATTAAACCATATCAATATTGATTAAAAACCAGTTACCGGACCAACCCTTAGTTACAGGATTACAATTAATCTGATATCTTGTGCGATCTGTGAGACTAGATAATTTGAGTTAATTGTTTGATAACAGGAAGATTAACTTTAATTACTAAATTATGATATTTTGTCGTTCCTTGTAAAGTATATAAATGTATCTAATTTTCTAGAAGTTATTAGTTGACAGTTTCTCATTGTCATCATGATGAAGTTTTTAATTGTTGCTCTACTTCCTCTGATTGCTACTGTCCATGGACTTGACAATGGCCTTGCCCTTAAGCCTCCGATGGGCTGGTTATCATGGGCTCGATTTACTTGTGTAACTGATTGTGCTAAATATCCTGATACTTGTATTCATGAAGATTTGTACAAACAAATGGGCGAGAAGTTGATTAAAGATGGCTACGTTGAACTTGGTTATGATATTGTGGCCATAGACGATTGTTGGTCAGAATATGAGAGAGACAATGAAACGAAGCGATTAGTTGCTGATAGAACTCGATTTCCAAGTGGAATTAAAGCTTTGGCTGATTGGATGCACTCGAAAGGACTTCGACTTGGTCTTTATGGGGACGTTGGTCCGTTGACTTGTGCAGGGTAAGTCGAATGTCCAAATCTTCGGGTAAAATTTTAATTTTTTCGGTTCTAATATGATGATTTTATCGACAGCTATCCTGCACAGAATGGACCTGGGGATGGCTTCTTCGATATCGATGCTCAAACATTTGCCGAATGGGGAGTCGATTCCTTCAAATTTGATGGATGTTTCGAAGATCCTAAAAACTTTGATGTACTTTATCCCAAAATGGCGACTGCTTTCAATAAGACCGGTAAGCTGATCTAATGGACATTTTGTTTTTAATCCTCATACGATTAATCAATCTTTTCTCATCTAAAAATTGCTAAGGTGCTCCAATAATTTATCACTGCGAATGGCCATTGTATCAATTCAACGCCAACATTACTCCCAATTATGAATCAATCTCAAAATACTGTAACATGTACAGGAACCATGATGATGTTTGGGATTCATGGAGTAGTGTTTCCAGTATTATTCAATTCTATGGAGATTATCAAGATACTTTCGGACGTTACAATGGTAAACTGAGATTTTGCTTCATTGATCATTCATCTATAATTTAATCCTTTTGTGTTTAACTATTAATAGGACCTGGTATGTGGTTAGATCCTGACATGTTGATTATTGGTAACTTTGGATTATCTGAAACTCAATGGGAAACTCAAATGTCTTTCTGGTCAATGTGGTCATCACCTTTGTACATGTCAAACGATTTACGAAGAATATCAAAAAGAGCTAAAAAGATTCTTAAGAATCGTCGAGTGATCGAAGTGGATCAAGATAGTCTTGGTAAAATGGCTCGAAGAATGGTCTATGATAACCCTAAGGGCAAAGTGAGTGAACACTTGATGAATCAACCAATGAATATTAGTAACTTATGAAATTATATTCCAATGTTAGGATCGTCATTTCGAAGCCTGGACCAAGGAAATGGCCCAAAGAGACGGTAAAACCATCTACGCCGTTCTTTACTACAACGATCAACCTCTTGGTAATCCTGAATATGTAAGTTAACAATCAAATTCTTCCTCTTTAATCAACTAATTGCTCTATTTTTCCTCTTTAAATTAGTTCACCGTTTCAATGAAAACACTTCTTCCAAATGAAAATTCTGACTCTAAATTCAAAGTCGTCGACTTATGGGAAGAAGACGAAGACGACGCTCGAATCGGTACTTTCCAAATGTCCGATTCATTAGAGTTAATCGTTAATCCTTCCGGAGGCTCTCGAATGGTTTTATTGACCCAAGTCTAAATTGTAAACAATCAACTGTACAGCTATTATATCCTTTAATCATATCGAAATTAAATTTCCAATTTAACCTTAAAATCTGCTTCAAATTTAATGAAATACTTGTTGATTGATATTAGACATTAACAAGTACAAGTATTAAGAAACAATCAATGAAACTGAAAATATCATAATCAGTATATTCTGGTTGATTGTAACAATCGTTCATTGATAAATTAACAAGGAACAGGAGGAAATTGTTATTTATACTCAACACAATTAAATTAAATAAAAGTGATCAAAGATTATCACAATTGAAATAATAACCTTCAAGTTAATCAAGTTACCTTGAGAAAAACATTGTCAAAACAATTGGATTAATCATTTGGCTTTATTGTCTAACTGAACATTAATTTATCAATGTTACACTCAAAGGAGTTGTCAAAATAGACAATAAACTAATTGTAATTAACTCATTTATCTTTTTTTTCCTCTTAAATCTTATCAAAACAAAATTGATTTAGTTTTTGTCAAAATAAATTATCAGTAACAATTTATTGTTATCATTTCAGATGCTTTTCCAAGTTTAAATACAATCAGAACAATTTATTTTCCATTCAGTTGATTGTTGATTCAGATTTAATTTGATGATTAACTTTCTCCTCTCATTGCTGAGATTTCATAAAAGTTAATAAGCTTAACTAACTGATCAGATTGGATTAAGTTTAAATTGTTGACCATTTAAATGAGAAAACTTCATGACAGTTAGTTGATTGTTGGTAAAGTTTTCAAACAAATTTTCAATATTCTTGTGATAATATTAATAAATCAACTGAATCCAAATCAATGATTGAGTTAATCTGATTAGTAATATTTACTATTAGACAAAAAAAACAACGAGAGAAATTAAAATAAATATAAATTAGCAATTAAATGCATAAATGTACATATTAATACATAATGATAACAGTAATTAAGACTATTGCAATTTAAAGCAATTCTGATTTCATCTAATCATGAAGGGAAACATTATCATGGTCCAATTTGAATCACTGGTGTCAATTTAAATTAACTATCTCAATATATTCAAATGATATTTTCTTATGGTCCGATTTTGTATTTTGGTCAATTGGAGGTGAGATTAAAAAAAACTCCAGGGATGGTCATCGTTGATTATCATTGGTCACTTGATGATATGTTAGTCCTTTGGAGATGATATTGTAATTGTACATTTAGTAATCAAAATAATTAGTATAAGAAGTAGGATATTATGATGAATTAAATTATAATGATTACTGGACACAACCAACAACAGGTTAACTGTAAATGACTAGGGTAAAGGCGATGATGAAGGTGATGAAGATGATGAAGATGATGAAGATGATGATGAAAATCATGACGATGACTTAATTTGAAAGATACTATGGCGTTCATTTAATGGATCCTTGTTTACTTGATTATCATCAGATTTGAAATACTTTTTTCATCATAATTTCATCTCAATTTGAAGCTCAACAAAATCTCATCATCATCACTTAGTTGACTTTTGATTGTCAAAATAAATTATATTTACTTTGTCAACTTTCATTTGATTGTTACCAAATTGCTTGACTACCTTTAAATTAACCAAGTGAAACTCAATTCATCTAGAATCTTGATGATAATAATAAGATGATTGGTGAATTTTCAAAGTTTTTCCTTGCACAATTTAAAACATTGATGAAAATATTCCGATCAGAACAATAACCAATATTATCAAACATATTAAGATCATAATCTGTTTCTGTGGAAAAGAAATCAAAAAAATCATATTAGTTTTGTGATAACAATTAACCAACCAGAAAATAAGGAAAATCGAGTCACAATTAGATGATCAAAATCGGTAAAAATCTTGGTTGTAAACGATTACATTTACTGAGCACAATACGATAACCTTTGGATATTTAAATGCTATGGTGTTTCTATTACTGAGAATTGATACAAAATGATTAACTTGTTTAAAGTTAATTTGCATCTTAATCAATCTCTCATTTTAACTCATTTCAAATCTCGTTAACTGGTTAGTTTAATGATGAAGATAATTCTCATTGATTAGATGAATGATTAACTTTGTATTCAAATGTATTCACAAGTTATTCTTGATTCTTTTTGTAATATAAACATTTCCAGTCATCATCGAGTTAGTAACTTGTTCATGAACTTGAATACTAAATTTGAGTAAGATGAATATTCATTCTGAGTAAATGATCAATCGAGAAGCACTGGAGTAAAAATGATTTACACACTTCTCCAAGTTTCATGATGATGATCATGAGCATCAACTGAAGATGATAAAGTAGAAAATAACAACATTGGAAATGAAACAGAAGATGATGATGAAAAGACAAGGATGATAATATTAGTAAGTACAGATGAAACAGGAAGGTGAACTTGATGAAGAAAATGATGATGATGATTAAGAATTAGAATCAAGATGACAACTTGTAATTAGATTTGATTATCAAGAAAAACATTCATCATCAATTCAATATCTTCCATTTGGGTTTCCATTACTGATTCTTACTCTTCGAGCCTTGGACTGATATTCACGGGCTTTTTTGGTGTCTTGTTTGGCTGTTTCAATATATTCTCGAGCATGTTCAACATGATACTCTATCCGGTCAATCATTTCACCCTGGAAAAGGAAAAGAATAGAAAAAATATAAATCATTAAACGAATAAAATTAACATGTAAATTTACAGAAAAAAACAATTCGCCATGAAAATGTAAATGCGATTCACTTGGAATTGAGTTGAAACAATTTAGTTAATTCTGTTTATCCTCAGTAATAATAGTAAATAAAATTTACATGAAGATTGAAAAACCTTAAAAGTTCATATTTGGATTAATCAGAAATCCCTGAATTGAATTTGATTAACCTTCTAATTTAATTGTAACACTCAAAGTTACAAGTTGTCAATATGTTCATTGAACATTAAAAATAAATATCATTTGAAAGCATCTCAATAAACCTTGACCTCAAGGTGGATTTAATTAACATGTTAATTATTTTGATGCAACTTTTCAGGATCATCAAGGATTAGCTAATATTATTTAGGTTAATCAGTTGAATATTTTTTTTCCATGTATGAAGAATCAACTAAATTAAGATTTCAAGTTGATCAGTGGCTAATTAACATATCATGATGAAACTAATGAGATACAATTCAGGGAATTTCACCAAGACCTCAGACTTTTGGGAGTTTGAGCGATACTCGATTGTCGTATTTGAATATCAAGGTCATTCTTGTCGTTCTTTCAGGATACAATTTCAAGGTCATTTGATGGTCAGAATCGACTCGAATGCGGAAAACAATCATGCACCCAAAACAAGAAGAGTCTGAGGTCTGAATAATCAAAAACTTGCTGGAAATTTGGTGAAATTCCCTGTACATATATTGATTGACAATCGATTAATTAAAAAGTAAATCAATTATGGTAAAAATAATTTTATCTTGTTAATCTTAATTAACTCGGTGAATTTCATTAACTATGATTAGTAATGTTTTCAGTCTATTTATTGACAATTAACTAGATCAACTTACACTAATTGGAAATACTCTGGGTACCATTGAGAAAACATTTCAACAATTAATATTAATCATAACTAATCAACTAATAATAATAATAATATATAACATTTATATTGAGTTGAATTGGTAAGTTAGTGATTGTGTGTATTTGTTTACAATCAAAATACAATTAGTAAACAATAATGATTCCAATTGAATTAGTAAATTAATCCAATTGATCAGATGTATTAATGTTTCTCTCCGTAGCTCTTTCAACAATCAAGTTAATCATAGATAAAACCATTAATATTATAAATATTGAACGAGAAACAATTTAATATTAACACAAGTGAGACTTTGATTAATCATTTTTCAAAATGATCAATCAAATTGGTCTAATCATTTTTTTTCCTCGACTAATATTTTCATTATTATTATCATTATCATTTAGTATTCCTATTCAGTTACCTTGTCAAATTGTTATTAATACAAAGATCATTTATCTGGAAATTATTTATATATCGTTGGGGCTTTTGCTCTTATCATTAGGTTTTCTTTGCAACGGAAATTTGGAGCAAAAAGATTACAATTATTAATATTAATCATTATTACCATGATAATAATCACATATGATTTGGTACAGTTGATAATCAAGAACACAATCAAATCAAGTGTAAAAATGTATTCGATTTTTAATCATTTCAATCTGAATAATGATCCAACTTGAAGCTCCAGAGTTTTTTTTTCAGGGTGATTATTGAGTTTTCTGATATAATTATAATTGCAATGTGTTAATTGTTGGGCAAATTGGTAAATATTGATAATTACAAAAGTCTAGAACTTGAATTTTATGGGAACAGTTTATGATTTGGATTAAGAATCAAAGTTTACATAGTGATCTTTTTTTTTCGAGGATAAAAAAGTTATATAATATTCAAATGCTAATGAAACAGTTAGAATGTAACAATTTAATATAAATGGATTTTGATTAAATTATTATTAGATTTATTATTATAATAAGATAGTTGCAAGGTAGTGGGATAGGAAAAGTTTCATGGTTTTTTTATTCATTGATTTGAGTTGGTCTATCATGGGAATTGTGAACATGATTAGAATGATAAATACGAGGGAAAAAAGGTTATCACAATTAGGTGATAATCATCTGATAAATAATCTCTTTTGTATGATTGAATTATAATCAGATTAGTGAAACAATTACTTATCGAATATCAGTTTGTGTGTATGTGAACTAAATCACAATTAATATTGGGAAAGATTTTCATACAATAATATTTACTATTGATTGAATTCTCATTGGGAATAGTGGATAAATAGACTCCTGTTTTTGAATGAAAATTATTCAGACAAAAATGAACAACCAAATTCACATGAAAATATTAATAAAATGGTAAAATAAACATTGAAAATAACAGAAAACTAGACCATCAGTTTTAAGGTTGAATAATTCATAATGCTAATTACTGATAGAGAAAAACAGAGAATTTAAAATTCAGGTAAATTTTGAAACCTTTCACTGAATTATCATGAGAATCTGATTGGAGTGAATTAAGTAAAGTTTCTCAGAGATTTTGTTATTATTCAGATTCAGTGTTCTAATTAGAGTTGGTAAATTAGGATCAATATCAAGATGATTATTATCTTTTCATGTTCATTGATTGAAATTGAAAAATAAACCCAGGGAATTGTTATCATCATGTTATTTGAATATGGAAGCAAATGTAAATATTTGTTCTGATGAAAAAAAAAGAAAAGGTGAGTTCCGTCATTGAATATAAGGTGACAATCGACAATGAGATTGATTCTGATGAGTCTTTCAAATGGACCACTTTAATGGTTAACAATAACTGACCATTGGCCATTATATATTGTATATTTCAAGAGTTTGTCTAAACAATGAGAGAGAAAAAATCAAGAGGAAAAAAGGTAATCCTGAATTTTAAGTATCTACTCAGGATAACATGAAAAGAAATGAGGTGAATAAAACTCAGAATTTCATCAAGATAATCAACATGAAAATAACTTGAAGATATTAACAGTTTCACCTTCCTCCTAATTGTGATCAATACTCTGAGTTTATTATACCGTGAAAATTATAAGGGGACAATTAAATGATTGGTTCATTTTGTTCAACAATCAAACTGAACGTAAACTCAATTGATCATGTTCAACTTTTCATTGATAGAAACTTTTGTTCATCATAAAATCTTGTTAATATAATGTTAATATTGGTTTTCTCATGATTTAATTACAATCTGATTCAATATAACATGTAACTCATTTGAAACATCATTAAGATCACTAGTTTCATCATTTATTGCTGGTAACCAATTAATCTTGATTGAATTTATATATCTTATTCAGATTATCTTATTCAACGTTTACGTTTATATTTATCATCTAATCATCGTAGTCGATTAAATTGCTAAATTGTTGAAGAAAATATCTCATTCCTTATGATTACAATTTAAATGGAAAACTAGATGACTCTGATTGTGTTTATTATGATTTACTCATGGTAATCAAATGATAACAAGAAAAATGAAGAACAAAACAAATGAATTTGTATTGAAAATCTAATTATCTTAATTGTTAACATAATAATTGATAAAGATCATTTTATATGATGAGAGTCGTAGAGGTTTTTGTTGTAACAATTTGTACACAACAACAAATCAAATAATCATTTTCATGAGAACGTGAGGTTTTCAATGATAATATGATTAATTTTTTACCTTTTCTATCAAATGTTATTAAATTTATTTCATAATACAAATGATTAAACCTTAAAAACTTGACATACAATTTAATTGTCTTCTCAATCAACTCCAACCCTAACGATTTTTGGTAATTTCTAGTGAAAGTGATTAATATACAATTAGTTAATTTGTGATCACAATTTGAATGTATTAAAGGTTCAATTAACATAAGATATGAACACACATTATGCTAATAGTTATTACTTTTCATCTTAATTGTGAAGGTAAATCAAGAAATAAGGAAATGATCATAAACTCATTTGCTTATCATAATTTTATTTTCAATACAACAATTGATTAAGATGTAGATTGATTTAGATAATGATGGTAAACAATTAGCAAAATGATGGAAACCTAAATTGATTCAGATAACCTAAGGAATAACTAATCTAATGATATGAAAGGAAAAAAAATCATAAATGAATCAATTTGTATTCATTAGAAAGACAATATCATCATTATGATTATCTTTGAGTAATTACAAATCAAAGCTGAATAATTGGAAAACTCTAACTAGGAAATAAAGAATCAGGTAAATTGTTTATTTCATCATCATCTTCATGCTGATTTTCATCATGATAATAATAGAAATGAAGATGTTGCTTCATGTATTGAGCTTAATGTATGCTTTTATAGCCTTTCTTGGATCCTTCAGAATTAAGGAAACGATTCCATAATCAATTCAATCCCACTTAAGAATAAAGTAAAAAATAACTCATGATAATGCATAATATTCATCATATTATGATATCAGATACACGCTGTTGAATTGAATGCAACACAGAATCTGAATTATCCATCACTTATCATTTGTTATCATCAATAATCAAGCTCATTCCTATTACTTCATTATGATTATTATCAAAATTTTCATGTACAAAATGAATAATTTACAGGTAGACATTGTATTCATCGTTCAATTATCAATCTAATAAATGTTGACCACGAGGTTTAATCAAATCTATTTACTATTTACTTTATATTAGTTTTAATCATGGTCACTGAAATATCATAATCATGTTAATCTAAACGAGGTAATATTTTTCACTCAATGAGTTTACTTTGAAATAATGATTATGTTTGAAATTGACAAGTTGAATTGCATGTGATGAAATGATTAACCAATGGATTAACATTTATAGAGTGACGATAATCATTGTAATTATGTCAAAATAAATTAAATGGGTCAATTTACCTGACTTTCTACCAGCATGGCCATATCCATGAACATATCATGCAACTCTCTTATACTATTTTCTAATTTGATAATATCAGCGTGACGAGCTTCAATATCGGCTAAAGTTTGTCGTGCTTGTTGAGTATCCGTCATGATCTGTGAGACAATTTAAAAGAAATGTCAATTAGTCAGTAATTAGAAAGTAATTGAATATATTGTTAACATCATCATGGTCGATATTAAGATGGTCGAGCGCTTCTACTTCTTCGAGGTGGTAAAATGTTCAAACAAACTTACACCTTGCGTGAAAATGGCCGGATTGCCGCTTTCGAGCATTTCTTCCAGTTCTTCATTGGTTGTTGATTTACCGGCTACAATTAGTTGTATCAGTACCATTGTAAAAGTAAAAGGAAAATGTATATTAATGTATTGGTTAACTTTTCGCTGTTGTTGGTTTGTTCAAAGATCACAATCAATTTAATAACTGGCAACAGTTAATTCATTGTAATTGACAGAACTACTCACTTATTTCTAATTGTCTTTGAATTCTTGCTTTACATCTTTCACGATAATCTGTCTGAGTTTTGTTATAATCTGTCATTACAGCAACAAACTTTTGAGATAACATTGAATGTTGAGTCTTCCTGATCCGGAAATCAGCTGACATTATATTAGATTGTTCCAATTGTTCAATACATTGTTCCATAGCTGTGTTATCATTAAGACATAATAAAATAATATAATCCAATCATCAATAATATTATTATTACAATCAAAAGAATATAAAAAAAAAGTAATAACATTGAGACCAACATTTCAGTTTTCCACGAACTCGATTAGCTGTTTTCTTTATATCAGCCATAAGATCTTCTAATTGTTGCTTTGCCCCTTATATAATAATAATAAAATAGATAAATTAACGTCAATTAATTGTAAATAATTAGTAGAAAACAGAGTTAATCAACTTACTTTCATCGGTTTGTGGGGCTGAGAGTATTGCAGAATGGATTTTTTTAACTTCCTCTACATTTGATTGCATTTTGTCAATATTTTCACGAATCTCTTCAACCTATTGTATTTTTATAATTCCAATTGAAAAGGAAAGAGGAGAAAACAAATGATATTATAAAATAATTAATAGTAAACGTCATCAAATGATCAACAAAAATTTGAGTTAATTAAAACTGTCATTCACAATGAAAATCATAACGATCATTATGATTACCTCTTGGAAAAATTGTTCCATATGATCAGTTGAAACTTCAACACCAACAACAACTTCATCATCTTCGGTGATTGCCTGTAATTATTTACAATGAGAAAACGAAACAATTAAGACGAAGAAAATTAAAACAATTAATTTGATTGAATTGAGATAATAATAAAAATGAGAATAAGAATTGAATGAATTCTTGATGAAACTTACCGCTTTAAGGGCTGATAATCTGTCTTTTATCATGGTGATTGTGTTGATCAGTTGATTTAATCAATTTTACCAAATGTAAAACATTAAAACAATTTAATTGTTGTTTAAATTGTTTCAAGTGTTAATCCGTCGCGTTCACTCAATTTAAATTGTTTCACTTTTGGTGTGGGTTGTACTCCTTTCACTGTTGATTGTTGTAACAATCAACTGGTTACAAGATGATTGGATTAAGTGTTAACTGGTGTTTCTGTTATTGTCACAATTGACAATAATTGTAAATATTGATTAAACCTTGTAAGGACACTTAATTGTAGTAACAATTAATTTAATCACTATAGAAAAAGAAAATTGATGAGAAAAAGATTTGTTAGGTTTGACTGATTGATGGAAGTTGTCAATAAACAAGATTCACAATCAAGGAGATTCAACTGGTTGAAATAAAAGTAACAACATAGATTAACAAATTCTCTCTATTTGGATTAACAATTGTTGTTGTTGTTGTTGATTAAAAAGGAGAAAACATTACTTTAATTGAGGAGAAAATGTTGTTAATCAAAGTGATTCGATTGATTGTTGGCTAATGATGTCGATGAAAATGATGGCAAGGGTAATATAAGTGTGATTATATTGTAAATAAAAAAGGGAAAAGATTTGTATCAATTGTGTGTGAGTGTATTATAAATGGATGAGAGAGACTGATGATTAAAAGATGACGATAACAAGATGTTATAACAGAATATGATGATGAGAGAGATGATTGAAAAAGACACTGGCACAAAATGAACGGAAGTGAATCTGTGATACAAATAACAGGAAAATGAATGAATCCAAATAGAGACACAGAGATGTGAATGTAGATTTAGGGAGAGAGAGAGAAGTTAATGTTTTGTGTATTAAACGAGAAATGAAACAAATTAAAAAGAGAAAATGAAATTTAATTTAGTTGGAATAATGTTATTCACTTTTCTAGGTTAAAATTGATATTAAATCGCTTTTGGAATTGGTAGTCATCATTTACTCGACTGATGCTGGTTGTTGATTTTGTAATGATTATAATTGTTGGTGGAGCTTTTTGATTGCCTGGTTTTGCTTATAGATGAGAGATTAACACATAAACAATTAGAGAGAGAGAGAGAGAGAGAGAAAAGTAAAAAATAGTGAAAAAAAACAAAAGGGAAAATGGTAAAGGGAAGAGGAAAAGACGAAACTGGTTGACTGGTGTTTTCTGGTTCACTGATTGTTGATTAAGGTGAAAATGATGGAGATGATGACGAAGATGATGATGATGATGATATTCACACGGAAGATGATTGCGAAATGGAAGGTAAAGATTCTGGTGAAAATGAACGATTCGCAATGAGAACAATGTAAACAATGAGAATGGATTTTGTCACAATCATTTGGAGAAGAAAAAAAAAATTGTAAAAATTGATAATTGAAAGAAAATGTTGTTTACAAATCGCTTGAAGTGTTACGTAAGATTTACGAGTAAACTAATTAGTGACTGACTAGATTAATGGAAATTCTCATTGATAATTGGGATCAATTATCGTAAATATAAAATGGAAACAATGAATCGACATAAAAAAGAGATGAGATTGTTATCCATTGATGGAAGCAACATGGATCATGAACATGGAACTTGGAACTTGGAACAGAAAAGAAAATAAAAACTCTGTTTATCATCTATCTGTTGATTCTGTTTAAAGTTACTCAATTTCCTTCGAATGGAACTCACTAAATATCTTCTCTTTCTTTTCTTCTCTTTCTCTTTCTCTCTCTCTCTCTCTTCTTCTAATCATCATCATCACCACCGTCACTCTCACTCATGTTCAGCTTGATTGTTGCACATTTAACATGAGTAAACCTTATTAACTGTTGGGGTCTACAAAAGGTTCATTGGTAAGATGAATACACTTGATAGTAATTCGGCTAATTAGTTTTCAGTCTTTCAATTTATCTTTCGGTTACCAGCTGATTTCATGGAATCTCCAAAGATTAATGGTTAATTATTGGTTTTACTATTTAACTACGAGGATAATTGTTCTGTTTACTTTCATTCATTTACTTTTATACTCTTTGTTTTGTTACGCTTTTAATATTAGTTTGAAAATCTCAATCATCAATTACAATTTTCGATAGTCACAATGATCAATCGGATTGATTGTTTGTATTATTTGGAACATTCAAATTGTTATTATGTTATTTTTGCAATTTGATTTGATTTTAGTTTTGTTTTGTTGAGAAAAAAATTGACACCATTTAAATAATTGTTCAAACGAGTAAATTGATTTAACTGTAATTGAAACTATTAATAGATTATGTTACAATCGATTGATTTTTACAATGGGGATTCTAAAATTTAAATTGGCTATATGATTGTTATTATGATGGTTTGGTTTCTTTTAAATTGTCAACCATTGAATCTAAATTGTCCATGTCTTTGAATGAGACATTTGCTGATCCTCTTCTTGCGGGTTTGGGTTGTGACGGGTCGGGTTTCCATCCGATGAAATTGACCACTTGGAATGTCGCTGGAACATTTCCGGAACTATCGCCATAGACTTCACGATAAATCGCTGCTGCGGCTAACATTGAATCTCTATCGAGATGAGACTGTCGATTCCAGGCGACATTACTTTCGGCCATTGATTGAAGGTCGAAGATCAATTCAAACATGGATGGATAGTTAACCTTCATTTCTTCAACATCGATAGTTAGTAAATTAAAACCTGCTCGATTAAGTAGAGCTCCAATGTCGGTGGGCTCAACAAATGGTGAAATGTGAGGGGCGAAACCACCAAGTCGCTCGTTTTCAGCTAATTGCAGAGAACATCTTAACTCGTAAAGAGTTTGACCACCGAAAAGAGCTCCAAGAAACACTCCGTCTTTTATTAAACATCGATTGACCTCTTTGAACAGTTCAGGTAACTTATTGACCCAATGCAAGGAAAGACTGGACATTAATATATCGATGCTTTCATCTCTGAAAGGTAATTGCTCGTCATCAGCTAAAACCATTGATGTGTAAATATCATCGGGAAGTTTAACTCGATCCTAAAGTAAATCGATTGAATTTGAAAAAAAAATTATTTCATTTGTTTCATTTTCTTAAAGGAAAAGTGACATTTAAGAATTTCTGAGAAGACGATCAATTGAACACTTACTAGATTCGAGACTGAAGTATCACATAGAAAAATATTTTCAACGATCTCCTGAAAGTAAGAAAAAGCCCATTGCGTTAATGACCTTTTCGAATTTAGTTTTACACAAAAATTACTTTGGTTAAATGCTGCGAAACGAAACCACCTCCGGATGAAAGTTCGACTGCATTGGTGAACAATCGTTTGATGTCCCAAACTCTGTCAGCCATTCGATAGCCAAATTCTTCTTTCACGTATTGGTACACCGGAAAATCCTTCGATTTGGCCAATGATTCTCTCTGGAAACGTTTAGCATTTCGATCGAAAACATTTCCTTTCTGTTTACTTTGATGCTTGGAGGTAACAGCTGATTGAGAGATCATTTGATTCCCTTTTATGTGCTGAGGTTTGTTCGAGTTGGATGGACCAGTTGAGTACAGAGAAAGAATATGAAATGAAGGCCTCAAAGATGATCTGAACAACGAACATCCGGTCGATTTAATCATAGTTGTGGAACTTTTTGTTATCTGAAAGTCAATGAGAAAAGAAATTAACACGTGCAAATGAAAGTAAACAAACATAGAAAAGAGAATGGGATTTACCTGTTGAACAATCCAAGATAAGGTTTTTGTGGATCGATGAGATTTGATTAAATAACCAAATCAAATCAGAAAACAATCAGTCGATCAAATCATCAAATGGTTTCGTTTGTGTAACTCAATCAACATAATTTTCAATGAAAATTTTTCATTCGCTTGTAACCAAAGACTCAACTCTTTCTACTTTTGTCGCCATCTATCAACTTCCATTCACATTGAATTGTTAAAATCAATTTTTAATTTTCATTAAAATCATGAAATTAATTACATAAAATTTGGTACCATTCAACAAATTTAACATTTTATTATTACAATTAACAACTGAAGACTTTTTAATGTCCTAATGATTTTTTTCTGGCTGATGCTCGTGTCGTCATTGTGTGAGTTGGCATCGGGGTTTGATCTTTGGGCTTTCGGGATCGCCGACGACGGACACTTTCATTCATGATGCTTGAATCGGTAAAAGGTGTTTGAGTTTCTTGTCCAGAATGGAATCTGAGATTAAAATTAGATAAATTTAAAGAATAAATAATAATAGAAAGAGATGAGATAAGAATTGATTAAACTTACTTTTCACTTTTTGGTGTACTTGGTTCTTGTGATGTTGATTGTTTTGTTGATGAGAAATTCGGTAAATTTTTAGCATAAGATTCAATCATCGCTGAAATAATCATTCCACTTTGAAAGAGATCATCATCATTCTCATCGCCACTTGTTGATGTTGAAAAACATAAATCTTTATATTTTTGAGCTTCATCTAGTTTACCATTTAATAGGAGACAAAGAATCGCTTGGAGTTTGGCACCTTTGACACTGGATTTGTTCATTAGATAATCGACTAGTTGATCTTGTTCAGATGAATTCAGAGGTAATTGAGCTAGTTTAGAAATAGATTTTGCTTGTTCACAAGAAGTAAAAAGATCAATAAGAGATTTAGTTCCATCCTTACGCCAATGTTGATAAGCTTGGAAAACTTGACGATTAGACGAAATAGAATCGAACATAATTGTACGGACAATATTATAAATAAAAGGATATTAATAAGATGACAAGACAATTAGAAAATTTAATTAAAAGGAAAAAAGATAATCAGAATTAAAATAGAAATACAATTGTGTGTAATTGTTTGTTTATAAGATTTTGAAAGAGAGAAACAAAATAACTTAGAAGATGATCTGCAGGTGGCGCTGAGGGTAAGAGAGAAAAAGAAAATCGAATGAGCCAATCGGGTGAAAGTCTAAAGTCAAACGCTACGAGGACTCAATCGGGTAGCCAATGAGATCGAATGGAAAGTGAATCTTTGGTATAAATACTTGTGGTGGTTTATTTTGAAAATTATTCTCAAAATTGTTGATAGTCTTTCACTTTGTCACTTTGTGAATTTCATTCTTATTCTTTCTTCTTCTCGTTAATTTCAACTCAATTCTAATTACTAATCATGTCTGGACGTGGTAAAGGAGGTAAAGGTCTTGGAAAAGGTGGTGCCAAGCGTCATCGAAAAGTTTTACGTGATAATATCCAAGGAATCACCAAACCAGCCATTCGTCGTTTGGCAAGAAGAGGTGGTGTTAAGCGTATCTCTGGATTAATCTACGAGGAGACCCGAGGTGTACTTAAGGTTTTCTTGGAAAATGTTATCCGAGATGCTGTCACATACACTGAGCACGCCAAGAGAAAGACAGTAACAGCCATGGATGTTGTCTATGCCCTGAAACGTCAAGGAAGAACCTTGTATGGTTTTGGAGGTTAAGCTCATCATCATCATTCTCTTTCTTCACCACCATCTCACCTCATCTCATCTCATCAAATTCATCCATTTCATCATCATCATCTCCTTTCCTTTCTTTTCCTTTCTTTCTTTTCTCCCTTTTCTTTTTCTATATCTCTATGATGTCCCCTTTTCCTATTCTCCTTTTTCCTTAATTTCATTTATATACCAACAAAACGGCCCTTTTCAGGGCCAATTACATTTTTGACGAAAAGATTGTTTTCTCGTAATATTTGCTTTAATCCGCTACAAATTCTTAACTGATCGCGTCTTATAAATAAATAAATAAAATCAATAATATTAAAATCATATAAAATTCAAATATTCTATTATCTATTTTTTCGCTTATCACTTTCCTTCACTTATTTCAGATATACTTTTCACTTCAATTCCATTTTGTCAAATCAATTTTTATTGTTTAATATTTTAATTTAGCTCTAAGGCTTCAGAGTAATGAAAGTAGGACCAAAAATTCAAACGATTTCAGTGATTGGAATTGGCTTGACAAGCTTAGAACCTGGAACGTGAAAATGATTAACAAATTTTTCCATAATTTCAATCCTCTAAATCTGGTATTGGCTCATCATCTGAGTCTTTCTCATTATCATCCATCTCATCTAAGCCATCTAAAAGAAAGAAACAAAAGAGAAAATATAAAAATTAGCACTTTTGGCGCGTTAAATGATTAATCATCATCATCATTTCCATCGCAACAAAATGATCAACCAAATTGCCTGATGAAAACAATGTTGACAAAAAGCGTTGCGACAACTCACCAACGCCACCTAGGCCACCCATCTGTCTCATCATCTCTTCAAAGTCTCCACCAGCCCCTGGCATACCCATTCCCCCTCCTCCTCCGCCGCCCATGGGTCCGGCTTCATCATCTGAATCATCTTCATCTTTCCACTTGTTAAAATCTATTTTAATCCAATGGAATTTTTTATCTTCGGCGCTCAATCTTTTCCAATAAGGACCTTTGTCATCGACTTTGAATAAAACAAATTCAATTCCTCGTCCTCTGACACTATATTTAGATTCTTCGGTTTTAATTTCTCCAAAAAGCTTGAGGTCACATTCATATTCTTTATTATCAACACCACCTTTACCCCTAAAATAGAAAAAAAAGAAAAAAGAAAAACAATTATTAAATTGGAATCAAATTAATGGAATAATTAATTTAAATTAAGATAAAAACAGGGAAAATTAAAAACTAGAAAATTAACCAAATCAATGGCAGTTAAAATTAACTTCTTCCTCAAAGTGTTGGATAGATTTCAAATTGAAGAACAATGTGATTCAATAAAAAGGGTGGAAATTACTCATGTTACATGAAGTGAAAGATATAGAGAAATGAGAAGATATAAGAGCATGGAAATGGACTAAGAGAAAACCGATGGAAAAATGGTTACAAATGTAAAGACAATGGGGTAAGATGACGTGTTCCAAGGTCAAAATGAACAAATTATTTAGATTATCGACCATTGATTGTCATTGATTAACTCACTTGAAATAAATTGATTGCTTTTCAACTTTAATGACCGGGTTAACACAATCTTCCAAGGCAATTCTTACATAAACCAGATTTTTTCTTTGAGCCCAATAAACTGGGGGTGGAGTAGTTGCCGAGAGAAAGCAAGATTCTTCACCTTTACCAACAACTTTACCTTCGGTAGCAACTTGAGACATGATCAATTAAGAATTAGATTGAATAATATAAGAAGATTAATGAACAAATAAAACACAAAGAAAATGAAAAAAAACCAATTTCCAAGACAAAGAGTGACAATGATGTTAAATGTGGAATCAAAAGGAATCACCAACAGTATTTATCAGAGAAAAGATGTGACGTAAGAATAGCCGATCGACTATCTGATTCTCGAGGAATAAGCTATTCACCGAGCAGCCGAATTTTCAGTCAATTTGAATTCTAACATTTGATTGGTTAACTTGCGATCGGCGCATGCGCAATACGAATTTCGCATTTTCATTGAAAATTGCGGCAAATTTTCTGAAACTTAAACAAAGAAAATTTCGAAATCGATTTGGATTTGATTTTTAATTCGAAAATTTAAATTGTGTTGGTGACGAATTTGTTAGTGGAAATCTTTTTTTCGATTTTCTTTTGCATCAAATTATCCATGTTTGGGTCTAAATGAACTCTGACGAAAATCTCTGAGGTGTTAATTGCTGTTTGTTGATTGTTAATCATAAAAGTAAAATGTCGGTTGTCAATGGTGATTGTTACCTTTTCAATCCAATCGAAATTGAAGATTTGGACTGGACCAATGTCCAAATTGATTGCAAGGACAAACTGGACTCGAATTCATTGATTATTCGACCTCTTAAAATTGATGATTATGGTCGAGGTCACATTAAATTGTTGTCACAATTAACTGTTGTTGGTGATGTTTCTCAACAGGAATATGAAGGTAAGTTTAATTGTAACTCGATCTAAATTGTTACCTTAACCATGAGCTTTATTTTGGTCTTCTCAATTTTCCAGATCGATTCAAATTGATGAAAGAAACCAAACTAATTAAAACTGTGGTAATAGAAGACACTAATTCCAATCTAATTGCTGGCACAGCGACACTTTTATGTGAACCCAAATTCATTCATTCCTGTAGTTGGGTAAGAGTTAAATTGTTTTCTCCAATTGATTAACATTATAATCACTGTTTTTTTCTTTGTAATTTTCTAAATTTAACACAATTAGACTGGTCATGTACAAGATGTTTGCGTTGACAATTCGTACAGGGGAATAGGATTGGGAAAATTAATTGTTAATTGTCTCAAATTGTTAGCTCAGAAATTAGGAGCTTACAAAGTGGATTTAGATTGTGCCGATGAGAAGATCCGATTTTACAACGGACTTGGATTCAAGCAAGAGAGTGGCCGAGCTAATTACCTGGCCCTACGTTTTCCAAATTAAACAAAATCAATTCCATTGCCATTTAATTGTTCACTTTATTTAAATAAATCAAACAAAAGAATCAAAATTTTTCTCTCATTTATTTCTTCATCTCATGACAAACACATCAACCATTTTAGTCTACAAGGTGTTAATCAAATGACAAGTAATCGACTTGGTGGTTGATCAAGATTTGGATTTATTGTTGACATTTGATTGATTTTAGGAATTTGCTAATCAAATTAAGAGAAATTCAAATTTTCTTTCGTATTCAAATGATTCGTCATAGTAACAAAAAGAAGATCATATGTGAATGGGAGGAGCGAAAGTGTCGATTAGTTTTCACATGTGATGAGTTGTCTTTGAATCTTTGGTAACAATTGATTACAATTAATTACAATCAATTTGGATTTAATTGATATTTTCTCTTTCAAGTCCATTGATTAGTTGGTTTTCTTTTCTGTCTTGCATTTGTGTTGTGTTTACTTCTACTCTTTGGATAAGAGAACAACCGAAAAAATAATCCAGAGAATAATTTTATTTTTATTTTTCTTTTTTTTTTCTCTTCTAATGTTGTTAATTACTGTCATTGATTATTGTCTTTGATTATCATCGTTAGATGTTTGATTCCATTTGGTGATTATGCTGATTGATTTTCTCTGTGATTTTGTGTAGTCATCAGAATAAAGCGAATTGTTGAATTTGGTAACTTGAGGCCCTAACCTGAAATAGAAGATGAAGATTTTCCTATTCAATTTCATCTATTTAAGTAACTTAATTATTATTCAATTGTGTCAATTGCCCTTGTTAACATTTGCTGCTGATAAGCCTTCGTCTATTAAACGTGATTTGAGTTCAGATGAAGTGTCCGGTGGATCAGAATTCGATGCCATTAATCGAGCTAAATCTTCACAAAAAGACCACGAGAAAGAAGCTTTTGACAATTTCAAAGCTTTGAATGACTTTTATTATAAAATCAATTGGAATGGTCCATACAAATCAACTGGAGATTCTAAAGATTCTCCTTCTAGTTCATCATCTCAAGTGAGTAACAATTAACAATGTCACTGGTTCAATGACGATTAATAACAATAATTTGATTCTCTCCATAGGTTCCAATATCTGAAGAAAAAGATTCTCTCACAATAACTACACCCAACAAGGAACAGTATAAATGTTTTCTTCCTAGAAACAAACCAAAAGTGCGAACGTTGATTCTTCAATTTGTATTAATATGATCAACTAATCAATTGTTTTTACTTTTTCTCACTATTCACAGAATGAGATTGAAAGCAAAGAAGATCAAGCAAACAGTTTGGATCCTTACCAATTATTATTGCCCCTTTTTACGCGAGAAATTTGCTCATTCCGATTAGAACCTTATTGGAGTTATGAACTTTGTCATGGGAAATTCATTCGCCAATTCCATGAAGAAAGTTCCTCACAAAAGGTGAGAGACATTTTCGCTTCTTCTCTGACTCTCTATCATCACAATTAATAATCGATTGTCGTCAATTTGTTTCCATATTCAGACTTATTCACAAGAATATTATTTGGGTAAATTTGATCTCAATGAAAGGAAAGAAAATGAACTTGGATTCACCCAAATGGAGGAGAATTGGAATAAAGGAAAAAATGGCAGACCAACAGTTCTAATTGAAGGTGTTGCCACTCCTTATATCGAAATAAATATGACCGGTGGTACAACTTGCGATCTCAACAATCGACCTCGATTCACTCGAGTTCTTTACGTTTGCAATGATGAAGCTCGAAATGAATTGTCTTCCATCAAAGAGACTTACACATGTGAATATGAGGCCATCGTTCTCACTCCACTTCTTTGTATTCATCCCGATTTTCGAAATGATGCAATTACCGAAGAATCGATTGATTGTTATTCTCTCGGAGATTCACCAATTAAACCCAAAGGATATGTGGAATACGAAGTCGAGAATCGAACCGAATTAATGAAAAACTCACCGAATATCGACAGTAATCATGATTCTCCTTTTACAACCCAATCTCCTTGATTATGATTCTATTCTTAATCTTGTCTAATCATCCACACTAAATGAGTTTATTTCTAATTAGTAAAGAGTCTTTTTTCCTTTGTATTGATCCAATTTCACTGATTAGGTTCGAAGATACAATTTGAAATTCACAAATTGGATTTGACTAATGACGAAAGTAAGGAAATCAAAGGAGATTTTTTTCTCAACAATGAACCAACATTCGATTCTAAATTGTTGAGAGATTTTCTCACTGGTGATTATTGTCTTCATGGTGTAAATATCTTTTTCTTTGTCCTTTTTTCTTACCTCATCTTGATTATCTAGATTACTAATTAATTGTTATTTCTAGGGGACTGATTGGTGGAAATACGAGTTTTGCTATGGACATAAAATTGAACAATATCATGAAGAAAAAGGAGAAAAGAAATCAAAAATTTTATTAGGAAAATGGAATTTGGAAAATCACATCGATTGGTTGATTAAAAACCCGAACCGAAAACCGAACAAACAAAAAACACTGAAACAAGTTTCTCATCATTATGGAAATGGTGATGTTTGTGATCTAACAGGAAAACCTCGTCAAGTAGAAGTTAAATTAAAGTAATTATCTAATCTAAATAACTAATATTATCCTTCGAGTGTATGAAAATACAAATACAAAAAGGAATAGAAAAAGAAAAAGAAAACTAATCTAACTAATTGTTAATCACTTTAGATGCGCTTTTCTCGGTGGTGATCCAGAATCTGTTTCTTTGTATTTAATTGAACCAAAATCTTGTGAATATATTTTAGGAGTAAGTTGATCATGTAAATTGTTTAGAGCTTAAAGAAGCTTAATTACTTTTGTTAATCTTTCCACTCTTACTAATGTTAATCATTTTTACTTTTCTTTAAACCTTTTCTTAGGTCGAATCGCCGTTGATTTGTCATCTTCTGAGTACAATTGATGAAAATGGAATCATGAATCACCCAGATGATAATTCTGATTAATTGGAATCTATTTTTTCTCGTCAACATTTGAAATTATCTAATTACAATTGTAACATAACCAACGCTCCATTATATATATTTTTCAATTTACCAATAATAAGCATACGCAATTGAAACAATCAATTGTTTCAATTTATGTTTATAATTCACTTTATTGTTTAATCTAGATAACAATCAACTGTTATCGGTTGGACAAATGTTGCTCATTTTATATTAAATTGTAAATCATTTCCACAGGTATTATTATCATTAAAGCTCAATTCACATTTCAAGTGGCTTAGTAAACAAAGTTGCCATTATCTTAATTGCACTCTAATCAATTTGACCATATGTTTTTCCTTTCAACAATTAACTAATATAAAAGCTGAGAATTGGATGAATCGCAATCATTTTCCTTTCTTTCATCAGATGTAATGTTCTAGGGGAAAATTAAATCAGTTTGACTTTCTAATTGTTTCATTAATTGTTTTTCTCTTGTTCTTAATTGTTTCTCGGTGAGAGAATCAAGTTAAATCAATCAACTGATTTACATGATCATAACTTGGTGAAATCTTGCAAATTATCCTCATTAATTAGCGATATTATGCTGGATTTCGCGAGGTTATGACATTTGATTCAATTGGATTAACGGTTTGCACTGAAAGTGATTAAAATTCTGAAAGGTGAGTAATTTAAATTCGAGTTCATTTCTTATCCTAATAAATTTAATTGTTTCAGATACTTGGAATTGCTTTCGGTTCGCAATTCGATTGGAGTAAAATTTTATCGAAATCAAAATTTGTAGCAAACGAATGAACAATAAACTGATTGTGCCTTCTAATTGTAAACGATTTATTTACATTTTATATATTCAACTAATCGCGTTTATTGTTAATTAGATTATTTACTCTTAATCAGCGATGATAAAGGAATTAAATTGTTTAAGTGAAAGAAAATTGAAAAGCTTAAGGAAGAGAAATTCAGAGTTTGAAGATTGGCGCTTGTTCGATCTCATTGGTTATCAACTGAAGCGCCGATTGATTAACACATAGAACCGGAAGAAGACAAAGGCTTCGATGGCGGGGAAACATCGCGCCAAAGATAATCTTCGGTTCGGAAAGTAGTGGGAGAGAAAAGATCACTTACTTGAAGATGGGAGACGAAAATCTGAGAATGGAAATGAAATCACAAAGAAAATAAATGGACGCGATTCAAGCGAAGATCCGTTGAGAGAAATTCGAGTCCATTGGATTAAGTGGAATTGAATTAACAGCAGTTGAAGCGCCAAAACCTTTGCTTTCACGTTTCGGGTTCTAAACTTGCCGACCAAATTCCCAGCGCTGAATAGTTTGAATCGATAACTTTTCATCATCTGAGCCTTAGACATGACATGTTAGACAAAAGAAAATTGATTTCAAGAGAAAGAAACCAGATGACTAAAAAACATCAATTGAATGAATTTAATATTATTGATTTTATTTATTTATAAGACGCGATCAGTTAAGAATTTGTTGTAGCGGATTAAAGCAAATATTACGAGAAAACAATCTTTTCGTCAAAAATGTAATTGGCCCTGAAAAGGGCCGTTTTGTTGGTATATAAATGAAATTAAGGAATAAAGAGAATAGGAAAAGGGGACATCATAGAGATATAGAAAAAGAGAAGGGAGAAAAGAAAGGGAAAGAAAGGAAAGGAGATGATGATGATGATGAAATGGATGAATTTGATGAGATGAGATGAGGTGAGATGGTGGTGAAGAAAGAGAATGATGATGATGATGAACTTAACCTCCAAAACCATACAAGGTTCTTCCTTGACGTTTCAGGGCATAGACAACATCCATGGCTGTTACTGTCTTTCTCTTGGCGTGCTCAGTGTATGTGACAGCATCTCGGATAACATTTTCCAAGAAAACCTTAAGTACACCTCGGGTCTCCTCGTAGATTAATCCAGAGATACGCTTAACACCACCTCTTCTTGCCAAACGACGAATGGCTGGTTTGGTGATTCCTTGGATATTATCACGTAAAACTTTTCGATGACGCTTGGCACCACCTTTTCCAAGACCTTTACCTCCTTTACCACGTCCAGACATGATTAGTAATTAGAATTGAGTTGAAATTAACGAGAAGAAGAAAGAATAAGAATGAAATTCACAAAGTGACAAAGTGAAAGACTATCAACAATTTTGAGAATAATTTTCAAAATAAACCACCACAAGTATTTATACCAAATATTGACTTTCCATTCACTCGATCTCATTGGCTACCCAATTGAGTCCTCGTAGCGTTTGACTCTCACTTGATTGGTTCTTTTTTTCTTATCTCTTTTTCTCTTAACCTGAACGCCACCTGTAGTTTCTTTTCTGTATTTCAGTTTTAGTTTTTCTCTTTCAAATCTTTAAGAACAATTCTCATCTCTTTTCATTATTATTCTTCATTTACATTTATCTAAATTGTCTCACAGATTCAATTCGGGACAAGAAACGCAAACATCTTTTACTTATCCAATCGTCATGAATAAAAGTGGTTGTCATAGACACATTAATCATGAATTGGAATTTAAATTAAAAAGATTCATTTCAACAATGTAAAAGTACATTAAGTCGATGTGAATGGAAGTTGATAGATGGCGGCAAAAGTAGAAAGAGTTGAGTCTCTGTTTGGTTTTGAGTGAAGGAAAATTATGTTGATTGAGTTACACAAACGAAGCCATTTGATATTCTGATCGACTGATTGTTTTCTGATTTGATTTGGTTATTTAATCAAATCTCATCGATCCACATCAACCTTATCTCTTTTCCTCGATTCTTCATCTCTCATCAGGTAAATATTATTCTCTTTGCAATATTTTCACTCTGCTTATTTTCCTCTTTTCTTCACCTTCTTGTAACCTCCCCCTTTTATTTTCCATTTTTCTCTTTCACTTTCTCTTCCTGTTTTTCTCTTCTCTCTTCATATTTTTCTCCCTCCTCTTTCTCTCTCACCTTCTCTCTCTATTCCTCTGTCTCCTGGTGCTTATCTTACTTTGAATCTTTTGCCTCACTCAATTTATCGTATTTAATCCTGTGTTAACCGATTCTTTCCCATCTCTTATGAATAAGAAATTAATTTGACCTTGTTGCCCATTAGTTATGACCTTTTACTGTTTATTTTAATTTGAACGTGTAAATAATTTATTGTTTTATTGTTTTATTTTGACTTTTGTCTTTTCCAATACAGAGAGAAATCATCAGAATGCTCGGGTCAGCTGGATTTCCATTGCTTAAATCATCTTCTTTGAGGCCTTTGTGCCAAGCCTTGCGCAAAGCTTGTTACTCTACTGGAGCCTCAACCAATATTAACGAACCTCATCAGATTCCTGAACATGTTCGCTATGTTGAAGATAGTCCTGATCCATCGTTCTTCCATATGGTCGAGTTTTTCTACCACAAAGGTTGGCAAGTAGTCGAAGATAAATTGGTTGAAGAATGGAAAAGTAAATTGTCGGAAGAGGAAAAGCGAAGACGTGTTCGTGGTTATCTTCACATCATCGGTCCTTGCCATGCTGTTCTTGAAGTTGGATTTCCACTTAAACGGGACAACGGTGAATGGGTCATGATCAATGGCTGGCGGGCACAACACAGTCACCACCGAATGCCTTGTAAAGGAGGTATTTATTCAATTTTTTCTAAAGTCTATTTTAGGTCAATTTACTGTTTTTCACTGCAAAACCTTTTATCATTTCTTCGTCATTCAAAGGAAATAGATAATGGATTGGAAATTACCTCAAGTTTATTTTCTAGTGATAACTTTAGTTAATCATATCTTAAGTCTATTAGATTAGATAAGTGTCGTACGACTTACTTATCGTAATATCAATTGAATTAACATTTCTTAAACCTAATTACAGATAATAATTTATGTTCATAGTTCATAAGCTCAATGTTAATCGATTATCAATAATTTTCTTCTTCTTTGCTATTGAAAATATTGATTGTAGTTTCTTTTATTGACATTCAATCAATCCAGTATCTAAGGTCTTACCATGACTCTGGTTAATAATTTGCAGATTTTACATGACCTAAATTTAATTTGTTTTATTTTTTGTTACCAGGTATTCGTTATTCAATGGATGTTAGTTTAGATGAGGTCAAAGCTTTATCTGCTCTGATGACCTTCAAATGTGCTGTTGTTGATGTACCTTTTGGTGGTGCTAAGGCAGGGCTTAAAATCAACCCAAGAGAATACAGTGAATTTGAATTAGAAAAAATCACAAGAAATTTCGCTTTGCATATTTCTAAAAAAGGTTTTCTTGGACCTGGACTTGATGTTCCCGCTCCAGATATGGGAACAGGTGAGCGTGAGATGAGTTGGATTGCCGACACTTATGCACAGACCATTGGTCATACCGATATCAATGCACATGCTTGTGTAACAGGTAAACCGATCAATCAAGGAGGTATTCATGGTCGTATTTCAGCTACCGGACGAGTAAGTTAACTAATGATAATTTTATTGAAGGTAATCTCTAATTTGATTCTTGTCATTCAGGGTGTCTTTCATGGAATTGATAATTTTATCAATGAAGCCAGTTTTATGAGCATGGTTGGTACTACTCCAGGTTGGGGTGGTAAATCTTTCATCGTTCAAGGTTTGGGTAACGTCGGTTTACACACTATGAGATATCTCCATAGAGCTGGAGCTCGATGTATTGGTATCATGGAGGTTGATTGTAATATTTTTAACCCTAATGGAATGGATCCTCGGGAAGTCGAAGATTGGAAATTGAATCATGGAACCCTAAAGAATTTCCTGGGGCGGAAGAATACAAAGGAGAAAGTCTTTTGTACGAACCCTGTGACATATTGGTTCCAGCAGCAACCGAAAAAGTCATTACCCTAGAAAATGCTCATAAGATTAATTGCAAGGTAATCAGCTAATTTGCTTGGATTTTTTTTGCATAAATTCTTATTTTTATTTCATTGAACCGATAAATTTTGATTCTTCATTGGTAATAATTTTTTTTTCTGTTCATGTTTCCAGATTCTCGCTGAGGCTGCTAATGGACCAACTACTCCCGCTGCAGACAAAGTTCTTCTCGAACGAAACATCTTAGTTATACCTGATTTATACATTAACGCTGGTGGTGTTACAGTTTCTTACTTTGAGTGGCTGAAAAATTTGAATCACGTTAGTTATGGTCGATTATTGTTCAAGTATGAAAGAGATTCTAATTATCACTTGTTAGGTAAGTTTCCTTTTTTCTTAGATTTTTTTTCATTCTTTCACACATCCGATTTTTCATTTATTATCACAGAGAGTGTACAAGAATCTTTGGAACGAAGATTCGGTAAAGCTGGAGGACGAATTCCTATCGTACCATCTGAAGCTTTCCAAAAGAAAATTGCTGGTGCTTCAGAAAAAGATATCGTTCATTCTGGATTGGATTACACCATGGAACGTTCAGCTAGGGTAAATTAAATTCTTCGCTCAATTAGTAGTCCTATTTCACTAACTTTTTTCTATTCTATTATTATAGCAAATAATGAGAACCGCAATGAAGTACAATCTTGGTTTGGATCTTAGAACTTCTGCTTACGTTAACGCGATCGAGAAAATCTACAATACTTACAAAGAAGCCGGATTGACATTTACCTGAGCAATTTAAAGAAAATATCTTAAGTTTTAAAAGCAGATAAATAAAATAACAGTGGAACTTAAGATTGGATATTTGAAACATAAAACAATACTAATGGAAATCAAAACGAAAGCTTTGATGAAAGGGCAATATTTGTTAAAAATTGCAGTGAATTTGTTGGTTATAATTGAATAGTTACTTTGTTGGCACATTGGAATCAATTGACATCAGAAACACATAAAATCATAAATTAATTTGAACTTTATTCTATTAACTTCTTCTGACTCTCACGTCTGGAGCTCACCTTTTATCCAGCACAATTATTCAATTTTTTTCTTTTTTATTCTCACAATTCGAACTTTTAGAAAATCAATTAGCAGTTTCTCCATCAGCCTTTTACCTGTCAGTGATTGGTTCGAGGAAATCACTTCGCTTTTGTTGTTTAGTTCTTGCAGGTAGTCATGGTCTCTAGTCCTTATCCATGCGATTCATGCCAAGTGTAGATTATTGTGGATATCTAATCAATGTGCAGTTGAATTAATAGTCAAGTAAATTTATCTGAATCAAGACTTGAAGAGGTATTAAAAAGCTGAGAAATCAAAATTTAGTTTCATATCTAATTCATGTTGTCACTATTTAAAACAACAGGTCTGTTTTTTAGTATTTTAAACAAACAAATTCGCTAATTTATTTGATCAATGTGTTGATCGATATGTTGAACGCAAATATAATGGGACAAGAAATTTCCAGTTAAAAACAATTAAAACAATTAACAAATTACCAAAAATAAACAATTAACAATGAACAACAAATAATCTTGAACAAGCGAAGACTTTTCAAGTTCTAAACAAGTTATTGCACAATTAGATTTTCAAAAATGAACAGAATAGTTGATTGAATGATGATACTTGAGATGATTTTTTTTTCTATTAATTGTCTGGTAGCATTTTCTTCGGGTTGAGTATTCCTTTTGGATCAAACATACTCTTGATTTGTTTCATTAGATTAACAACCTGAGGACTTTTTGAATAGTAGATGTGGTTACGTTTCTTCATTCCAAGTCCGTGTTCAGCGCTTATGCTTCCCTTATGGTCTCGAATGTATTCAAAGACAAAAGGTTCAATTAGAGATTTCAGCTCAGCGTCATCATCGCGCTTGAGTGTCGTTACCGTTAAATGGAGATTATTGTCACCAATGTGTCCGTATCCACAGATTCGATGAGCTGAAGTTGACCGAAGTCTCTCTCTCATCACTTCGACTAAGTCATAATAATGTTCGTGCTCCAATGAAACGTCGTATTTGTAGCAAAATCCATCGGCTAGTAAAGCCTCAGCGATTCGTTCACGAATAGACCACAATTTGTTTACAGAAGATAAATCGGTGGAAATGGTGCCATCAGAGACTATTGTCTGTTCCATGAGATTTTCCAACAACGAATGTAATTGAGATGTAATATGATCTTGATCACAATCGTCGCTCAATGAAAGCTCAAAAAGTACATAGAATGGAGAAGTGAATGGAATTGAAAGACCCAAGTTCGTTGAAACGGCATCCACAGTTAGAGCGTCCATCATTTCGAAGGCACTAAGATATGGAGATAATGTTTTACGAACTGTGCTCATAATTTGAATTATATCGTTGAATCGAGGAACACCAAGTAAAGTTACCATTCTGGTTGATGGTTTAATTGGACATAAGATTGAGACACGAGAAATGACACCAAGAGTCCCCTCGGAACCGATGAACAATTGTTTCAAATCGTAACCAGTGTTATCTTTTCTCAAAGTGCTCATCATATCGAGGATTTGTCCATTAGGCAGAACAGCTTCTAGTCCAAGGATTGACCCATGAAGAGAACCATATTTTATGTATCTGATTCCACCTAACGAAAAAATTTAATAAATGTAAAAAGAATCGTAATTTAATTACTCTAAACAAAATTGGCAACAAAAGCTTTCTGAGTCTTTTTGCTAGTAATGAACTTTCGGTGATTTACCTGCGTTTGAAGCGACATTTCCCCCGATCTGACAAGATCCTTTCGCTCCAAGATCATACGGCATCATGTAACCTCTCTCGTTTACATAAGATTCAAGCGTTTCCAAAATACAACCACTTTGACATTGAAGTACTCCAGTTGATTCGTTGAATTTATCAATTGAATTCATCTTTGTTAACGATAAAATGATCTCATCATTATCAGGAACAGACCCAGAAACTAGACTAGTATTTCCTCCTTGAACTACGATTGGAATCAATCGATCATTACAATAGGCCAAGATGGATGACAGTTCAGAGCTCGTCTTCGGAAATAAAGCCAATTTGCTTTTTCCTAAATTAAAAAAAAGAAACAGAAAAAATATGAAAATCAGTCAACTAGAATACATGGAAATTGTTTTACATAATTTCTAATTCCATTTGCAAGATTTAACAATAAAATTTTCAAGGCTTTTGTAAGCTAATAAATCTAACTGTTAATCAACCCAAATTACTGTCTAAATTAAATGCGTAAATAAGCAAAATAAAACTAACCTGTAACTGAACGAAGCCAATCAGTATTATAACCATCTAATTCCTCTTGTTTAACTCCACTTGTTCCCAATATCTTCTTGAAATAATCGACATCTTGTTCGGTATGATTAACAAAACCAGACAAAAATCTAACTTGAGAATTAAAAGTCACCAATCTAGACCAAGAATTATAAACACGAATAGAAAGTATTCCTCTATTAAGCCAACTCATATTCACACAGAAAAATTAAGTAACAACAACAAAACAAACGAGAACCAACAAAAAAAAGATAAAAATATTGTTATTATTCAACAATTATGTTCACTTGATGAGAATCACTTTCACTTGATCAAAACATATTTACAAGATAATCAAATAACCTTGTCAAAAGATTGATTATATTGATTATTAGACACAAACAACAATTAGAAGATATCACAAGAGATGACAGAATAACAATCGTATGAAAGATTTTCAGTAAACAAATGGAAATGAAAGTTGTTCAAAATGAGCGGTAAAAGAAAAGCAAAAATGGAGCTCAAGTTGAACCTTCGAGGAAGCGGAAAAATAACAAACTACTTTTGGAGAGAAAAGAAAACACATTTGAAGTGACCGCTTTTCGAAAGGGAGGCAGCACTTTCGTTTCCATGGCAACGGGGAGGAAACGGAAAACGTTTTTTTATGTTAACTGAAGATATAAATTGAAGAAACTCGGAAACACTTAAATTAAAGTTGTTGGATTTTAAACATTCTGTTTATGGTTTGTTTAGGTCTTTTTTCAATTTAATTAGTTAATTTGTTTTTGTTTTTTTGTGATAGTAATTGTAAACAGCTATGGCCGATGCTGTAGCCGGAGGTGAAGGAGGCCGAGGTGGCTTTAGAGGTGCTTTTGGTGGTGCCAGAGGTGGTCGAGGAGGAAGAGGTAGAGGTGGTAGAGGTGGTCGAGGTCGTGGTCGGGGCCGTGGCCGTGGTAAAGAAGATAAGGAATGGTCTCCTGTCACCAAGCTTGGTCGATTAGTTAAAGATGGTAAAATTTCTTCTCTAGAAGATATTTATCGATTCTCTTTACCCATTAAAGAGTGTGAAATTATTGACTTTTTCCTTGGACCAAGTCTTAAGGATGAAGTTCTTAAAATTATGCCGGTTCAGAAACAAACCAGAGCTGGTCAACGTACTCGATTCAAGGCTTTTGTGGCTATTGGAGATTCTAATGGACACATTGGTTTAGGTGTCAAGTGCTCCAAAGAAGTAGCTACAGCTATTAGAGGAGCCATTATCTTGGCTAAATTATCAATTATTCCGGTTCGACGAGGTTATTGGGGTAACAAGCTTGGTACTCCTCATACTGTTCCTTGCAAGGTAAATTTAATTTCTATTTATTATCACCTTTTTCCCGATGTATGTGGATATTGAATGTGTTGTCTATCAATGCAAGCTCATCTGCTATGTCGTAGACTAATTCGTTTCCCGTAAGGTTGAAACGAGGAGTGTATATTTCATGCTCTTTAGTTATTGCGATATTTATCGCTATGATCTCAAGGATTGACCATACTCTCTACATCTCTTTGAAATTGAAAAACTAATCATTTTCTTTTTATCTGTCTCAGGTCACCGGAAAATGTGGATCGGTTTCTGTACGTTTAATCCCTGCTCCACGTGGTACCGGAATCGTCGCTGCTCACGTACCAAAAAAGTTATTACAAATGGCTGGTATTGAGGATTGTTACACATCGGCCAAAGGATCGACTTGCACACTTGGTAATTTCGCTAAAGCAACTTATTTGGCTATTCAAAAAACATTTTCATATTTGACACCTGACTTGTGGGAAGATAAAAGTTCAATGAATAAATCTCCCTATGAGACTCATGCATCTTACTTGATGACAGTAGGGAGAAAAAACTAATAAATTAAAAGTTTTAATAATCACAATTATGTTGATCAACCTCATTAATTTAATAAAATTTATTCCCTATTGAATCTCGAGTCTTTTGAGGGTTTAATCTTAAATCACATGTTCTCTCAACTTTTGGAAGGTCAGAAGGAATTACAAAACGGAAGGAAATGAATAGAAAAAGAAAATATGAGCTTTAGAAATTACAAAAATCTAATCAATCAATTTACTAATTCAATCTTGGGTATTTATTAGACTTCTTTCTGGCCGAAGCTCGTGTCGTCATTGTGTGAGTTGGCATCGGGGTTTGATCTTTGGGCTTTCGGGATCGCCGACGACGGACACTTTCATTCATGATGCTTGAATCGGTAAAAGGTGTTTGAGTTTCTTGTCCAGAATGGAATCTGAGATTAAAATTAGATAAATTTAAAGAATAAATAATAATGGAAAGAGATGAGATGAGAATTGATTAAACTTACTTTTCACTTTTTGGTGTACTTGGTTCTTGTGATGTTGATTGTTTTGTTGATGAGAAATTCGGTAAATTTTTAGCATAAGATTCAATCATCGCTGAAATAATCATTCCACTTTGAAAGAGATCATCATCATTCTCATCGCCACTTGTTGATGTTGAAAAACATAAATCTTTATATTTTTGAGCTTCATCTAGTTTACCATTTAATAGGAGACAAAGAATCGCTTGGAGTTTGCCACTTCTGGATTTGTTTAATAAATAATCGACTAGTTTTTCGTGTTCAGACGAACTCAAAGGTAATTGAGCTAATTTGGAAATAGATTTTGCTTGTTCACATGTAGTAAAAAGATCAATAAGAGATTCATTATTATTATTACGATAAGATTGATAAGCTTGGAAAACTTGACGATTAGAAGAAGTTGAACTGAGCATAATTACAATAAGACAAGATGATTAACGAATAATAATACGATACCAAGACAATTAAACAATTTAATTAAAAGGGAAGAAAAGATAATCAGAAATACAAAAAATTGTTTGTTTATAAAAATTTTGAAATAGAAAAACTAGAAACGTAGAAGATGATCTGCAGGTGGCGCTGAGGGTAAGAGAGAAAAAGAAAATCGAATGAGCCAATCAGGTGAAAGTCTAAAGTCAAACGCTACGAGGACTCAATCGGGTAGCCAATGAGATCGAATGGAAAGTGAATCTTTGGTATAAATACTTGTGGTGGTTTATTTTGAAAATTATTCTCAAAATTGTTGATAGTCTTTCACTTTGTCACTCTGTGAATTTCATTCTTATTCTTTCTTCTTCTCGTTAATTTCAACTCAATTTTAATTACTAATCATGTCTGGACGTGGTAAAGGAGGTAAAGGTCTTGGAAAAGGTGGTGCCAAGCGTCATCGAAAAGTTTTACGTGATAATATCCAAGGAATCACCAAACCAGCCATTCGTCGTTTGGCAAGAAGAGGTGGTGTTAAGCGTATCTCTGGATTAATCTACGAGGAGACCCGAGGTGTACTTAAGGTTTTCTTGGAAAATGTTATCCGAGATGCTGTCACATACACTGAGCACGCCAAGAGAAAGACAGTAACAGCCATGGATGTTGTCTATGCCCTGAAACGTCAAGGAAGAACCTTGTATGGTTTTGGAGGTTAAGCTCTTGGTTAACATCATCTCATCTCAACCTTTCCCACCTCATTTCATCTTTCATTTATTCCCCATCCTCTTCATCATCATTAATAACCAAAAACGGCCCTTTTCAGGGCCAATTACATTTTTACGTGAAGAGTTTTTTGTTTAACCTATTTATTTGATGTAATTCATCTGAGACAATTCACAGAGACTGGATTTTACTCATTCAATAATTGAATCTTTTAAAGTGAAATTAAATTAAGTGTTTATTAAATATATAAAATTAGTGTAGATTTATTAATTTGAATTATCATCTGGGTGATTCATGATTCCATTTTCATCAATTGTACTCAGAAGATGACAAATCAACGGCGATTCGACCTAAGAAAAGGTTTAAAGAAAAGTAAAAATGATTAACATTAGTAAGAGTGGAAAGATTAACAAAAGTAATTAAGCTTCTTTAAGCTCTAAACAATTTACATGATCAACTTACTCCTAAAATATATTCACAAGATTTTGGTTCAATCAAATACAAAGAAACAGATTCTGGATCACCACCGAGAAAAGCGCATCTAAAGTGATTAACAATTAGTTAGATTAGTTTTCTTTTTCTTTTTCTATTCCTTTTTGTATTTGTATTTTCATACACTCGAAGGATAATATTAGTTATTTAGATTAGATAATTACTTTAATTTAACTTCTACTTGACGAGGTTTTCCTGTTAGATCACAAACATCACCATTTCCATAATGATGAGAAACTTGTTTCAGTGTTTTTTGTTTGTTCGGTTTTCGGTTCGGGTTTTTAATCAACCAATCGATGTGATTTTCCAAATTCCATTTTCCTAATAAAATCTTTGATTTCTTTTCTCCTTTTTCTTCATGATATTGTTCAATTTTATGTCCATAGCAAAACTCGTATTTCCACCAATCAGTCCCCTAGAAATAACAATTAATTAGTAATCTAGATGATCAAGATGAGGTAAGAAAAAAGGACAAAGAAAAAGATATTTACACCATGAAGACAATAATCACCAGTGAGAAAATCTCTCAACAATTTAGAATCGAATGTTGGTTCATTGTTGAGAAAAAAATCTCCTTTGATTTCCTTACTTTCGTCATTAGTCAAATCCAATTTGTGAATTTCAAATTGTATCTTCGAACCTAATCAGTGAAATTGGATCAATACAAAGGAAAAAGACTTTACTAATTAGAAATAAACTCATTTAGTGTGGATGATTAGACAAGATTAAGAATAGAATCATAATCAAGGAGATTGGGTTGTAAAAGGAGAATCATGATTACTGTCGATATTCGGTGAGTTTTTCATTAATTCGGTTCGATTCTCGACTTCGTATTCCACATATCCTTTGGGTTTAATTGGTGAATCTCCGAGAGAATAACAATCAATCGATTCTTCGGTAATTGCATCATTTCGAAAATCGGGATGAATACAAAGAAGTGGAGTGAGAACGATGGCCTCATATTCACATGTGTAAGTCTCTTTGATGGAAGACAATTCATTTCGAGCTTCATCATTGCAAACGTAAAGAACTCGAGTGAATCGAGGTCGATTGTTGAGATCGCAAGTTGTACCACCGGTCATATTTATTTCGATATAAGGAGTGGCAACACCTTCGATTAGAACTGTTGGTCTGCCATTTTTTCCTTTATTCCAATTCTCCTCCATTTGGGTGAATCCAAGTTCATTTTCTTTCCTTTCATTGAGATCAAATTTACCCAAATAATATTCTTGTGAATAAGTCTGAATATGGAAACAAATTGACGACAATCGATTATTAATTGTGATGATAGAGAGCCAGAGAAGAAGCGAAAATGTCTCTCACCTTTTGTGAGGAACTTTCTTCATGGAATTGGCGAATGAATTTCCCATGACAAAGTTCATAACTCCAATAAGGTTCTAATCGGAATGAGCAAATTTCTCGCGTAAAAAGGGGCAATAATAATTGGTAAGGATCCAAACTGTTTGCTTGATCTTCTTTGCTTTCAATCTCATTCTGTGAATTGTGAGAAAATGAAAAACAATTGATTAGTTGATCGTATTAATACAAATTGAAGAATCAACGTTCGCACTTTTGGTTTGTTTCTAGGAAGAAAACATTTATACTGTTCCTTGTTGGGTGTAGTTATTGTGAGAGAATCTTTTTCTTCAGATATTGGAACCTATGGAGAGAATCAAATTATTGTTATTAATCGTCATTGAACCAGTGACATTGTTAATTGTTACTCACTTGAGATGATGAACTAGAAGGAGAATCTTTAGAATCTCCAGTTGATTTGTATGGACCATTCCAATTGATTTTATAATAAAAGTCATTCAAAGCTTTGAAATTGTCAAAAGCTTCTTTCTCGTGGTCTTTTTGTGAAGATTTAGCTCGATTAATGGCATCGAATTCTGATCCACCGGACACTTCATCTGAACTCAAATCACGTTTAATAGACGAAGGCTTATCAGCAGCAAATGTTAACAAGGGCAATTGACACAATTGAATAATAATTAAGTTACTTAAATAGATGAAATTGAATAGGAAAATCTTCATCTTCTATTTCAGGTTAGGGCCTCAAGTTATCAAATTCAACAATTCGCTTTATTCTGATGACTACACAAAATCACAGAGAAAAGCAATCAGCATAATCACCAAATGGAATCAAACATCTAACGATGATAATCAAAGACAATAATCAATGACAGTAATTAACAACATTAGAGAAAAAAAAGAAAAATAAAGAAAAATAAAATTATTCTCTGGATTATTTTTTTTTTGTTGTTCTCTTATCCAAAGAGTAGAAGTAAACACAACACAAATGTAAGACAGAAAAGAAAACCAACTAATCAATGGACTTGAAAGAGAAAATATCAATTAAATCCAAATTGATTGTAATTAATTGTAATCAATTGTTACCAAAGATTCAAAGACAACTCATCACATGTGAAAACTAATCGACACTTTCGCTCCTCCCATTCACATATGATCTTCTTTTTGTTAGAATATGGACCGATAGGGGTCACCCTTTTGTAGAAAAAAAAATTCAATTGATTTGATTGAATTAATATTCACAATTAGACAATTAAATCATCTGATAGAAAATTAAGTATTAATTTTACATTTTTTCCTCACTAATTCGATGATATTCACACCAAATTAATGATCATATTTATCGTAACCAATACTTTGAGTAAATCAAGTTGATTAGAAAAACCAAATTTCCACCAAATTTAGATTGTAATTAAATTAAATTTAGGTTATGATCTTAATTTGTCAACTATAAATTTTGTTCAATGTAGAAAGGAATCAATTTATTTAACACAATTAATCAATAAAGAGAAAGTAGAAAAATCAAAACAAAACAAAAAAAAAGAAATAAACAATTTAACAGATTAGAATCAATCAATTTGCTTAATCATTGTGAACAATTTGAAATATAAACAAACAATTTACTGATTTATTCAACAAACCAATTTCGTTGAACAATTAACAATCAATGATAAATCACAAATGTAATAGTAAATAAACAACAGTTTATCCTTTGCTCTAATTTCAATGTAAAAATTAAGATTAACAATCAAGTAAAAAGCATTGCGATCGTGGTGATTTGGTTAATCAATCAATGGGAATTAATGATTGAAAATTTATTGATCACAAACATGAATTAAATCAACTGACCTTAACCAAGTCTTGGGAACTTATTTATTATCAATAATTAGGTTAATTTGATTACATGTCAATGTTTACATGGTAAAACTGATTAACATGGAAACGTCATTACATCAAGACAATGTTAATAAACTCAAGGTCAATTAAGATTTTTATTATTAAATTGTAGTTAATTTTACCTGACAATTAACCCGAAGAAGCTGCACAATTAAATTAATACAATCGACATGGTTAAACAAAAAATACAATTAATTAGGGTGTAGATGATGATGAGTATTGGTGTGATGGTTATTAGAAATCAAAGAATCACAATTAAAAGTAATTACATCTAGAGAAAAAAAGGAAAACGTAACAATTTATCAATAGAACTTGAAATTCAAGGTTCCCTCCGATTGTTAAGACAAGTAATTGTAATTTAATTGTTCCCAAATTTGGTTAATCAAGTTAATTGTGAGTGAGAGAATAAAAATTCAATTCAACTAATCAGATACACGTTTAATTGTCAACTAAATTGTCTGATTACCGATTGGTAAGAATATTAAGTTTATTATGATGGCGAAATTGATTTAGATGATAAATAGATGACGATACGACTTAAATTGTTTCCCTATTAAAGACCAAATGGTTAATCAACCGTAAAACCATTTAACTAATTAATCTCAACTAATACAAATCATTTCCACTCAATTATCACAATTGACCTACTCTCTCTTTTTACTTTCTTTCCTTTCCTTTCCTCTTTCTTTTCTCTTCTCTGTCTTTTTTATCCTTTCTTTTTATCTTCTCTCTGTCTTTCTTTCCTTTCTCACTTTTCTTCATTTTCTCATTTTGTTTCACTTTAATGTTCAACTTTCATCTAATCACATCAATTTTTTAATGTTAATTTAGTGATTGTCAAGTTTAATTCTAATTAGTTTTCAATCGGTAACAATTAAAATTCTTAATAATCAACCAATCAACTTTTCATCTCTTCATTCATGATGATTTCCATTTAATTGAACAATTGAAAGTGTCTAGTGAACATGTGAGTTAATTGTGAATCTCCTCATCAGCAAATGAAAAGTTTAATTGTCTTCAATTAATTGGGTGAGTTTCTTATTGTTTCCTAACCGTTGACCAATTGAAAATTGAGTCTTGACAATCAATTCCAAAGGGTATTACAATCAATTGATTTCTGATTAATATTAATAAATTTCAGGCAAAATTTGATCAAATATTTAATCACTTTTACTTGTTTAAATGTTTCAACAATTTAATCAATTGATTCCTAAATTGATTCACATGGTCATCTACTAGATACTCATGGGAATCAATTACTTATTATTATTATTATTAACTGTCGACAATTAACTCTTGAGGGATTAAGTTGATGTTGACAATTAACTCTCATGTGAATAAGTTAATTTAATTGAAATTAAATGAGTCTGAAAATATTTTGCTTCCTTTATTTGATCATTTTGTTTGTTTTAATCGTAATTATTGTTACTGTTAATTGTCGTTGACAGTTAAGGATAAGAATTTGTATTAATTAATCTCGAGCTTAAACCAGGTCACTGATCATGTTTAACGTTTCAACTGAGGTTCGAGGTTAAATTGTTAATTCAATGATGAACCAAATCAAAGTTTAGATCAACGAAACAAGTTGAACACTTTTCAAGTTTTCACCTTTTGTTTAACAATTAAATTTGATTCCATTCATGGTCATACCGATACCGTGATGATTAGACATTACAACTAACTGACCATCAATCAAGTTAATCAGCAATTAAGACTAACAGAGAAAGAGTGAAACATGAAAATTAGGCAACTAATTAGTGATGAAATTGAAAATAGTCACAACAAACCCATTCACTAATTAACTAATTAAACAGCCAATCCTTTATAAGGAAAATGAAATTCATATTTAATGTTGATTCTTGTCTTTACCTTACAAACAATTTAATTTTCATTTCAATTTATGTAAACATTTACACAGATAACTAACAACAATCAATTTATTACTCTCCCTGTGTGTGTATTTAAGCTTATTGATGATGATTATTAGTCAACAATCAATATTATCAACTAATATCAGTGAAAATAATAATAAATTATTTTCAAGAATATTAATAATTTATCATTAAACAAACAAAGGTAAAGATTGAAAACTTATTAATCTTTGAGACCTTGATTACAATGAGTATAAATTATGGTTTAATTTTGATTGTTGTCATTAAACACTTGACAAATTCAGTGACAATTAAAGTATCGTAAGTGATTTACTATTGAGTTAATCAAACATATACATTTATGTGGATTAATTATTACAATTATCATCGACACCTCGAACTCACAATCAATTTATCATGAGTAACTTTCAATGAATCAGTTGAAGTAATCAGATTGAATTGAATGTCCATCAAATTGATTGTTGTTATTATTTCCGTAAATAGTGGATGAGGTTTAAGTATCGATGAGAGATTAATGAATAAGATGAAGACTCTTAGCTAATTAACTTGATTAGTTATTAAATTATCTCGTTTCTAGGTAGATTTTGTCGAGTATTTTGTTGCTAGGAGAGACTAAGAGAAGAAAGAAAAAGTTTATGATGAAGAAACTAAATCATAATCATAATCATGATGCGTAGTTAACCATAGAATCAAATCGAGATTCTCACCGAATAATTTACTGATTATTGTTCTTTTCATCATTTTCTCCTAGTTTAATTGTTAATTAAGTTGGAAAATTAATCTTGTTTATAAATACATATACTCTCTTCTAGATAATCGTCATCGTCATCGTCATCTTCATCATCATCTTCATCTCCATCCTTAACCACATCAGCAACAATTCAATCATCAAAACAATATCATCTTCTCACCTTAAATTAACCTTCCATTGGTTAGTTAATCAATGGAAACTGATTCCATTCTGATTCCAATTGTTCCTTGGGCTTATGATAACAATTTAACTCCATATGAAAATACTTGTTTCGATAGTGAAGTTGAACAGTACATAGAAAATGAAATACTCAATCCTACTCGAAAGATCCCACTTCGAGTCGCTAAATGTATAATTGTTGGCCCAGTTTCGGTCGGTAAGACAAGTCTGATCAAGAGACTCGGTGCCAATGGTTATGGTTTACAACAAAGACCCACAATTGGAATTGATTATTGGATTCAAAAGTTTGAAGTACTTGGGACACCCTTTAGACTTCAGGTAATTATCATTGGGATAAAATGAATCTTATTCTATCCTATTAATCCTCCTCCTCATCTTCCTCATCATCGTCATCATCATCATCTTCTTCTTCAATCTTCTTCTCCAAATTTAACTAACCTTGTTAATTATCTGAATCTGTGTCAGTCTATTTTAAAATTTACGCTAATTTTGACAATTTTACAAAAATAGTTGTTCGCAATTATGATTACATTAACTTTCTCACAATTTAATAAATAATCAATTGATATTTAATCAAATATCCTTCTTCTTCCTTTAATCAATCATCTAAACAAACATATACAATTAATTTCTACCCCTTCGGTAATTACAATCAACCATTTGAAGAAGCAATTAAACTCAACCTTTGTTATCAACGATATTAATTAATTAGTTGAAAAAAGATACAGCTTATAATGTGTTTATATCCAAGGACTAAAAATGAACAATCTCTTGTATCGTAATTGACATGAGATTAATTAACTCTCGTTGAATCTGCTCTGTGATTAGTTAATTGTTTCCATTTTCTTTTCCTTTTCTCTTCTTCTAATTAACTAACTAGATCTGGGATACAGCAGGACTGGAGAGATACAATAGTGTAACCAAGAGCTTCTATCGAGATGCTCAAATTGTCATCATGCAATTTGATTTATCTCGACCTCAAACACTTCTCGAACTGAAAGAGTTCGTTAAAGATGTTCTAACGGTTAACCAAGAGGAAAGGCTACTTATATTTTTGGTCGGTTCGAAAAAAGATCTGATCAGTGAGGCTCAATGTCGAGTCTTGGAAAAAGAGGCTGCCCAAGTTGCGAAACAATTTGAAGCCGAATACTGGTCAGTGTCCAGTTTAACTGGTAAAAATGTTCAAAATCTATTCTCTCGAATCGCTGCCTTAGCATTTCTCAAAATGATTAAGACTGAAATAGAAATCAAGGAATCGTTCAGCAATGAGAATTCCCGATTAGCCATCATGTCCGAGCAAATGACCCCCGAACCACCGTTAAAGCCCAACAAGAAATTCAAATGTTGCCTTTGTAATATAACTTAAATTTTTCCTCTTTTCTTTTCTATGTAATTTAAATTGTAATTATCATGATAATCAACAACCTAAATTGTTGTGGTAACTTTATTATAATAACAACAATAAACAAATCAACTTCAACTTGATATTCAGTTTTCCCTTTTATTTATTTATTATTATGGATCATATCAGCTCATTGATGATTAATTATATTTTCATCTCAATTTACCAGACAATCAATTGGTTTTAGTTCAATCAACTAATCATGATTTCTTCAATTAATTGTAATCCAGGATTAGATAATTTTATTAATTTGATCTTATTGATTGTAAAGTAATAAATTGGTTGATATGGTTAAACTTTATCTTTGGTGTTTTCATTTGGTTTTTATTGATTGGGAAAAGTTAATTGTTCACATCATTTCTTCATTGATTAAACTAATTATAAAAATAATACTTTATTTGCTTCAATTAATTTAAAATCAATTAATCAAATATCTTTACAGGAAATGATTTGTTCAAGTTAATTAATTAACTATAAATTGGATTTGTTTTTCCTTTCAATAACTTAATTGTCCAATTGATTGTTTGTAATGATTTTTGAAACTTTTTTTTTCTCAATCAACAATTAACAAGAAAAAATCACCAAATATTTTCACTCCACAGTTAATCAATTGTAAACCATTAGTCTATCAACAATTAAGAGTCAAATTGTTGATTGTAATTGATGAAAAATTATCTTACAATTTATCTTGACGATGTAATTGTAATTGTAATTGTCTTTGTCTTTGTCCTTCTATTACCTGATTGTTTGTAAATCCAGTTTTTTGTCGAGTTAACCATCAGCCTAATTGTGAATTTAATGAAATTTGTCACAATCAAAATATTGATTAACCAATCGGACAAATTAATCAGATCAATATAGAAATGTTTAGAGTCAATGATTTAGGAAAAAAATTAAGTCTTTATGATTTAAACAGAAAATCTAATTCGATTCATTTTTATAATCAAATAAATCACAATGGAAACAAAACAATCAAGGTAACAATTAACATCGATTGTTATTGTAAAGGATAAACTCGTAATTTTTTGATTCTCAGATGATTTTCTTAAATCAACAATCAATTAACCATCTAATTCTCGGATCTTTATTAATAAAGTAATAATTGTCTAATTGTGGTAATTTTATCAATCGATTTAATTGTTTTCTATTCTCATTTTGAAATTCCCTCTTTTTTCATTTTCTTTTTCTACTCAATTGTTTTTCCTCCAATTTTTCCTGGTTTCATTTTCTGGTTCATCATCTGTTTTATTTGTTTCTTTTTCATTTGATTGTTTTTCGGTATTAATTGTCACTTTTTGGTGTTTAATTGTTGACATTAATTATGACAATTAGATCAAAAGTGAAAAAAAAATTTACTGGAGATGGTTGGAGGTAAGATTTTAATTTCTTTTTCTCATTTTCTCTTTGATTTCTTTCTTTCCACCAAACGAAATTTACTAATTTACTTTTTCACTTTAATTAATTCTTAGAATTTCAGCTGATTGTCCATATTGTTTCTGTCTTTTTTTAATTATTGGTAATATTTTATTCAACATTCTGGTCACTTCGTCTTCCGGTGAGTTTAATGAACAAATTTACCTATCAAATGGTCAACAATTTCACTTTCCTATTCATTTATTTGTTTACTTTTTTTAGCCGCTTATCGGATCAGCCTTTTGATTGCAATTAACTTTCTTCTGGTCTCAATTAGTAAATTCAATTTTCTACAACCTGTGATTCAATCATTTATTATTGGTCTAATTGTAACAATAGGTGCCAAATTTTACATTAATGGTAATTAATTTTTCTTTACATTCGTTAATTTGAATTGCGTCTAATTTTCTTTTCGTTTCGTTGCAGAATCTTCCTGGTTTATTTGCCCTGTTCTTTGGGCATTTAATTATATTTCATACTATCGTTTTGGATCATGGGGACGTCAATTTAGAAACTCTTTTACACCATGTGAAATGTTAATTGTTACTCAAGGAGCATTAATTTGTCTAACACAATCTACTCTCTGTGAACTTGGTTCATTTGTACCTGCTCTCTCCTTAAGCTGTTCCAACGATCTTACCACTCGTGTATTACAAGTAGGTTGTTAATCTGATTGATTTAAGTACCAAAGTCTCAATCATCACAATCAACTATTTAAAGTCCAAATTTTATTTCCTTCAATCATAATTAATTTCTATTGAATAACAAAACTTGATGAGTTATAAAAAAAAGCAGACATTTCAATGAAACATTTCTATCTTCATCGATACATTTTGATACTTGTTGATTATTCAATTCTCAATGAAACTAATTAAAAATTTTTCCCCCAACAGTTACTCTTCTTTGGCTTGACTATTACCGTAATTCTGATGTCATACTCAGCTCGTAACGATAATCTCGCCATGGTGTATACAAGTTTGGTCACTGGTCTTCTAGTAATGTATTCACGACTTGCAGTTATCATCAACAAAGAACCATTAACTTGGTTGTTTCTAGATGTTTTTTTTACTCATTCTCGTGTAAGAAAATTCCCTTTATCAATCATCCTTTAATCTTAGTATTTTATTACCTAACGAAACTACTTGATTTCTATCATAAATTTAGATACACCTCTTCGAGTTATGGGCTTGTCTTTTTATCTTTACGATATTTTTCTGTGTCATTGTTGAAGCCTTTGCCGATAATGCAGCTAACACTGTGATTCGAAAATTTTTCCACCTCATTGTGATTCCTGTTTACGCTTCTGGACTTAAATACGACCCGCCGATGCTTTACTTTCTCTCATGTTGCCTTCTATGGATTCTCATTGTTCTAGAGGTTCGTGTTTGGCCTTGAAGAAGAAAAAAGATATTCCATTTCGATTTGAAAAGCAGAATTCGCAGGAAAAAAAAACCTGATAAAGTAGCAGAAATCTTGAATATCTCAAGTTTCAATTTCTTTTTCTTCGTTCATCATAGCTCGAAATGGTGAACGAAGTGAACACATGGAAAGATAACAATCAAAGATTGTACATTTAAGGAGTGTTCAGTTTCATCTTATTCTGTGATAATCTAAAATTAACGTGTAACTGACACGCATCAACAAATTGTACTTTCAGGCTGGAGAGAAATGTTAGAATTATCAAAAGCTCAGTATGAGATCATTTGAAAAAAAGCTCAGCTTGTCACAATTTTCATTAATTCAATGAGATCATCAAAGAATCAAAAGAAACAAAAGATATTCTATTCATTATTGTTGATAAATTAATAATTCATTTCTTTTTTTTTCTTCTTATTCGATAGACACTTCGTATCACTGATCCAGAGAATGGAGGAAAAGCAATTGTATTTTTCATGGAGCGATTCAAGAATGATAATGATCGTGGTTTCATCACGCTAACTCATATTTATCTTTTGATTGGCCTTTCATTATCATTATGGATTTCACCTAATATTGATAAGATATCGTTCAATTTTGCTTCCGGGATGATAACGGTTGCTGTTGGTGACACGGCAGCAGCGATTATCGGGTCTCGTTTTGGTAAACATAAATGGCTCAATTCAAATAAGTCAATTGAAGGAACCCTTGGATCCATTTTATGTCAAATAATAGCTTCCATTTTAATTAAGTTTTACCTGAAAGTTTCAACAAACATCCTTGTCATCACCATACTATCAATCATTTCATCAATTATCGAAGCCAAAACAATTCAAATAGATAATTTAATCTTACCGTTATATTTTAATCTTCTATGGCTAATTGCTGCTGTTTTTAAATTGATTTAATTATTTTCTTATTGTCCTTACAGGAATTAACCAAATACTCTCATAATTGTTATATTGTGAAAACAAAATCTCATTTAATTATGAGACTTAACACTATTTCACAAATTAGTCAATTCCGTTATAAAATTTTCTATATATTTTTTAATTACCTTGTTATTGGAAATGATTAATTGATTGGGTCCTCCAATAACCTTTTAATCCACTTACAAAGTGTTGACAGTCAACAAATAAACAAATCAAGGTTGATTAGAATCAACAAAAAGGAAATTATTAAATCACTGATTTTGTATTGGTAAATGATCAATCTAATTGTAATAAGTAAATACCAGTCACAAACTGATTAGGCAATTAAATTAGAAAAATAAAAACTAATTTACAATACAAAACAAGAGGGAAATAAAATGACCAATTGCTTGAAAAACAATCAACTAATTGCCAACAATTAGTAAATAAACTGTAATAACCTTTTCCTTTTTGAGTTGGAAAAAAAGTTGAAATGAAATTTTATTAATCTGATAATCTGAAGATTTGATCTTTAAATTAATCTAATAATCTTGAGAGTTCATTGAAAATGAACTCAACTGATTAAACAGAAATTAAATACGAAAAGTTGATTTATCAACTCAAGGCTATCAGTTAATTATTACTAAATAAACCATAAACATCTTGATTCATGTTTCACTCTCGGTCAGTTAAACTCATTTCATGATGATAATCATGATAATCATGATGATGATCAGTCATAATCAACCTTGAGTGGGCTGTTCCTATGTGATTCAAATTCAACTTGATTTAAAGTTAATTGTGTTAAGTTGAGTTGAGTTTGTCTTTGTTACTTTAACATTAAACAAAGTGGATTAAAATTAACAATCAGTTTTTGTTTTTTCCGTTGTAATTATGGTTTAATTGTCATTTAGATTTTCATCTTTAATTGTTTTTAATTGTTCCCCTTTTCCTGTCAACAATTAACAGAGAGAAAAAGATGAACATCATTTGTTAACAAACAACAACAATTAACATCATCATAATGATGAGATTTTAGTTTCATCTCTGTCTTTTTCGTGTTAACCAATTGTCTAACAATTTACTAATTGTGTTTTCATTTCAATCAAAATCACCTTACAATCAAAGTTAAAATTTGACTGACAACAAAAGTTTACAATTGATTTAATTGCTGTGACAATTTGCTCCAAGAAAAACAAAATCAGATGGATCTCAAGAAAGGAAAAGTTCAGGTAATTAACTAATCATTTACAATCTAAATCATCTTTTCTCTACAACAATTAACGTATCTAATTACAATTAAGTAATAATAATAATCTGAATTTCAACAACAACGACAAAAAATTGTCTCATTTTAAAACAATCAAACTAAATCAATAAGTTTCACATTCTTACAATTTATTGATTACTTTTCTCAGAAAACATAACAACAACAATTAGTTTCCAACCTTGGTGACAATTATTATTTCGTCACAATTGAGACAATTTAAAAAAAGGTAAAAATGTAAAGTTAAATTAGGAACAAGAAAAACTTGAAATTGTGACAATTAGTGAGATGTTGTTGATCTCATATTTGTTTACTTCAATTGTGTTTACCAAAGTGAAAAGGTTGATTGTCAGTGGTAATGATTGATTTTAATTCTGTTTCATTGTTCACCTTGATTGACAATCGATTTCCAATTGTATTAATTGTTACAACATTTAAATAGAAAAAGAAATCACTCTGGTTAACCAAACGTTTCTGGTTAATTGTTGCTGTTGTTTTCACTTTAACCATGTTGTCAATTGCTCTCATCTTTACATTGGCTCTTCCATTGAGTTCACTTGCTGACAAAACGTGTGACAATTTCGCCTCCGAAGGGCCTTATTGCTTAGCCCAGGGTAAAAATGATATCAAACGTGTCTACTCAACAAGGACAACATTTAATCAATCAATCAAATTGCTTAAATCTAAAAGTGATTCAGTTAAATTACCAGAGAAATGTGAACCAGTTATGTTGTATATTTTCAGTAGACACTCAATCAGGTATCCAAAGAGTGATGATATTATGGAAATGGGCCAATTGTTGCCCCAATTACAACAGGAATTAACTGAGGCCTTTAACAAAGGTTCAAGTGAATTGTGTGAACAAGATTATCAAGCAATTAAGCAATGGAAACTTGAAATGGTTCCTGAAAACGACAATCATGTCACACCAAGCGGAGTAAAAGCCACAAAGAAAATAGGTAAGAACCTGAATTTTTCCTTCAACCAAATTTTCACTTTTCTTTTTCCCTTTACTCTAATTATCGAATTAACTTTTATTATTATCCATCTATGGGTCTATTAATATCTCCAATTTTCAGCTAAGCTCTTCTACTCTCAATATCCTGATCTATTCGACCCAAATAAGGTCAATTTCCAGGTCGGTGTTACCTCCAAAGTTCGTACAAATGAAACCGCTCATGCTTTTGTTGAAGGTTTGGTTGATATTAAACCAGGTAAAGTTGAAACATTTTCCTTTTCATTGTTATTAATTGTTGATCAATCTTCTTCTTTAATTGTTGTTGTCTAACTTTAATCATCTTTTTGTTATTGTATTCTAATCAGAAATTAACATAAAGGAGAGTGATTATGTTGTTCGTGATTACCTTCAATTCCATTCAATTTGTAAGAAAAAGATTGGAGTTAAATTACCCAAACCTAAACAACTCAAGGAAATAACTGAATCTAAATTATTTTCAAAATTACGACAACGAGTTAGTAAACGATTAGGTTTCAATCGGACTATTTCAGATGATGAATTAAACATCATGTACACTTCATGCAGCTTCGAACAAGCGATTTTCGATAAAGCTCCTTGGTGTAACGTATTCACTAAAAGGGAATTGAAAGTATTGGAATCACGAGAAGATATTGAACATTATTACAAAAATGGACCTGGTTTCAAATTGAATCGTAAAATGGCCTGTCCGTTGATCGCCGATCTATATGAGTCAGTCGAGAGAGCGATCAATATACCTGAAAATAGGACCACTTACCTTTACTTTTCTCATGCAGGTTCGTCCAAAATTTCATTCATATAACATTGTAGTACTTTGGCTAATTGTTATTTATTATAATCATTTAATTGTAGGAGCGATGTCCAGGTTATGGTCAACATTAGATATTTTCGATAAACTTTCATTAAATGAGAACTTTTGTCCCGATGGTAAACGCGAATGGCAAACATCATTAATCCTTCCGTTCAACGTTAATTTTGATGTGGTGCTTTATCGATGCTCAGAGGATCATGAAACTACCGATCCATCTGATTATAAATTGTTAACAATGATCAACGGTGTTCCAATTGAAATCGACCAATGTGATGATCCCTTTTGTAGTGCGACCAAATTTCTGAAAGAATACAAATCGATGGCTCGAACTTGTGATCTTGACGAACTTTGTAAACTTCCAGGTCGTTCATCTGATGGCAACAATACGGAAAAATCTCCCGTTTCCGATGATGATTAAGAATTTAAAAAGTTACAATCAATCATAAATTGCGATTTACGAGCAAAAAAACACAACAAAACCTCATCTAATTCAATTAATTTAACCTCTTGCTCCAATTAACTTTCTGACCCATTCAACTTTCAAACGCCTTTGAAAATTGTGGACAATGTAATTATATTATTTTATTAATCTAATTTAAAAAAACTAATTGATTACTCTAGATCATGATAATAAAGAAAACCAACAATCTAGACAATGGTTATAATTTAATTTCTCATTACAATTTAGCTAAATTGTTAAGCAAATATCCTTCAGATTTCAGTTTCATCTTCAGGGTAATCAAGATAAGACTCATCAGAGGAACATCATCTTTCAAATGATTAAAATTAATCATGAAACTGAAATTAACTGATTAAACGAGGGACCCAAAAGTTGAACAATAACAAACTGGAAACGAGTTAATTGTGACAATTAACTTAATTGAAGTGAAAAACCGGTTCCGTTTAATAGAAACAAAAACTCTAATTAGATAAGAAAAAGATTGTCAAAAACTCATTTGATTATCTTAATTACGATCAAACTTTCTACCACCAATTTAGACCTTGATTGATTAATTGCTAATTGGGTAGTGAAAACGTTAGTTTCAATTTTATCATGTGAATTAATCAGTTTGAACTTAAATTACCTTGAATTAATCAAGATCAATTATTATTATTATTATTATTAAACTTGAATCAGTTTCTTAATAACAATCAATAAGATGAATTAAAAAGTTTAATCAATCAATTGCTAAAGTAGCAACCTCAATGTTTGTTATTGACGAAAGTGTGACAATAATGATTAACAAATTGTTGACAGAAAACTTTTTTTCCGTTCAAAATAAACCTGTTAAAGTTGATTGAGGTGTTAATTTAATCCGGTTAATAATTGGATCAGTGTTTTGATTGTGATTTCAACAAAATAATAGACTTTATTTAGTTTTATTAAAAAACGAAAGATGAAATCAGCTGATTAAGTAAAAACAAAGATCTTTGGTCAGATTGAATTGTCGTAATTGTTTCCGTTCTCACTCCTTTTCTCGTGTTAATTTTTGTACATTTCATCGAGTAACAATCAACCAATTTTCGAGCTTCAAATTTGAAGATTACAAATATCACAATAACATCTAAATGAAGCTTTTTCTTGAAGCCATTTCTGTCTTTCATAGTAATTAAGGGAAACGGCGCTACATCCATAGGTTATTGTTAACTCTTCATCTTGACGGATATTCCGGTTAGTTGTTAATCTTAATTTAGTTCCAATGAAAAGTGGTTCACAATTATGGAGACACGAATGATTTAAAAGTGAAGCAGTTGCATATAAACCAACACCGATCACAGAATCGTAAAAATTATCCGGCTCATTGTCGATTGAATTTTGTTGAAGTTCATTGGAAATCGGTAATCCATTGGTATCAATGATCATACACAATTTCAAGATGAGACCACCGAAATCAATTAAGTCTTCATCACCAATTAACCCGATGGCTTTAGACAATAAACTAAGATAAGTGGCAGTAGAAATGGTTGATGCTAATAAAAAGTTATCTCGATCCTCTCGACCCAATAGAGTTAAAATATCAGCGAAACGATTTTTAATTGACCTGGAAAAGAAAACCGGAAGAAAGCAAATCAACATACAAATGAAATTTCCTAAGCAAATTTCCAATTCTAATTGTAATTGTACTTACGCTCTATAAGTGTACTTGATACAATCATTTCTAATCCTTGATTTGTACTCTCTAAGTGCATGATCAACTCCCGTAATTAAAATTACTTTAAGAGCTAAAAAGCCAATGGAAAAATCCTTAAGAACAGCCATGTAATAACATTCACTGGAATGACAAAGTTTCCAATTCTCTTGACAACAATCAATTGAACAATATCTTAAATAGATGCAACCTTTACAGGGAATGAATCGATGTTCAATTGATTTAAGACAATGAGCACAATATTTAGAATACGAATCGGGAATTAGCCAAACTGCATAAGGCTCTTCAATTAAAACGGTGTCCATGGCTTTCAATGGTTCTTGGGTCTTAATTGTCCGACCTTTTCCTGGTTCGAAAGCAATGTAAAGCGAACCAACTGCACCATCGATCTCAGAATTAATTGACTCAAGATAAACATCGAAAGGATCAAAAGGCGGAAGATCCAATCCGATTAAAATTGATGGTCCAAATTGGGTGATTAGTGAATGTTTCATTCGTTCCAATGAATCAGTTAAACTTTTTTTCATCTCTTCCGAAAAGGCAAATTTATGAGCATCCACAGTGTCCAGAAAACTTTCATAGAAAAGTCCAAGTTTTGAATAGACGTGACTTCGACACCCGAATGCCAATGAAAGAGCATCTTTACCATCCTCATCTTCAATATCCTCGCTTCTGGGAGCAAATCTTAATCCCTAATAAAGGAGAAAAAAAAGAAAAACCAATTAATCCTCTTAAAGGAAAACAAATGAAAGAGTTACTATAATCCAGCGATCATCTGATCTCTTCCCGATTACCATTTAATCGGGCAAACGGACAATCAAACTATTAGAGATTTTAAGGAGAACAATTAAATTAGAATTGTAAACTTACCTTGTTGACATAATTTAAAGCATTTACATAATCACATTTCTTGAACAATCTAAATGAACGTTGACAATAGAGACGAGATTTGATTAAACTTTTTCTTCCTATAAAAGTACAACCAGTGATCAAATCATTGATTTGTTGTTCCATTGTTGATTTTAATCCATCATGTTGAAGACATTTTAAAATCTTTCCAGAATAATTATTCTCGTTCAGGGTGACTAACTGATTAATCCAAGAATCACCGAAAGTTGACTTGAAATTAGAGTAAAGAGACAATTCAGCAAATTGTTGGAAATAACCTCGATCACCATGAACATCATAAGAGTAGACACAATATTTACATAGACAAATTATTTTCCCATCTAATTGTTTATCAGAACAATTGGAATTGTGATGTAATTCATTAACCAAAGTCTTTAAAATATCACACATGATTCAATGGTAAACAATAAGAAACTAAATCAAAGGGGCAACAACAAGATTAAGGAAGTAGATTAAAGATTAGAGATTAAGGAAAACAGAGGAAAAGGAAAAGTAAATATGATTGATTATTCAAGAGAGAGAAAGAGAAAGAGAAAGAGAGTCAAGAGTAACAGTCGATTTAAGATTAACAATCAATGATTTGTATCAGAAAATTAATCATCTCGGTTGACAATTAACAAAAATTGAAGAAAAAAAAACAATAACATTACAATGAGTTGGAAAATGATTAAGGTGAACAGTTAAAAGTCAATGGTCTTCAATGGTCAATCAGTAAACAAGTGATTCCATCTAGAGACTGATTATAATCATTCTCATTAACTGTTAACCAATAACCGTTAAGTTAATTAGTTGATTTACTAATTCAAATTGTTGGTCAATATTGTTGTTCGTAAGTTACAAGTTTCAAGTTAAACGGACACTTTGTTACTTGTGACCTTTGTCTCTGATTGTCTTTGACCTCGTCTTGTTTTGCTCCTTCTTGGAAACAATTTAAATTTCGTTGGAAAACAATTTGTTAACAGTTACAATTATATACCAATTTAGAAAATTAGTTTTCATTACATTTGTAGTTTTCTGGTTGATCATTTAGTTTATTTACAAGATGATGAAATAGTAGAAAGATAGAGACAATTAATTTTACGGTTTCAAGTTAATGTTTGACCGATAAATTGTAAAAATAAACAACAATTAAGTTTTATTGGTTTGGGAATTGTTGTTATATGAGCATTGATTAGTATGAGATCAAATTGTTGTCAGGGAAAGTAAAATAAATTGTTTGCTATACATTAGGAAAAATTTGTTAATCGATTGACATTTGATATGAAAAAATAATTGTAAGTGTCTATTTGGACATTTTATCTCAAGTTGTGAATAATTAATCAAAGAGATAATTAATTATTGATTGAATGGGGAAGAGTTGAAATGGTAATTGTTGTTGATTAAGCTCGACGAGAACAAGCCTTACAAGCACATTTGAAGAAATATCTTTCCAAGATCATTTTCTGTCTCTCCGCGTAGGCCAATCGCTCTCTACTTGGCCCATAAGTGATCGTTATTTCCTCATCCGGATAAATGTCCTGTTTAGCGGAAATGATCATACGATTTCCAACAAATACTCTATTACAATTATGTTCACAGGAATGGTTAACGAATGAAGTTGCACCGAAAACTCCTGCGCCTATTTCTGCTCGTCGATTGTTAATTGAGACAAATTCATCGCCTTCTTCGTCTTTCTTGGTATTATCCGAAATTAGCAATGAATTTACTCGAATAATTGCCAATAATTTAAGTAATAATCCACCAAAATCCTCCATCATTTCGTCATCAATAATTTGAAGTGTTCGACAGAAAATTGTTAAAAACGCTGCGGTAAAAGTGCCAGTGGTCATCAATTTATCGATATGATCTTCATGTGTAACAAAGGTCAAAACATCCTTCAGTCTGGTACGATAGATCCTTTGAAAAGGAAAATTAAACCATTGATTAGCTTTCAATTGGATAAAAATTTTGATAACCAAACTCATTCACATTTCTACTTACATTCTGGCCTCAACTGGAAATTTTTCCTTAGTGATTACTTCATGATAATCGTCGATAGAGTTTTCAATTCCATTCATTAAAATCATTCGGACAGCGAGATGACCATTGGCGAAATACTTTAAAACAGGCATATATTTACATTCCAAGCCATGGTAATTGTCCCAGCTTTCATCGTAACAATCCTCGGTACAATAACGAAAGTAAGTGCAGTATCGACAAGGCCAAGGTTGCTCGTTTAATGGCCTCAAACAATGGGCACAATAAGAGGCATAATATGAAGGTGCTAACCAATGAGCAAAAGCTTGTTCAGAAATTATGGCAACACTTGGACGTACAAGTCTTGTAGTGACTAAATGTCGACCTATTTTAGGTTTGTAGGCCATTTTAAGTATTGAAACAGCTCCATGAATATTTGGATTCTTAAATTCATCTCTAATTGCAAACTGTTCCGGTTCATATTGTCCTTTTCCAGCTCCATTGCTTCGTAATTCTTGTTCAACTTCATCTCTGGCATCAAACAAACCTTCAGTAAATTTAGAATCACACGAGAATTTAATAGCATTATCCAAATCAACTAAAGCCTGTTCATGACGATTACGAATACGAAAAGCCCGACAACGATTAGCTAAAATCATGGAGAGTATATTTTTCGCCTTTGGCCCTTCTTCGTCTTCAACATCCTGCGGATATGGAGCATAAAGTAAAGCCTGAAAGAAAAGAAAAGAGTCAAAACAGTTAAATAGAAACAGAAAGTAACACAACAACAACAACAATTAACAATCAAATTAAAAACGTTCAACGTTTGAATTGAGCAACAAAAAGGTTGTTATTGTTTTCCAATCATCTGATTGGCTAATTTTAAGCGCGTCGGTTTGTTAACCGTTTCCGCGCCATTTCTGAGTTGAATTGATTTTCGCAATTTGCAAATTAAAAAGCTAATTATTGTTAATTACCCTGTTAAATAGTTCGATTGCTTTCTCATAGTTTTCATTGTTATAAAATCTAAGGCCAATACTGAGGAAAACTCTCGCTTTGTCCAAATTTTTCTGTTCCCTGGTCTCGCAAAGGTTAATCATCTCTTCAGCTGTTGTCTCCATACTCGCTTTCAAATCTTCAACGGCAACAATTGAAGCGACTCTTTCAGCTAAACTTGATTTAGAATAAAGATTTTCCATGAAACCAGGAATCGCTTTTGCTTCGTTGATAAACTGCATAATCCAATTTGACAGGAGTGACCAGTCCCGAAGTGCTAATTGGTGACCTTGACTTTCATCAAATTCCTCTTCAAGTGTTGAACTTAACGTTTCAAAATCGTCAATAACAGTTCTCGCTCTTGCAGCCGCCATCTTGATGCCAATATAAATAATTGTTTATACAAAATGAATCAACTGATTGTTTGAGAAAAACAATTGGTGTGACTAGACGATGAATTATAATACTGAATTGAAACAATCAAAGAAACACTGGTTAAAAACAATTGTGACTAACTCTGTGGAGAGATGTTAAAAAAAGGTGATGGTTAAAAATGGTGGATCAAGTCAATTAGAGAAACAATTTGATGTCACAATTAAACTGATAAACACCATGTTGGTGGTTGATTAAAACGTAGCTTTTCAGGTGTTAATTGGTAAAGTAAATGGTGGAGAAAAATATAATTTATATAAAGTTAATCAAATCAACAGGTAAGTATCAGTAAGGTAACACCATCTATGAGCTTTTACTTGTCCCCCTTTTTGTTTGTTGGTAATTTGATTTATTTTTAAATTTAAGTTAAATTTAGATGGTTTTGACCTTGACAATTAAGGTAATTTAACATAAGCACACCAACTGACAATCAAATTGAAACACAAAAGGTAAAAATCAAATGTAAACACAAGGAAATACAAGGTTGAAATACCAATAGTTATGCAATTGTTTCACCAACATGTTAACCATGTGATTCCAACGTGGTTGAAATTCAATTTGAATTAACAACAATTGAGATGTTGAAAAGTTAAATTGTTGAGAATTGATGTTTAATATTTTTAAATTGTCATTTTTAATTGAATTTGATGATTTGGCAAAGTTTTGTCAAGAATTTTGAGGTTTTTAAAAAAAGAAATAGTTACAAATTTGATGGGACATTTTATGTGTACGATGGGCAAATAAATTGTTAAAATGGAAGCAAAATTTTAACAATCAATTTTTTGTTTACAAGGTGGACAAGTGCAAGAGAAATGCCATCGGTCAATCAATAATTTATGTCGACTTTCATAGGATCTGTCATCCGTTTCCGATAAATAAGAGATGGTCACTTCTTCACCGGCTTTTATTGGCCTGGTAGCAGTGACCATGATTCGGGTTCCAATAAAAGCCGAAGCACAATTGGGTTCACATGAATGGTTAATCAAAGCGAAAGTGGGAAATAATCCAGCACCAATGATAACCTTTTTCTCAATAACGAAACAACAATCACTCTCAGAAACGGTAATAGCATCATCGGCTATTGAAGAGACGTTAATCTTAAGAATGGCCAATAACTTGAACATTAATCCACCGAAATTGTAATGATCTTCATCCAAAATAAAGGCCATGTTACTTGCGAGGTGGGTTAAAAAGGCAGCGGCAAACATACATTGAGTCAACAAATTTTCTCGGTGATTTTCATGTGTCCCAAGAGTCAATAAGTCACCAAGAGTTTTCTTGAAAGTCCTAAATGAAAAAGCCAAAATCAAAACAAGAGAGTCAACAATTGTAATCATTGAAAGTTAATCAACTCACACTAATTATACTTACAATTTATTTTCCCTTAATGAGGGTTTACATGAGGCATAACTTTTATAAGATTCAAGTGAAGGTACAACTTTGTTCATGAAAACGATTCTCAGAGCAAGTTGACCTATCGAAAGGTATTTAAGATGACCCATGAATTTACATTCCACTGAATGATAAGTTCGCCAACTTTTGGCCTGACACTTGAACGAACAATATCTCACATAGATACAAGATTGACAGGGAAACGGTCGATCCTTTAAAGACCTTTGACAATGATAACAGTACTTTTCATAGAATGGAGGTGCCAACCAGGCCACGTAAGCTTCTTCGGCGATAAGTATTCCCGTTACATCGAGAGATTCGGTTGTCACAACACTTCGACCTTTTTCTCGTTTATATTCTAATTTCAATGGTTTCAATGCATTTGAAAGAGTTTGACTTTGATCTTGTTTACGAAAATCAAACTCATCCAAATCAACGGGAAAATCATGAGTTTTTTTCGGGGTAAATTTGATGGCAATTATTTCTCGACAAATTTCCACCTGAGTGGTTAACAAAGTCTCGATGAATCGACTACTGTTATTAAGTTCACAGGCCTCATGATAATCGTCCCAACTCTCATTGTATCTTCCCAATCCTTTGAAAGCTCGACTTCGGCTCACAAATAACATGGAGTAAAGACTTTTCATAACTGGATCATCAGTTCCAGCCGGATGTGGAGCACAAATCAGACCCTAGAGCATAATGAGAGAGTGAGAGAAATGATTTAATAAAGTCCATCTCTAAATGAGGAGATTACATGAGATTCTAGTCACACTTACCAAATTGAAACTTTCCAGGGCTTTATCATATTCCTTGGCATTCAAAGCTTCAAGGCCCATTTTAAGATAGTTACGAGCTGTGGTTCCATTTTTCCGTCCACGATTATAATTCTCAACGACCATTTTTCGGGCATCTAGGGCAATTTTACGATTCAACTTTGGAACATCAAATATACACTTGATCTTTTCATGAGCTGTTTTCTTGCGATACATTTTATCAACCAAATCGGGTGGACAATCAGGATCACTACGATATTGAGATGACCAATGGCACAGTAATGACCAATCGATTGACTTTTGCTGCTCAGGATCAGAATTGGCTGTAGTTAATTTAACTGCGGTTCCAAGTCTTTTCATCCTTTCCAATACACTAACTTCATAACCTCCAATTGGAGGTTCTTCCAATGGATCAACCTCATGAAAATCCATTGTATCCACTTTGAGAAACTCTTCAACAGGATCCAACATGATTAAATCTCCAACAATTAATTATTGTCAATCAATTAATAGAATAAGAATGGAAAAATAAATCTAATCAATTGTTGGAACACAGTAAATGAAGGTAATGTTTACACACACTGATCAACATACAATTGTACTCATCAGTTAATAAGAAAAGGACAAAATGAACTGAAACGATTGGTCAATTTACTTAATCACGAGTAACACCATCTATCAATTGTCTTCAATTTAAATTAATTCTCATTTTCAAATGTCACATTAATTCAATAATAATCTTCTTCTCAATTGTAATTAACTTTAGTCCACTTTCAATGTCAATGTTTTTGTTTTCATTTTATTTTCCGCCGTTTTTTTTATATTTTTTTAACTTCGAAATTCAAATTTCATTAACAACCAATTTTCAAATTGAATAAAAAATCAAATCAATTGATGCATAATTTTAATAGCTTAATTGATTCATCTAAATTCATCGAAAGTGTAAACGAGTCAACAATAAATTTAGATCTACAATTAGAATTGATTAATTCATTGGAATATAATATTTTTAATTTCGTTAGAAGAATCAAATAACGTTGAGAAGTTTTTCTGTATTCAGTAGATCGGTTATCGATCCAGTTTCGTGGTCTCGTCGGGCATTCGGGTTTCTCTTATTCATAACTGTAAGAAATTTGAAGAAAAATAAAAGACTGATTAAAGTGATTCGAATAGAATATAATGAACAACTGACTTTTCGAATTGTTCGAGTAGTCCAAATAGATCCGATAAAAAGGTTCGTTGAAATATAAGGTTGCGTTTTTTGCGAAAACGAAGTCGAAATGATTGAAATTCGGTGCAGTCACTTTGTGCTCGACCAATGGTCTACCTGAGGATAGAGATAATCGAGGAATTGTTTCTAATATAATTCCATTTTTAACATAATAACGATAAGCTATTAATACTTACTACTTAGAGAATTTACGAATTTCTGAACATTTCTTCTCGTCGAAAGATAATCACCCTTTCCACTGATTACAACAAGATTGTAAGTTGGAATTCGATGATAGGGTAAAGCTGGAGGAATTTTTGTTCCATATCTTCTCAGGTTTTCGGTTTCTCCGTAATCATAAAAACGAACATGATCAAAGCCGAGTGATTGTAACAAGTGAACACCGTCTTTGAACGAAGGTCGGTCAATTTGACTGACAACGTTTACATCATTTTCTACCTGAACTTGAGGGTCATCGTAGCCCAGAATTGAGCTCAAGATTTCTTGACACATAGGCTGTGTGATGCTAAAAGTACAGATCGCAGTGAGAGATGCGTCGACCGCTGCGAGGCCCGGAACGAAAGGTGCTAACACTTTACCAAGATTGCATTGGTTACATGAGTTCGGGGAAAAAGAGCAGCGGTGCCTTCAAGGTGACCCAGAAATCCAATCGGTGCCAATAAGAATACAAGATCAAAATTTGAAGAACCTTCGGGATGCAGAGACAAATACACAATCAATGTAAGCGAACCTTGAGAATGACCAGCTACCGTTATTTTCTCTATAGTAATCAACAAAAATAGTAAATAATTAGCGAATGAATTGTTTTTTCTGTCGATTGTTCAACACTCACCATATCCTGTTATATTTTTTATGTAATCAACTGTCGCTGGAAGATCGTGTATACCGAAATCGATGAACGTATAATCCCAAAACTCACGATCTAATTTATTCAGAAAATGAATCAGAAAAAAACATACAAAGACAATTCGTTATAAACTCACCGATATGTGGATTATAAGTCGTATGATTTGTCGAATATGTTGTTCCTCGAACATTCATAAGCCAAACGTCTTTCCCTTCATCGGCGAGAAAAAATGCTACCGATTGTTTTCCGTTGAATAACCAGCAAGTACAAGAGACGAAAAGACCGTGGATTAACAGTATTGGATCATAATTATCTGAGGTGATATTTGGATTGAAAACTCGATAAAGTTGCAGAATATAACCGTCGTCCGTAATAACATAATGGGTCTCAAAGCCGTACCCATGTATCTCGATCAATTGTGCGGCCGTTGCAGCGGTATCCAAGTCCCGTCGGTATGGTTCAACCAAAAGTTGTTCGAGGGCAATGGTTGGATTATCTCGAAACGCATTTACGAATGGAAATGTACGAGGAAAAGTTTCAATGATTTTACCAATTTCCTGAAAAGTGTCCTGAAATTTTTGGGTGAAAGAATTACTTGCCGATGAGACACTCGAAACTTTCACAAGTAATAAAATCGGTACTAATATTAAAACATTTCTCATCTTATAGATTCGTTGGCAATATCATGAACCCAATCAGGTTGTTATTACCATTGAATTTTATATATTTGTTATATGTGTTTGTTTTGTCATTCATTTAAAATTTATTCAACTGAACATTTTGTTTATTTTGTACATAAAACCATCATTTTAATGAACTTCAAATGCCAATTTGATCAAATATTCTTGTATTAAACTCACTGATTAAATCCTTGTTTAATCACGCGAGCAATTGTTTTCAATAATATCGATTGATACGTATGATCAGAATTGAAATAAATAAATCTAATTCAAGTAATTAGATGATTCTAACTATCAATTGATTACTAGATTAGCTTAATACAAAAAGTTCAGCAGCTACATTATCGGTTCAGTAGTAGTAAAACTACACAGTTAGGCACACTTTTTTTCTTTTTACTCTTTCGTTTCTCTTTCTTTTCCCTTTCTTTTGTATACACAAAATGAATGATTTTTCGAGGTAACCAAGGCCAACAACCTGTTACAACAGACTAACTTTTCCTTTTAAATTGAGGAAATAATTTTAAAAGGTAATGACCGTGTATAGATAAACGACTTGCAGGGTAAAAGTGGATTTAATTAAAAAATTAGATAATAAGATTAGTATTAGGGTTACAATCAATTGCAATATACCAATCGATTGGAAATTTTGAAATAAATTGGATATGTATATGTATATTTTACGTTATATTATTCTGTTAACCAGAATCTTTTTTAGTCTTCACCAAGTAAATATTTGTTTTCAAACATATATATAAGGTTTTCACTAGTAAATTTTGTCACCCAAAAGAAATTAAGATTTTTATTATTATTAATATTATTAATTAGACACAAATGATTAGTAATTTAACTAAAACAAATGATTAACTGAATTACATGAACGAGATTGATTGAAACTTATTTGTTGAACAAAATTAAATTGATTAACTATCTCAATTGAGATCCAAATTGTTAATGGTTTCCAATAGTTAAGGGTTTTGGTTAAGTACCAAAGGATGAGAAGAGGTAAAGAGAAAGAGAGAGAGAGAGAGAGGATAAGAAAGGAAGAGACAAAGAGAAAGAGACAAAGAGAAAACTAATAATATTATTATTAGTACCCTTTTCTCGACCGTTGTAAAGATTTGAAACTGTTGGGATAAAGGTAAGAAAGAAGATAAAGATGATAAATTTTGTATAAATAGAAAGAGAAAAAGACAGAGAAAAGTAAGAGAAAATTGCTAAAGAAAAATCTTCTTTCTATTTGTCTAATTGTAAAGACAAGTTTTAAAACGTAAAGTTTTTTTGGTCAACTGAATTAGCTGATTGAAACATTACATCCCTCCACTTGAGGTGAGAAACAGAGGTGAATGGAGTCAATTGGTCGGTGGTTCTGTGGTTAGTTTGTTGAGGAAAAGAAATTGGGTTAATAGTAATAATAATAATAAATTGGAACCAACATTTAGTTTAAATTGGTTAAATAATAATGACAATTAATGAAGCATTAATAATTGTTGAAACTTATTAGGTTTAAACTTTTGTTTTAATCACAATAAGAGTAATTGTTTACTTTTTATTTCTGGTTAATTGTTAATTAATTTCTTTTCCTTTGATCTTCACTGATCAAAAGGATAATCTATTCTATTTCATTACAATATTTCTTCTTAAATAATCGAGAAAAACAAGGTGACTTTCAGGAGATAGAGAGAAGAGAAAAACAAGGTAATTAAGTTATTAACTTAATCTCTCTCTCTATCTCCTTGACATTTCGTTACATCTCCGAATGACCATTTTTGAGCAGTGCCTGCGATCAGTCAAAGATAACAAAGGGGGTTGTAATTTGAATAATTTTGATTAGCCGTTAACATTGACCTTATATCGTCAGCTGATGGAATCCGTTTTTTCTCCTTTACCATCTCCAGGTATTTTCTATACAATTTTATGGTAAAACATGAGTCCAGTCCTGGATTATGACCATTTAGAGGATTATACGAGTCTCTTTTTAACCCCTTTGAATGAGGAAAGAAGAAGTTAACTAGTTTTTCTAATGAAATTTTTCCATAGAGTTTCTGGACATTGACCACTTCGATTTTCCATTCCTTAAGATCACCATCGCTTATATTTATCTTTTTTAGTTCTTTATCGTCGGAATCGAATATGAGAACTCGTTTTTCACCACAGGCTTGTAGAACGTTTGCCTTTATCTCGTCTAGTGATTTTCCATCTTGTAATTGTTGTAATTGGACGCTGGATATTGGGGTAGTCAAGTGGGTAACATTCGTGGTTTTTAGATACTCGGAATAGATAACCTGAGCACCAAGACTATTGCTGCTGAACCAGCCAGCGAGGGTGACGAAAAGTGCTTTCCCGTCAGTGGCCATGCCTTCGGTGTCAATAGCGAGGGTTGGCTTTTCTTCTCCAACTTTTCCAATAGGTTTTAATTTCCCGAGTAACTTGAAGTCCAAGTTTCCGACGTTCTTCCAAAAGATGGGATTTTCTTTTAATTTACGTCGTTTTGGGGCAGGTTGGTTATCCGTGGAGATGAGGTTGACTCGTGGAGGCTCTTCACCTTTTCTCAACCAGGAACAATGAGCTATTTGGTGACCATTCTCAAGACAGGCAGCGCAGAAGGTGCAATCGCGGGTTTCGTGAGCGTATCTGAAGCAAATTGCACAATGTTTTTCCCTTAACTTAGATACAATGGGGCAAAATTTCAGGATTTTCTTGGTTTCTTGGTAACCGTAATCTAAATCTTTTTGATTTCCAGCGGAAATCGTTACCTTGGCCATTTTTCTATTGTCTAATTGAGTACATTGTACGGTGAAATTTTTGTTATTCCTAATTGAAGTGGAAATGGGAACACCGAACTGGTTAAATACTCCTCGTAAGTATCGAGTCAAGATTAAGATATTGGTGATAAAGAGGAAAGGAGAATTATCACCGGGCATCTAATAAAGGGAAAATAAAATAAAGCTTGAAATTAG